TCATACTATAGGAGTAATCCCTCCGTTTTCAAATTAGTAGATTTACTTAAAACTCCTAATATAAAAGACTTATGTAACTTGGGAAAGTATTTTTATCATGCTCTCAAACTGCGATCTAGTCTATTGTAATAAACTCACTAAGTTTTTGTATGTAACTATAATTATAGAAACAATGTCTGTCTCTCTCTATTGTATACGATAAATGTTGTATACATGTATTTATGTATTAGAATCCATAAGCTGTATTGCTCCAGATCAATAAAGAATACTATATGTTACCGATAAGTTGTATAACTTAAGGAAATAAACTTGATTTATTGATTGAATAGCCCCCAAAGATAACCTAGTTACTGGGGCCTTCCTGAAGGTCCTCCAATGATAATCCCAATGACTGGAACCTTCCTGAAGATCCCCCGACGATAGCCCCAATAACTGGAGCCTTCCTTAATGTACCCCAATGATAACCTTATTACCGGAGCCTTCCTGAATGCACTCCAACGATAATCTAATGACCGGAGCCTTCCTGAAGGTACCCCAATGATAACCTAATGACCGAAACCTTTCTGAAGGTACCCAATGATAACCTAATGACCGGAGCCTTCCTGAATATACCCCAACGATAATCTAATGACCGGAGCCTTCCTGAATGTACCCCAACGATAACCTAATGACTGGAGCCTTCCTGAATGTTCCCCAACGATAACCTAATGACCGGAGCCTTCCTGAATGTACCCCAACGACAACCTAATGACTGGAGCCTTCCTGAATGTACCCCAACGATAACCTAATGACTGGAGCCTTCCTGAATGTACCCCAAAGATAACCTAATAACTGGAGCCTTCCTTAATGTACCCCAATGATAACCTTATTACCGGAGCCTTTCTGAATGCACTCCAACGATAATCTAATGACCGGAGCCTTCCTGAAGGTACCCCAATGATAACCTAATGACCGAAACCTTTCTGAAGGTACCCCAATGATAACCTAATGACCGGAGCCTTCCTGAATGTACCCCAACGATAATCTAATGACCGGAGCCTTCCTGAATGTACCCCAACGATAACCTAATGACTGGAGCCTTCCTGAATGTACCCCAACGATAACCTAATGACCGGAGCCTTCCTGAATGTACCCCAACGATAACCTAATGACTGGAGCCTTCCTGAATGTACCCCAACGATAACCTAATGACTGGAGCCTTCCTGAATGTACCCCAACGATAACCTAATAACTGGAGCCTTCCTTAATGTACCCCAATGATAACCTTATTACCGGAGCCTTCCTGAATGTACCCCAACGATAATCTAATGACCGGAGCCTTCCTGAAGGTACCCCAATGATAACCTAATGACCGAAACCTTTCTGAAGGTACCCCAATGATAACCTAATGACCGGAGCCTTCCTGAATGTACCCCAAAGATAACCTTATGACCGGAGCCTTCCTGAATGTACCCCAACGATAATCTAATGACCGGAGCCTTCCTGAAGGTACCCCAATGATAACCTAATGACCGAAACCTTTCTGAAGGTACCCCAATGATAACCTAATGACCGGAGCCTTCCTGAATGTACCCCAAAGATAACCTTATGACCGGAGCCTTCCTGAATGTACCCCAACGATAACCTAATGACTGGAGCCTTCCTGAATGTACCCCAACGATAACCTAATGACCGGAGCCTTCCTGAATGTACCCCAACGATAACCTAATGACTGGAGCCTTCCTGAATGTACCCCAACGATAACCTAATGACTGGAGCCTTACTGAAGGTCCTCCAGTGATAAAACCAATAACACCATTACACGTATTGTCATCTCCGGAATGACTGTAAACGAACAAGTATATCATCTGCTGCGTTGTTTCTAAGGTAGAATTGATACAATGAGGAGAGCGATTATCGCTTGTAATGTATAACCTAGAAGAATATTTCACTTCAATACAATATTCAGTAATTACAAAAACGTCATAATGACGGTAAATGTTTACAAAAAGGACTCAATACGACATTAAATATTTATGAAAGGTCAACAAAATAAAGTGTTTAGAAAAAAAATCAATAAAATGTTATATACTAGGAATATAACTACACTACACATTATGAAATGTTTAAAATATTTCAACAGAATTGAAAAGGACTGATAACATATCAAATAAAAATGTTTACTTTCAAAAGATCAATGTAGGAAAGGATCCGTTAATTCTATAGAAGACTGGTAAGCGTCTAAAATCAGTACTCGTTGTGTTTGAAAACAAACGTTAGACTGGAATTCAACACCAACATTGCAATGTCTATTTGAAAAATTGAAAAAAAACAAAAATGTGAGTTAGTATATCTCGAACTCTACACCAGAGAGAGAATGTGAAACGGTATCTAGTAATCTACACCAAAGAGAGAATGAGAAACAGTATCTCGTACTCCACACCAAAGAGAGAATGTGAAACAGTGACTAATACTCCACATCAAAGAGAGAATGTGAAACAGTGTCTAATGCTCCACATCAAAGAGAGAATGTGAAACAGTGTCTAGTACTCCACACCAAAGAGAGAACGTGAAACAGTGTCTAGTACTCCACACCAAAGAGAGAATGTGAAACGGTATCTAGTAATCTACACCAAAGAGAGAATGAAACAGTATCTCGTACTCCACACCAAAGAGAGAATGTGAAACATTGTCTAGTACTCCACACCAAAGAGAGAACGTGAAACAGTGTCTAGTACTCCACACCAAAGAGAGAATGTGAAACAGTGTCTAGATCTCCACACCAAAGAGAGAATGTGAAACAGTGTTTAGTACTCCACACCAAAGAGAGAACGTGAAACAGTGTCTAGTACTCCACACCAAAGAGAGAATGTGAAACAGTGTCTAGATCTCCACACCAAAGAGAGAATGTGAAACAGTGTTTAGTACTCCACACCAAAGAGAGAATGTAAAACATTGTCTAGGTCTCCACATCAAAGAGAGAATGTGAAACAGTGTCTAGTACTCCACATCAAAGAGAGAATGTGAAACAGTGTCTAGTACTCCACATCAAAGAGAGAATGTGAAACAGTGTCTAGTACTCCACATCAAAGAGAGAACGTGAAACAGTGTCTAGTACTCCACATCAAAGAGAGAATGTGAAACAGTGTCTAGGTCTCCACATCAAAGAGAGAATGTGAATTGGTATCTAGTACTCCACACCAAAGAGAGAATGTGAATCAGTATATATCGAACTCCACACCAAAGAGAGAATGTGAATTAGTATATCTCGACATTGCATATCAATTTCTTTAGAGTTTATTTTGTTTTGTTACCGTCTTGTAATTCTTATTTCCATGTAGAAAGAAAAATCCAATACTTTTATCAATGTAACCAATTAATTGATTCTTGTACTATTGTTAAAAAATGTATGCATGAAATGAAGTTTTATCTGAACAAGCTACTCCTGTAAATGGTATCGATATACTGAGGACATTGACCATATACGTTGGTTGTTATAACAAATACTGATTGTTTTCGATAAATCATTTAAATTGTTCAAATTTCATGAAATCAGATTCCTCCTATTGAGAGTTTCGAATTAGGTAGATGATTTTCGGAAAGTTATCCACCGAAAAAGAGACACGTAAGTGGATTAGAAGACTTGACGGCATTGCCTGAAGATAGTCGAAGGAGGTATAGTTTCATATAATAGCAAATAATAATAATAATAATAATGATAATGATGATAATAATAATAATAATAATAATAATAATAATAATAATAATAATAATAAAAACCGAAATGTTCTACAAATTATTTACATAACGAACGTAAATTGTGGGTGCTAGTATATCATAATATAAAAAAAAATATTTTCACCCATATGTCACATGTGTATTGCTGTTTTAATATCGATGAATTGTAAAATCATTTGATTAATTTTCGGTATTCTTCAGTTCTCAAAAGCCACTCCAATATGACATTTTTACTCTCAAAATTTCATTTTGACCAGGGAAGATGAGACATACTTGTCTGATATACAGTATTTGTCTGCATATACATGTAAATGACTAAAAACTAAATTTAAAATGTAGTCTTTCTCGACAGTCTTGACATTTGTTAAAAAAATACACACACGTGAATATACATAAAAATATCAGAAAAAAATTACATATCCTATTTGGCAGACATATATCAGTACAACAATGTAATTTTATTCCAGGTTTGCAACGAATAGCACTTGTAAAAACACAAAAGGAGCAGTTCCTAAGCCTACCTAATAAATTTTCAGTGTTTCTGCACCGTGAGTAAAATCTGGAAGATATTTTGTAAATGATGGCCTATTTTGAAGTAGCATTTATATGATCTACCAATTTATCAAATCCAGTTTAAGTAGGACATTTAATTTTGTGTAACTGATCTGAACGAAAAAAATGAAAAAAAAAAAAAAAATAGTGAAATATTCACGATGCCGTCGTCATCTGAAAATAAATCTCGCTTTCTCTTTATTTTGTAGCAGACGAGACAAAAAGCTGATTTTTATGTGGGTACAACCCGATTTGCATGAAAGGAATGTTTTTCTTCCGTTCTCTTGATGAATTAACGTATATACGTTACTGAATCACGTGTGTACACCATAATAATTTTTAATTACTACATGCTACCTGAAAATACTTAGATTACTTCCCCTGGGAAGGCGTATGAATATTTCCTTGGTCTTGGTTACCATAAACATATTTGCTAATTGTTATGTCAAAATTATCATTTATCAAATATTAGAAAATAGATATCGCATACCTTGAACTAAACGGTATCATGAACAAATGCAACTTTTGATGTCAAATACAAACTGTCACTGCATTAAGGCACAGAACTATACCGCTAACAGGTGCTTTTGGGGAAGGATATTGTGTACATGCTGTGAGTGCTACGTTCATCAACAACGATGTAAAACGTGATTCAGTATGCTGCAGCTTCCTGAATTGATTATCTGATAAACTATTATGTTTTGATTCTCAATAATTGACTTTCACTCAAGATGACATCCTCGGACGCAGTGGTCAAAGGCGTCGCCAGAAAATTGTAAGTCAATTATACACTGCCTAGGTGTCCGCCAGCATACCGTATAGGCCTAATGTGTCTGTATTGTTGACAACTTGTGAAGAGATGTGATTGTCATTTTGTCATGTGTCAGCTCAATGTGTTTTGTACTGTTAACATTTTACATGATTGATTTTGAAATATTATAGATAGTAATGCTAATGAACGCTAATAAATGACAACTGTTGAATAATGAAGCGGTTAGTTTATTTCCAAGGTACGGTACATACAATGTACAAGTCTTACAAATTTTCTTCTTTAATAACTCGTTTATAAACACGCTTATCTTTGATTCTTATCGACGCATAAATGCATCAAAACCTGCTAAAGGCACATGCATTGTTTTATATTGTTTATCGATGTTGCCAAACATTAACATACAAACTTGTGTACATAGTATGTACATGTATTTAAACAGTATCACATTTACATGTATATATACATTGCAGACTGGCATTGTTCAGATGGATTGTTTTGTAAACGACATGTATAGAAGGAGATTTACAAAATATAGATAGACATAAATCTTTGCTTCAAAATGCTTTCAAATGTTATCTTCATAAAAGGAAATGATGATTCTAGTTATCCTTATATCAAATAAATAAACCAATAAAGCTTATATTAGTTTAAAAAGCGGTCTGAGGTAAATTTTTTTTATGTGTCATTTCAGAAAATACTACTTTGACATAAAACGATTGGAAGATGGCTTTGACTTATCGGGAGTAAACAGTCCACAGTTGGACCACCCACCTCTGAAATCGGTAAGTACCTACAGAATTTATTGGTAGCACTCTCCTTGAAAATTTGGATTTGAAAATTAAATTCAATCCCCAAAAATATGTGTCAGAGCTTCTTTTATAGAGACGTAAACAATGATACATGTGTTTTTGGATAACTTAGTTAAGAAATGTTTCGACCTTTAAAATGTTTTTTCATTAAGAATATATACAATGTATAATATAGGGAAGAAATTCTTTCAGTAATAGTTCTTCCAACAAAATTGTCAAAACAAATTTAGAGTAGCTTAAAAAATATGATGTTGAAGTGGAAATACTGGCATTATATTACACTTTATCGAGAGAGCAATGCTTCATATTGGGTGGATTTGAGTGTTCATGAATGCTTCCAGCAAGTGTTAGATTATGTACCATGTGGTGTATTGATTTTGTTCAATGAAATATCTTTGTTGGTATAAAACCATTGCTGAAGTATAATAGATGGTCAACTTAAAAAAAGTTTACCCAAAGTAAAGTTTAAAAAAAATCTTAGTTACAGTAATGTCAGTTTGTGTAATCCTCAAATAAAGTATTAAGATAATCTTAGTTACAGTAAAATCAATTTGAGTTAACCTAAAAAAAAAGTATTAAGATATTCTTAGTTAGAGTAATGTCGATTTGAGTTCACCTGAAATAAAGTATTAAATAATCTTAGTTAGAGCGATGTAATTATTAGTTTCCAGTTTCAACATTGACGATAAGCCAAATGTTTTATATTCCTTACAATTAGCTACTGCCAGCTTTATAATAGAATTAAAATAAATGATATTAAATATTGATTAGAATTTATAGTAAACCAATGTCAAAATTAATCAGCCTGATTTGATATATTGATATGCTTACTTGATAGTTGTAATGATGTATCGTTTAGAATATTATTCATTTCTTTTATTCTCGTCTCTTATTAAAGATATTTTCTACATGTTGGCAATTTACTTGTCAAAACAAGTTACATCTTTACATGTTATGATCCCACAAAGAAGGTCTTTTAAACATCTGTTTTTTTGGTATTGCTATTTGATCTTATTCACCATCACACTTTAGAGAATGTGTACAGGGAGTCTAAAGCAGCCTGTTTGGATCTCCCTAGTAACCCTCCTGCGTGGTCAGCTTAATTATATATAATGTGTACAGCTACATAGTGTACAAAACTGTTATATATGTAACCTGAGATTTTCTTGTGATTTGTTGATAGTTCCTGTATAGTATTCAAGTGTTTAGGAGCTGTAGTTACCTATAATGAGCTAACCAGGTGTCTAGTAGCTGTAGTTACCTATAATGAGCTAACCAGGTGTCTAGTAGCTGTAGTTACCTATAATGAGCTAACCAGGTGTCTAGTAGCTGTAGTTACCTATAATGAGCTAACCAGGTGTCTAGTAGCTGTAGTGACGTATCATGAGCTAACCAGGTGTCTAGTAGCTGTAGTGACTTATCTTGAGCTGACTAGGTGTCTAGGAGCTGTAGTTACCTATAACAAAATAACCAGGTGTTTAGGAGATGTATTTACCTATAACAAAAGAACCAGGTGTCTAGGAGATGTATTTACCTATAACAAAAGAACCAGGTGTCTAGGAGATGTATTTACCTATAACAAAAGAACCAGGTGTCTAGGAGATGTATTTACTTATAACAAAATAACCAGGTGTCTAGGAGCTGTAGTTACCTCTAACAAAAGAACCAGGTGTCTAGGAGATGTATTTACCTATAACAAAAGAACCAGGTGTTTAGGAGATGTATTTACCTATAACAAAGGAACCAGGTGTTTAGGAGATGTATTTACCTATAACAAAAGAACCAGGTGTCTAGGAGATGTATTTACTTATAACAAAATAACCAGGTGTCTAGGAGCTGTAGTTACCTCTAACAAAAGAACCAGGTGTCTAGGAGATGTATTTACCTATAACAAAAGAACCAGGTGTTTAGGAGATGTATTTACCTATAACAAAGGAACCAGGTGTTTAGGAGATGTATTTACCTATAACAAAAGAACCAGGTGTCTAGGAGATGTAGTTACCTATAACAAAATAACCAGGTGTCTAGGAGATGTAGTTTCCTGTAAATACTATGGCCTCTTGGGAGGATCAGTGGCAGCTCAACCTTAACAAAGCTTTTTAGCGCCATGGCAACCTCCATGTGTGATGGGGAATACTACTACAAACATATGAAAGCACATAAATAATTCATGTTACCTTTAGGCTCGTAGAATCAGATCAAAATGCCAAACATCACTACAACAGGGTTTATAGACTAAGCTATATACCTTTACAACCATACAGGTAGCCAGTGTTTAACAATGCTCTGTCTGACACAATAGTAAATGAATTAAAGGAAGTTCAGATGTAAAGTAATTTATCACATCTCAATCCTGTCAACAGCATTAAAAGATAGTATATATTTTTCATTCGTTTTCAAGGTAAAATTGTCCTAAAGCCACATCTGGCCTGAAGTATGGGAATTGTACACTAGTAAAATCTAGGTCTGGTGATATCATTTAATTCTGTATGTCCTGATTAGCAATAAAATTCTGGAGGTGTTGTAGTTATTGCTTGTATTCAGTGTATAAATGCTACTACATGCTGTTAACATACATATATCATTACAATATGTGACATGTTATTGGGATACCACAAAATATGTGTCTGTTTGTCTGTGTTTGCATGATACACTCGACCAGGTGGAACCATCCTAGCTAATTTTAGATTGTGTGTAATCAATAGGTTGATAGAGGAGACATAAGCAACAACAACAGGGATAATCAATACTGATACGTTTGATGTGTGATTCCTACACTTCATTACACTGTACAAGGTCTTGCTGTCACTTCATACAGTTTTTACAATCCTGTTACCAGTGTAATAATATTCAATACATTATTTTTGTAAAGACGTGTAATATATATAAATTAGTATAACATCATGATGTCATAATTACTTGATGTCATTGTGATGTCATAACTACTTGGTGTCATTATGATGTCATAATTTCTTGGTTTTATTGTGATGTCATGACAACTTGGTGTCATTGTGATGTCATAACAACTTGGTTTCATTATGATGTCATAATTTCTTGGTTTTATTGTGATGTCATGACAACTTGGTGTCATTGTGATATCACCAAGGAGATATGGAGTGAGAAAATGACAAACTAAAAATGCTGGTTTTATGATTGTTTACAAAAGTATCTTAAGTTGAATGACAAAACTAAATCATTCCTTTCCATTTCAAATGGAATTTATGAAATTTTCTAAAAAATGTTCCTTTTGCTTCACCAGAGGTTTGATAAAATAACAAATTCTAAAACTCGCCATTAATCTTATTTGAATAGAAACTTGTGTAAGATTCTCGGTGTAGTGATTTTTTGGACTCAACTTTTCCTGAGGGTTTCACTCAAATATTTAGAATTCACAATATCTCTCAGTATTGGGGAGTCATCAACTATTCGCCAGTAAAAATACTACAAAAATTACTACATATACGGTACAGTGTAGTTAGAACAGTAATCTAAACACTGTCTTATAATTTGTCAGATAAAGCTTAATTAATGAACGGTTAATTAGACTGATGTAGATACATAAGACATAATGTACATGCAGTATACAAGTAAATATTATCATGAAAGTTTGATGATGACAGACTGATGGCACAGGAAATCAATCTTGTGATCTTTGTTGATTTGTCAAAATATTGATTAACATTAAGGTGAATATTTCATTGATAATGAATTCCCGCTTGTTGATTACATCATTATGTTGACAACTGCTTACATACCCACATCTTACACTACAGCTGTGTTTATACTCAATGTACATTTTGTAACTAGGAAGCCATGACAGAGCAGGAGGCTTTATCATAGATCATGCTTTATTTCAAGACTATAAAGGATTTCAGAAGTGGTTGGGGAAATGATTAAATCACATGTGAACAGGCTAATATTTTCAGTGATATTGATACAACTCTCAGGTTTTTAACTATTGAAAATATGTATTATTTGTTTTCCAAGCGAGCAACACTTCAGTATGATGGCCTTCATGACCGAGCCCTCAAGCACTATTTCAGCCTGCCTGAAGTGCGCTGTAAGCTAACCAACATGGGACCGGTAAGTCACGTTGTTCTCTGCTTGTCACATGTAGTTGTCTAATTCCTAAATCGTCTGCTGTATAAGAAAATCTATAGACAACACTAACTTTTTTGTTTAGGGAACTATTACAAAGTGAATTTCATTTGTCGTTTACTTCAAAGAGTTGAAAAAATTCCATATGATAATATCCTAAAGACAATAACATTGGCTGTCTTTTTCTTTTGAAGAAATTCTTATTCTTCTTAATTTTGGCAAAATTATCTTTTTGGAAACTTAAGTGAAATGTACATTTTCAGACATTCTGTTCTTTTTACAACACAGATTTAATTTTCATTATGTTTTTGACACAATTAGCTTCAATTTTTTACCAGGAAATATGCAGTTTCTTTCATGATTGATTTTTTTTACGATACAATTTAACTTTTAATTGATGATAGAAGTTCACTTTTTTGCATTTTATTTTGGCAATAGAAGAAAAGTTTGATTACCATAGACTTATTAAGGCTGCATATTTGAATTTCTCTCTACAGAAGAAAAGCAAGACAACGGTAATAGTTTGATTTTGTTGTGATTTATAGTGAGACTCCTAATGTAACATAGACCTACTGAAGCTTATAGTGAGGCTCCTAATGTAACATAGACCTACTGAAGCTTATAGTGAGGCTCCTAATGTAACATAGACCTACTGAAGCTTATAGTGAGGCTGCTAATGTAACATAGACCTACTGAAGCTTATAGTGAGGCTCCTAATGTAACATAGACCTACTGAAGCTGTGTGATTTATAGTGAGGCTCCTAATGTAACATAGACCTACTGAAGCTGTGTGATTTATAGTGAGACTGTTAATGTAACATAGACCTACTGAAGCTGTGTGATTTATAGTGAGACTGTTAATGTAACATAGACCTACTGAAGCTGTGTGATTTATAGTGAGACTGCTGTGTGATTTATAGTGAGGCTGAGACTGACCTACAAATGTAACATAGACCTACTGAAGCTGTGTGATTTATAGTGAGGCTGTTAATGTAACATAGACCTACTGAAGCTTATAGTGAGACTGTTAATGTAACATAGACCTACTGAAGCTTATAGTGAGGCTCGTAATGTAACATAGACCTACTGAAGCTGTGTGATTTATAGTGAGACTGTTAATGTAACATAGACCTACTGAAGCTGTGTGATTTATAGTGAGGCTCCTAATGTAACATAGACCTACTGAAGCTGTGTGATTTATAGTGAGACTGTTAATGTAACATAGACCTACTGAAGCTTATAGTGAGACTGTTAATGTAACATAGACCTACTGAAGCTGTGTGATTTATAGTGAGGCTCCTAATGTAACATAGACCTACTGAAGCTGTGTGATTTATAGTGAGACTGTTAATGTAACATAGACCTACTGAAGCTTATAGTGAGACTGTTAATGTAACATAGACCTACTGAAGCTGTGTGATTTATAGTGAGGCTCCTAATGTAACATAGACCTACTGAAGCTGTTAGATTTTACATATCCTTTGCCTGTCAGGTGTGATTAGGTTAGTGTGACCTACATTGCTATTTTTGGTTATTTCACATTGCTAAAATCTATCTGGTTTGCCATTCACTTAAGTTTCCATGTATTTCATTGCTTTAACAGATAATTTGCTCCAATCTTTGATTATCTGTGTCTTATGTAGTAGATTAACAGCTGAACATTTTACCTGTTTGGTGACAAGTATCTAGTACCTAGGTAATCAATGTACTTACTTACTGTATGTTTAAGGTTATCAAGGCATTTACCTGTATGTAGCAGGTAATCTCATAAATCAAGATAATTATCTCAATTACAATTTCAGCTTATTTCCCTAAGTTGTACAACTTATTGGATAAATACAGGTAAAAGGACAAAGGCACTCACACACTTACCATCACTATATCATCATTCATAATGCTGATATAATATTTTAGGAGGAAACCACGAAAATACTAATTAAATTGTGACAATAGGTAGTAGATACCTTCCTAAATTTTGAAGTTCCTTTATTTTTTGACATTGAGTAACCTAATGAATTTAAACATACTAGGCTTGTTAAAATAATATGGCTGTATCAAATTGGTACAAATATCTGCATAACACTTACATTTAACAATAAGATAATATTGGTCTTCTGTATCATTCTCATTACATAAAATACACTTTCTTTCTTCCCTGTATGTCCCTGTATTACCCATGTTCAATTGCTAAATCATGTGCAGATAAACAGATCTTAGAAATAAGTTTCTGAAAATTAGAATAAACTGGCTTAATTATCTGTACATATCAAGACATTTACCTGTACATGTCAAGTAATCAAGACATTTACCTGTACATGTCAAGTAATCAAGACATTTACCTGTACATGTCCGGTAATCAAGTCATTTACTTGTACATGTCAGGTAATCAATACATTTACCTGTACATGTCAAGTAATCAAGACATTTACCTGTACCTGTCTGGTAATCAAGTCATTTACCTGTACATGTCAAGTAATCAAGACATTTACCTGTACATGTCCGGTAATCAAGTCATTTACCTGTACATGTCAGGTTATCAAGACATTTACCTGTACATGTCCGGTAATCAAGTCATTTACCTGTACATGTCAGGTTATCAAGACATTTACCTGTACATGTCAGGTAAATTAGTTATCAAAGTATTTACCTGTGTGTGTCAGATATTGTAGTAAACATACTTAACTTGGCGTAAATCATGACTATGATAAATTCACTCAGCCAAAATAATTACTATGTTTACAGTATATAGAAACTGCACCTAGTAAAAGCATATCTTAGCTCAATATTTTCAATGTGAAAAGTAATAAAATATTTGCATTGACAGAAAACTTGTAATCAAGATAACTCTCTGTATATCAGTAACCAGATCATCCTACTCTCTGTCTGATTACTAGGTAACCAACATATTTATCTGTACATGTCGGGTAGCAAGGTAATTACATGTAAAAACCTGTGCTAGTCACGTCACAATATGATTATTTAAATGTGAAATTCTATTCAAGGCATTTAAATCATGAAAAGGCATAAAGTCACAGTTCCTTCTGTGGATTACACATTGTAACTTATAAATAGGAAATTGGAGATTACTAGTATTTACGAAAAAAGACAAAATGCATAATCTGCTCTCTGAAATTTTTGTGAAATTAGGAAAATAAACACAAGTAATGGAAAGAAATAAAACAACAGATTGAATATTCTCCCAGATTAAATTCCATTAACATCCTTTTAAATTCTTATCTAGCTAATTAAGATAAAGTCGCCTTTAGAACTTTAGAAATTACCTTTTATTAGTAGATAATAGATAGTAAAATACAATCTCTGTCACTCAACTGACAGGCCATAATAGTGGACGTAAAATCTGTTAAATAAATTAATGAATAAGTTGATGGAGCATGTTTCTTTGGTTAAGTTTGGAATTGTCATGCTGGAAAATCAGGTTCAGTTCCTGTTCATTTTCTTGTTCTGTCATTGTATTCCTTGTATTTGACAGGGTGACGGACTACACAGAGAAGAGAAAGTTAGACGGAAGTTGAAGCGAAGGATGAACAGATATGATTATAAAGTATGTTATCTTCACTCCTCTCTCAGTTTTACTATAGCTCTCTTCTGGTTTTAACTTTCTGTATGTATGTGTACCTCAGTATGTAACTGTGTCTCTGTATGTATGTGTGTCTCAGTATGTAACTGTGTCACTGTATGTATGTGTGTCTCAGTATGTAACAGCGTTTCTGTATGTAACTGTGTCTCTGTATGTAACTGTGTCCCTGTATGTAACTGTGTCTCTGTATGTAACTGTGTCTCTGTATGTATGTGTGTCTCAGTATGTAACCGTGTCTCAGTATGTAACGTCTCTGTATGTAACTGTGTCCCTGTATGTAACTGTGTCTCTGTATGTAACTGTGTCTCTGTATGTATGTGTGTCTCAGTATGTAACGGTGTCTCAGTATGTAACGTCTCTGTATGTAACTGTGTCCCTGTATGTAACTGTGTCTCTGTATGTATGTGTGTCTCAGTATGTAACGGTGTCTCTGTATGTAACTGTGTCTCTGTATGTATGTGTGTCTCAGTATGTAACTGTGTCTCAGTATGTAACTGTGTCTCTGTATGTAACTGTGTCTCTGTATGTATGTGTGTCTCAGTATGTAACTGTGTCTCAGTAGGTATGTGTGTCTCAGTACGTGACAGTGTTTCTGTATGTAACTGTGTCTCTGTATGTAACTGTGTCTATGTAACTTTGTCTGTGTGACAATTTGTCTCAAAATGTAACTGTCTCTCTGTATACCTGTATATCTATGTAACTGTGTCTCTCAATGTATCTATGTCTCTTTGACTGTGTCTCTGTATGTGACTGTGTCTCTCATTGTAGTTGTGTCTTTGTTATTGTATCTCTATGTAATTGTGTCCTGCAATGTAGGTATCTCTCTAGGATACTGTATCTCTCAATGTAACTTTGTCTCTCTGTGTAACTGTCTGTCTGTTACTGTGTCTCTCTGTAACTGTGCCTGTCTATGTAACTTTGCCTCCGTAACTCTCTCAATGTAACTGTGTCTCTCTATGTAACTGTGCCTAAACGCAACAGTGTTGCTATGTAGCTATGTCTTTCTGTGTAACTGGCTGTATGTAGCTGTGTCTTTCTGTGTAACTGGCTGTATGTAGCTGTGTCTTTCTGTGTAACTGGCTGTATGTAGCTGTGTCTTTCTGTGTAACTGGCTGTATGTAGCTGTGTCTTTCTGTGTAACTGGCTATATGAACCTGTGTCTTTCTGTGTAACTGGTTTATGTAGCTGTGTCTTTCTGTGTAACTGGTTTATGTAGCTGTGTCTTTCTGTGTAACTGACTGTATGAACCTGTGTCTTTCTGTGTAACTGGCTGTATGTAGCTGTGTCTTTCTGTGTAACTGGTTTATGTAGCTGTGTCTTTCTGTGTAACTGGCTGTATGTAGCTGTGTCTTTCTGTGTAACTGGTTTATGTAGCTGTGTCTTTCTGTGTAACTGGCTGTATGTAGCTGTGTCTTTCTGTGTAACTGGCTGTATGTAGATGTGTCTTTCTGTGTAACTGGCTGTATGTAGCTGTGTCTTTCTGTGTAACTGGCTGTATGTGTAGCTGTGTCTTTCTGTGTAACTGGCTATATGAACCTGTGTCTTTCTGTGTAACTGGCTGTATGTAGCTGTGTCTTTCTGTGTAACTGGCTGTATGTAGCTGTGTCTTTCTGTGTAACTGGCTGTATGTAGCTGTGTCTTTCTGTGTAACTGGCTGTATGAACCTGTGTCTTTCTGTGTAACTGGCTGTATGTAGCTGTGTCTTTCTGTGTAACTGGCTGTATGAACCTGTGTCTTTCTGTGTAACTGGCTGTATGTAGCTGTGTCTTTCTGTGTAACTGGCTGTATGAACCTGTGTCTTTCTGTGTAACTGGTTGTATGTACCTGTGTCTTTCTGTGTAACTGGCTGTATGAACCTGTGTCTTTCTGTGTAACTGGCTGTATGTACCTGTGTCTTTCTGTGTAACTGACTGTATATAGCTGTGTTTTTATGTAACTGTCTCTCAGTATGTAACTGTTTTCTGTATGTAACTTTGTCTCGACGTGTCTCTATGTAACTTTGTCTCTCTGTTATTGTGTCTATGTCACAGTGTCATGAATCTTATTACAGAATGCATTGTATTGACCTGTGAGGACATATTTAGATCCTGTTGTTTATCAAACCTGTAGAGCAGATGGCAGAGAGATTTTTGTAACCCTAGTAAATACTAATTGCTATATTCTACTGGGCTAAAGAGAACTTCTCTTTGGCTCGATCTTTCTAGCATAAGACTAGGAAGGGGAGGCATTGAAATAAATAAGGACCTTTTTTATTTCTTGGATTGTTGGAGGTACTATTGTAAATGCTAAAAGGCTAAAAGCATTATAAACACCCACCTTAATCTTGATGACACCCAAGAGTCTAAGACTTAGATTGCTGAATCAGAATTTCCAGATTATTTTACGCACCTAGTTTTCACTCCTGTACACTTTTAGATGCTTGGATATGTAGAAATGTATACACTGGTAGGTAAAACCACATAAATGTACATTTTAGTTCACCTAGCCCAAAGGATTTCTGGTGCCAAGGTACAATATCCTTCATCTATCTGCCTACTGATCTTTTTTTTAAACGTCTACAAATGGATATTTGGGAGCAGGTGTAGAAGAAAGATCGGTAAATGAACCAAGGGATTTTGATCAAATTTAGTTTGTTAATGGATGGATGTAAAAGTTCTTCTTTAAGCTGGAGTATCCTTTGGTGAAAAACTCAATAGTGTTTTAATAGAGGGCCTCGTCCCACTGGAGACAGGTATGGGGTATAATAAACAGGGGTAGGTTGGGGGACTCAATCACTGATCCCGAAATGAATGTCTTTATGAAGGGAAATATCAAATGTCATGCAAAGGAGGAATGTTATTGGCAGTAATACGGAGAAACACAGTCAATTATAATAAATATCAAAATATTTGTAACCTTAATTAGGAATGGAAGTATTTTTCCATGAATGCTAACGTACAATCTATTAAAGGGATGAAAATCCTTATGACCTTTCCTTGTGTATAGTGTATAGACTAAACACATTTATTATGTTTGTCCAGAAATTTAACCACAGATATATATAGCGTGGTGTTAAAAGGAGTTAAAATAAAATAAAACAAAGAAAAACAATCATCAACTACGATTTTGAAAAGCTAATTACTCCAAACCAAGAAATAATGTTGTTGATTTTTTTGTTTCACCAACATATTCATGGGTAATTGACTAAGGAGATCAAATACCTGATTAACCGTAAACATATTGTTATTTGTATTCTGCATCAATAAGTACAGAAATACGGGCGCAAACAATAACAAAAAACAGACAACTCATCGGAGATACTACTTTTACCTTTATCTTCTACAAATGTGCCATTCTGTACATCAGTAAATTGATTGATTCTGCATTTTCATTTATCAATTATGAAAGTGAAACCAATTCCGATCACTCTCTATACATTTATCTTACATATGTTTATATACACTTGTGTACAGACCTTATATATCAGTTTTATTTATATTCATTACAAATAACCTTTCTATAAACTTCAATACTCAGCATCCTCATTATACATGCACTTTTCCATTGCTACCGTAAAAGAAAAATTTAGATGGGAATGCAGCGCGATTGATGAGTATACTTGCCACAAGCCCCTACCTCAAGGTAATCTTCACGCCCAGCTCTTAACGCATGCATGTGTTGTGGGAATGAATACCATACATGTGGAGTTCTACCTAATTACAACATATTGTTCCTTTCACATATCAGTTCTTCTTGAATTTTTTAAAATTTGCTTTGTTAATTGCCAGACATCAATTAATCTGGACAACCAAATCTCACATATTCAATTAGGAATGGCAACCTGTTGACTCAATGTTATATTTGCAGTTTGATGAAACAATTTCCTAATCTTTATTTGATGTAATTGGTATAAAATTCAATAATTTAAAAAAAAATCATATAAATTCAAATATTCATTATGTAATATGAATTTTCTCATTACAAACATCACTAATGACCAATATACTGATTACGTGGAACTCTACCAAGATTCTTTTCATTACATATACTTAGAGACATTCTCCATTACAGTGAGAGATACTTAGAGACACTCTCCATTACAGTGAGAGATACTTAGAGACACTCTCCATTACAGTGAGAGATACTTATAGACACTCTCCATTACAGTGAGAGATACTTAGAGACACTCTCCATTACAGTGAGAGATACTTAGAGACATTCTCCATTACAGTGAGAGATACTTAGAGACACTCTCCATTACAGTGAGAGATACTTAGAGACACTCTCCATTACAGTGAGAGATACTTAGAGACACTCTCCATTACAGTGAGAGATCTTAGAGACACTCTCCATTACAGTGAGAGATACTTAGAGACACTTTCCATTACAGTGAGAGATACTTAGAGACACTCTCCATTACAGTGAGAGATCTTTGAGACACTCTCCATTACAGTGAGAGATCTTTGAGACACTCTCCATTACAGTGAGAGATACTTAGAGACACTCTCCATTACAGTGAGAGATGGAAACATTCTCCATTACAGTGAGAGATACTTAGAGACACTCTCCATTACAGTGAGAGATACTTAGAAACATTCTCCATTACAGTGAGAGATACTTAGAGACACTCTCCATTACAGTGAGAGATACTTAGAGACACTCTCCATTACAGTGAGAGATACTTAGAAACATTCTCCATTACAGTGAGAGATACTTAGAGACACTCTCCATTACAGTAAGAGATACTTAGAAACATTCTCCATTACAGTAAGAAATACTTAGAGACATTCTCCATTACAGTGAGAGATAGAAACATTCACTATTACAATGACTGATACTTGGAAACATTCAGTATGACAGCGTTAGATACTTGGAAACATTCAGTATGACAGCGTTAGATACTTGGAAACATTCAGTATGACAGTGTTAGATACTTGGAAACATTCAGTATGACAGCGTTAGATACTTGGAAACATTCAGTATGACAGCGTTAGATTCTTGGAAACATTCAGTATGACAGTGTTAGATACTTGGAAACATTCAGTATGACAGCGTTAGATACTTGGAAACATTCAGTATGACAGCGTTAGATACTTGGAAACATTCAGTATGACTGTGTTAGATACTTGGAAACATTCAGTATGACAGCGTTAGATACTTGGAAACATTCAGTATGACAGCGTTAGATACTTGGAAACATTCAGTATGACAGTGTTAGATACTTGGAAACATTGACCGTAACAGGTTTCTGTAAGAGTGCTGTGTATGAATGGCTTGTTTTAAATTTCATTTCAATCAAACAATTTTTTGCACTTGCTGAACTAAGTATCCAATTTTTATTGTTTTTGTTTGAATTACTGTTATGTAAAGCATCAGAATATAACTTGCACTTTTGCATTTTTATTACAGTTAGATGTTACAATATCGTTTAGAATGTTGATCAAACCAGCCATTTTGTCGTCTAGGAACACACGTTAAGTCCCTGAAGGCCATGATGATTCAACATGTCTGCATGAAAGTACAACCTTGAAAAAAATATAAAAATGTGACCACTATTTCTCTGAAAGTGGAGATGATTTTACTTTGTAAATATGGTCCTTCTGATGAATCAGGGATATTCCATAGAAAAGTAAAAATGTGTTACCCTATTCTGAATATGTTTACTAATGAAATAACAATATAAACTAAACAGAAATATAATTTGATCAGTGAATCAACCCATCCACGAGTAATATATCATAGATCAGAAAATTTATCAGAATATTGAAGTAACGTATAGATGGAAGGGTATCTAATGAAAATGTAAAGATCAAACTCAAAGTAAAGAAAAATGGTTGTATTTGATTTCAACTTACTTCACAAATTTTGTAAAATTTTGTAAACATCTTCTTTGTGTTAGTAACAATATAGATGTTAAAAATGAAGAGTTGCACTGAAGGTATTTGTCCAAAATCCTGTAGGTAAAGAGGTCCCTGAGTACAGTTATATGTCATTCTTATGTGTGGTCATAATCATACTATATGATAGATATGTAATAAGCTTGGCAGTGTAACATCTCTATGACATGTAGTGTACTTGTAAGGCTGTACCTGCCTATCAAAAGATGTTCTGTACTATCAGGTGTTTTCATTTTTGTAATATGTATGATTATTGTGTAATTGCAATTAATGACACGGAAAGTTAATCATGCATGCAACCATAGTGATTGGTTAAAGATAATTAGTTTGTTTGTAATGGACTTCCAATGGTGTTGTCGCTAGGCGTTAACATGTTGTTGTTGATGTATCTGAGTTTACAGATGATCGCACACAAGGCCTCCAGAAAGAGGGATTTAGGGGCTATACCTGAAGGGGCAAGCCCCATTTTGAGATATTTTGGGTGGAAACCAAGAAGCATTAGGCCCATTTAGAGATACATTTTGTATGTTGGGTAGACACCCAGAGGGAAGAGGCCCCTTTGAGGATATTTTGGGTGGATAATACTGGGGGAATGGGGCCTTATAGAGGTATTGTAGTGTACACCCTAAAGGCTAGGGCCTTTTTAGAGGTATGTTGGGTGTAATAGCTGTGTAATAAAGCATTGATACACATATAAAAGGTGTAAAGCTAGAGGGGCAAACATTTCAACTAGATCCCTGTTCCCCCCCTCCCACCCCCTTCACCCCTACACAGCTCTGTCAATGTGTCTATGTTAGAAACAAATGAGATCTATTCATTTCCCATTGCTGCTAGGCATGAGAATATTGTCATTCATGCTATCTGGCGTATTATTTTTACTACCTAAATATTACAGCTAACATTGTTTAAATATCCAGGTGACATAGGATGTGGACCTCTTGTTCTTTGTTTTGTTATAAAGGGTTTTGTCACAGCTAAAATCTAAACAAATATCAATGCTTATTTCACAAACAGCATAATAGCTTGTGCTTGAGCTGTGTGAGAGTGAAGAGAGTTGTTGACTACCTGTGTGAGGTTGCTATGGTAGTGTTGGAGATGATTACATGATAATGTGTGCTTTTTTCTCCTGAAAGCATTACTTAATGAGAAAAACAACATGAGAAAATCTCATCAGTTCCAGAAAATTAATCCATTAATTTGATTACAGAAAGTATTTCATGCTTCTATTCTTAATCTGATGAAAACACTTGTAATAGCTTCTTTGTAGTTAAACAGCTTTTCTTCTCATGAGTCCCTGAAATTACATCAATTTTTATGTGCTGTGTATAATGGAACTCCTGAGAGTTGGAGACACGAACATGTATCATTAAAAGGTGATATGGGGGCGTGGCATGTGATCACAATATCAGTGTTTATATAGCTTTTACTTTTGATTATCATTCTGTTGATATGGAAACAAAAATAGTATAAATGTTGTTACCAGTTATCAGGCTTATACTTAAAATATTGTTACTGATACTCAGACCCATTGTTACTGATACTCAGACCCATTGTTACTGATACTCAGACCCATTGTTACTGATACTCAGACCCATTGTTACTGATACTCAGACTCATTGTTACATGATATTCAGACCCATTGTTACATAATTGTTACTGATACTCAGACCCATTGTTACTGATACTAAGACTCATTGTAACATAATTGCCTGCCAGTTACTACAGACAATGCTGATTACCAGACACTACACGAACCTTTATTGCCTCAGGTGTGATACTATGTGTGCCAGCCCTCCTCACCAATTGTCACAAACTCCATATTATATATCCTATTATTGCATGTTTGTCAGAACCTGTATGTATATGTTGTGGCGCTGACTCAGATTGACCACAAGGATGGCTAGTGATTTGGTGTCGGTATTGATCGTTGTTTCAACAGCAGTCCTTGTGATATATATATGTGTTTAATTATACCAAATGATGATAGTAAAATGAACCCTATGACCGAGATAAATGTGGTAACACGGTACTACATTTGTAGGAAACATATTTCTGCTCTCATTAGATTAGTACATGTATTTTCATTTGTTTACAAGACAGCATTTGTTTGTCCTCATCAATAACACATTGATATAAGTGTGTTGTGGTGTTGTTTCCTTTAAGGTAACTAGAACACAAGAAATACAGAAAAACTCATTACATTTTAGCATTAAACTTATTTTTAGCTCAGAAAATATTGCACTTTTTGTAACTTTTCAATGTTATTATATAACAATCATAGCAGATTGCTAAATAATCATTGGGCTTATTTTTCAAAAAGTGATAATGTGTTAATGTTAGATTTCACCAAGTTAAGTATGTTAACAGTAGTCTGCCTATCATTATGTAAACCCTGGTAGACTTAATCAATATAGAGTCTTAAATATTGATGTTATACAGGATATATCTTATAATAGTAGTCAAGAAATCTTTATCAGGAGTTATATGTCTCATTAGCATAAGGCAATCTTAATTAGTATTTAGGGAATATTTATCAGTAATTAGGGAATATTTATCAGTAACTAGGTAATTTTTGCCAGTAATTAAGGAATCTTTATCAATATTTAGGGAATTTTTATCAGTAATTAGGGAATTTTATCAGTAATTAGGGAATTTTTATCAGTAATTAGGGAATCTTTATCAATACTTAGGGAAATTTTATCAGTAATTAGGGAATATTTATCAGTAGTCGTTTATCTTTATCAGCAGTTTTAATCTTTATTGGTAGATAGGTTATCTTTATCAGTAGTTATTTATCTTTATTAGTATTTAATTAATCTTTATCAGTATTTATTTACCTTTATCAGCAGTTATAATCTTTATTAGTTGTTAGGTTATCTTTACCAGTAGATATTTATCTTTATTAGTATTTAACTAATCTTTATCAGTATTTATTTACCTTTATCAGCAGTTATAATCTTTATTAGTAGTTAGGTTATCTTTACCAGTAGTTATTTATCTTTATTAGTATTTAACTAATCTTTATCAGTAGTTAAGTAATCTTTATCAACAGGTTTTTCCATCTGTTTTAGAAGTTAGAATGCCGTGTTTCCTCTTTCATTCATTTACAGGGATCATTCAGTCACTACTTAATTTTATTCATAGTCTCTGTACCAGGGAAGAATGATCAGTATGAAATAATTCAAGTCACTACTACATGTGTTTAAGATTGTATTATTACTTTTTTAACGTTAATGCTGTATGAAAAATGTTTTTAAGGTTGTGTAATTTTTATGTTGTAGCCGAAAACCCATCCAGCATTTGCTTATGCTCAGACTGGCCGGGATACCTTCGATGTTGTCTATCCTTTAAAGGGAAATAAAAAGTATGAACCATATATATAAATATATATATATATATATATATACCTCTGAAAATCAGTTTAAATGTGTGATTGAATTTCTAAATGCAGTGTTACTGGATTTTTATTGGTATTTTTGAATGTCTAAATGATCATAAAAATGTTGATAGATTTCCTTTCTATATGATATTTGTTTTTGCACTTTAGAAGTTTTAAAACCATTTAAGGTTTTATACTTTATCATTTCAAATGTTTAAACAATAATCAACATGTTATGATTTTGTATTCTCACAGAGCTTTAAAGGGAGGATGGCCTCAACTTAGAAGTGTTCCTTCACAAAATATCACCCGTGGCGAGGCTCAGCGTCTTGTTAACATCGCAACCAAACTTTTAGTAGCCACAGTAAGTGCCATTCATTGATGTCAGTTAATGTCTAAAGTCTTACTTAGGTGGTATATACATGATCATAGTCACTTAGGTTGTCTTAACTGGTCAAGGTTAATGTGATATAGTTCATGTTAACTGGGCAGGGTTAATGTGGTGATATAGGTTATCTTAACTGGTCAAGGTTAATGTGATGTAGGTCATGTTAAGTGGTCAAGGTTAATGTGATGTAGGTCATGTTAACTGGTCAAGGTTAATGTGATGTAGGTCATTTTTACTGGTCAAGGTTGGTGTGATGTAGGTCATGATTACTAACAGGTCAAGGTCAATATGCCATCCAGAAAAACCATGACAGCACAGACTGATCTGTTTCTTAGATTCTTGTGACAGATAAACTGATATGGGTAGGGAGCTTTGAACCACACACCTCAGATCAATGCCCATGGTTACGTAGGCAAATGGTCCTGTAGCTGTTATGGCTGTTCTGATTTAGGCTAATATCATGATGAATGTCCTACTGATATGATAATGGTGTCATCACCAGCACAGAATTCTACAGTGGCTCACTGATCATCTACAGGTAACATACATCTGATGGTTAAATCATCATATCTATATAGACAGACACCAGCCTGTTTCATGTGTCTTTGTTTCAGGAAACTGTGGACATCATACAGCCGCGTCCTCCTAGTCCAAAGAGAGGCCAGTCTGCTCCTAAACCTTTTGAGGTATGTAGCCTCCTTTATCTCGTTACTAGTGTCACCGCATGTGTATCTGTTTATAAATTTCTGCTCTAAATCACACCAATTTGTAGTATGTAGTAGTAGTAAAAATTTAGTATGTTGTTGTATGTTCCTGAAAGCAGTCTGTTAACAGGTTTGTTAAATATAGTTGTAAATCAATTGCAACAGGACATTCTGGTAAAAGAAAATACCTAGTAGTGAACATTTTGTGATGTTCCATTCTTCTATAATACAGATTGTGTATTAGTTTGATTATAATAGAACCATTGACTTTATATTGGTAATATATGTCTGTATTAATGGTAATATATGTCTGTATTAATGGTAATATAGATCTGTATTAATGGTAATATAGGTCTGTATTAATGGTAATATAGGTCTGTATTGATGGTAATATAGGTCTGTATTAATGGTAATATAGGTCTGTACTAATGGTAATATAGGTCTGTATTGATGGTAATATAGGTCTGTATTAATGGTAATATAGGTCTGTATTAATGGTAATATAGGTCTGTACTAATGGTGATATAGGTCTGTACTAATGGTAATATAGGTCTGTATTGATGTTAATATAGGTCTGTATTAATGGTAATATAGGTCTGTACTAATGGTAATATAGGTCTAATGATGGATAGAAAAAGTATGTGATGTCAATCTCATAACTGTTGTTGGTTAATATAACAGTGAATATGGCCCTTGGCTTAGTCAAATACAAAATATAAATATGACTAGACCAATATAATATTATATAAATATGATGAGACAAATATAATATTATATAAATATGACCAGACTGATATAATATTATATAGATATGACCAGACCAATATAATATAATATTATATAAATATGACTAGATCAATATAATATTATATAGATATGACCAGACTAATATAATATTATATAGATCTGACCAGACCAATATAATATAATATTATATAGATCTGACCAGACCAATATAATATAATGTTATATAAATATGACAAGACAAATATAATGTATATCATATGCTATGAAGTGTCAGCTGAAGTATACACTCCCTTCACCAATTTCTTCACTTTTAGTAATGTAGATAGTAGAACAAGCCAGTAGTTGTAGAATATCTTTGTTGGTTATGTGCATGTCCTTATATGGCTATCCACTCTGCTTACTTCTTGTGCCTGGTATGGTTGCATGTGCTCCACCCTTCACTTCTTGCCATGTCCACATAGACTGAGAGGTCACTTCCTGGGCTAGATGACCAGTTGGTATATATTCCTGTAGAAAACCTTAAGGTAAGTAGGTCACTGTGACATTTATAATGTAGATACATGTAGTAGTTTGATACCACTAGCTTATAGTGACCTGTACAGTGTCAGGTACAACAGAAGGATTTTCTGTTGAATCTGCTTGGGACATCACCCATGTTTATAACTACAATGGTAGCTATTGTTTACAGACCATCTTATAATAATTGTCATTAAATTATCTTCCAAGTCTCTTAATTTATAGTGTTAGAATATGTGGAGCTCCTAACACATGTCAGTGTGTATTATACCATATATAAATACAATGCTGTACAAATTACAATGTATAGATACAGATAAGTACAATGTATGTATACAGATAAGTACAATGTATGTATACAGATAAGTACAATGTATGTATACAGATCAGTACAATGTATGTATACAGATAAGTACAATGTATGTATACAGATAAGTACAATGTATAAATACAGATAAGTACAATGTATGTATACAGATAAGTACAATGTATGTATACAGAAAAGTACAATGTATAAATACAGATAAGTACAATGTATGTATACAGATAAGTACAATGTATGTATACAGATAAGTACAATGTATGTATACAGATAAGTACAATGTATGTATACAGATCAGTACAATGTATATATACAGATCAGTACAATGTATGTATACAGATAAGTACAATGTATGTATACAGATAAGTACAATGTATATATACAGATCAGTACAATGTATGTATACAGATAAGTACAATGTATATATACAGATAAGTACAATGTATATATACAGATCAGTACAATGTATGTATACAGATAAGTACAATGTATGTATACAGATAAGTACAATGTATGTATACAGATAAGTACAATGTATGTATACAGATAAGTACAATGTATGTATACAGATCAGTACAATGTATGTATACAGATAAGTACAATGTATATATACAGATAAGTACAATGTATGTGTACAGATCAGTACAATGTATAAATACAGATAAGTACAATGTATGTATACAGAGAAGTACAATGTATGTATACAGATCAGTACAATGTATGTATACAGATAAGTACAATGTATGTTTACAGATAAGTACAATGTATGTATACAGATCAGTACAATGTATGTATACAGATAAGTACAATGTATGTTTACAGATAAGTACAATGTATGTATACAGATCAGTACAATGTATAAATACAGATAAGTACAATGTATATATACAGATCAGTTCAATGTATGTATACAGATAAGTACAATGTATGTATACAGATAAGTACAATGTATGTATACAGATAAGTACAATGTATGTATACAGATAAGTACAATGTATGAATTAGAAGGAGGGTTTTATGTGATTATTTCTTTTAAATTGTTTTCTAGGCCAAAGAAAAGAAAAGACCATCAACAGCAAAATATACCTGGGATATTCATGGCAGACGACACATGAACGAGAAGGAAAAACCAACAGTAAGTGATAGTCACTCATCATACTGAAATATTCCTGAGTATTATAAAAACATCATAACTTTCATTGTTCAAATTAGAAGAAAATTTCCACTTCGGATTTGTTCTGTTTGAACTTTTAAACGCTTTAATTGTTGATGTTATGTGTTTTAGTATGGTTGATCATGTCTAAACATGTTTTTTTCTCGTCTGTAGGCATATGATGATAGCTATTCACCAAAACACTCCAGACACAACGCCTCTGAAGACAATAAAGGGTAGGTTCAAAACAAATCAAAGATATTATACAGCGTCCCTGGTTGTAATGGACAGTGTTATTGTACAGCGTCCCTGGTTGTAATGGACAGTGTTATTGTACAGCGTCCCTGGTTGTAATAAACAGTGTTATTGTACCACGTCCCTGGTTGTAATGAACAGTGTTATTGTACCACGTCCCTGGTTGTAATGATTACTGTTATTGTACCACGTCCCAGGTTGTAATGAACAATGTTATTGTACCATGTCCCTGGTTGTAATGATTACTGTTATTGTACCACATCCCAGGTTGTAATGAACAGTGTTATTGGACCATGTCCCTGGTTGTAATGATTACTGTTATTGTACCACGTCCCAGGTTGTAATGAACAATGTTATTGTACCATGTCCCTGGTTGTAATGATTACTGTTATTGTACCACATCCCAGGTTGTAATGAACAGTGTTATTGGACCATGTCCCTGGTTGTAATGATTACTGTTATTGTACCACGTCCCAGGTTGTAATGAACAGTGTTATTGTACCATGTCCCTGGTTGTAATGATTACTGTTATTGTACCACGTCCCAGGTTGTAATGAACAGTGTTATTGTACCACGTCCCAGGTTGTAATGAACAGTGTTATTGTACCATGTCCCTGGTTGTAATGATTACTGTTATTGTACCACGTCCCAGGTTGTAATGAACAGTGTTATTGTACCGTCCCAGGTTGTAATGAACAGTGTTATTGTACCATGTCCCTGGTTGTAATGATTACTGTTATTGTACCACGTCCCAGGTTGTAATGAACAGTGTTATTGTACCACGTCCCAGGTTGTAATGATTACTGTTATTGTACCACGTCCCAGGTTGTAATGAACAGTGTTATTGTACCATGTCCCTGGTTGTAATGATTACTGTTATTGTACCACGTCCCAGGTTGTAATGAACAGTGTTATTGTACCACGTCCCAGGTTGTAATGAACAGTGTTATTGTACCACGTCCCAGGTTGTAATGATTACTGTTATTGTACCACGTCCCAGGTTGTAATGAACAGTGTTATTGTACCATGTCCCTGGTTGTAATGATTACTGTTATTGTACCACGTCCCAGGTTGTAATGAACAGTGTTATTGTACCACGTCCCAGGTTGTAATGATTACTGTTATTGTACCACGTCCCAGGTTGTAATGAACAGTGTTATTGTACCATGTCCCTGGTTGTAATGATTACTGTTATTGTACCACGTCCCAGGTTGTAATGAACAGTGTTATTGTACCACGTTCCTGGTTGTAATGATTACTGTACTATAGGTGTTAGATTAATTTAATTCATTTTCTTTGTATTAGTGTTGTGTTAGTTTGTCACCATGTTGTCATTGAATTAACTATGGATTGATGTTTTTTTCTGAGCAGAGAACAAAGACGTGTTGTCATTAAAAAGGTAATGAGGCCCTCCACTGCCACAACTACAACAACATCAGATCACCCTGAAAAATCAGAACGATCAGCAAGGTCAGACAGATCATCAAGGTCACAGAAATCAGACCAATCCAAAAAGTCTGACCGATCCCCTAAATCGGACAGGTCAGAGATAACTAGCAGGTCACATAGGTCAGAGTCACTGGACAGTGAGGCAGCATCAACCACTGACCGAAGCTCCAGTGATATTGGAACAAAGACGTCTAGTGGTGTTAGTGTGAGGGATAGACCTGCCACTCACAAGTCTACAGTGATACACGTTCGGGACACAGATATTAGGGAGGATGTCAAGGTCAGCCATTCTACACAAGCTGGGGACAGTGTCAGCATACAGACCGAGACCCGTATGATAGAGAACTACAATCCAGTATGTTACTTGTTTTATTTCTGATCTTTATATAATTATATCGTTATTCCTGTTTATTCAGTAAAAACATTTAGTACAGCCACTGTCACCTTTCCTATTTATTCTGTATCAAGATCTAACTGACTTTAAAGTACCTTGTACTGATGAAATGTTTATCTGTGTTGATCTGTAACAGCTGGATGAAGAGATTAAGCAAGGTGACTGGGCAGAATATCAGATTTATGTTAGAACTGGAAACAGGACTGGAGCTAGTGCCAGTTCCAATATTGAGGTCAAACTTACAATGTATGGAAATAAGGGCCGCACAAAGGAATTTGTTCTCCAAGACTCCAAACGACACCTGGTCATGTTCCAGAGGGGCAAGGTTTGTATATCAGTATCAACTAAATCTCTGTATATCAGTACCCACTAAATCTCTGTATATCAGTATTCATTAAGTCTGTATATCAGTACCCACTAAATCTCTGTATATCAGTACCCACTAAATCTCTGTATATCAGTACCCACTAAATCTCTGTATATCAGTATTCGTTAAGTCTGTTAAGTAGTACCCACTAAATCTCTGTATATCAGTATTCATTAAGTCTGTTAAGTAGTACCCACTGAATCTCTCTATATAAGGCCACACTGAGTCTGAGTGTTTACATTGTAGGAGGATCTCTTTGTGTTAGCCTGTCATCATGTGGGAAAACTTCGTCAAATCAAAATCGGACATGACAGAACTTCTCTGCGTATGTATGAATACCTGTATATCTATCCTTGGGGAGATTAATTGTTTGTGGAAGTTGGCTTAATATTTTGTTAAAATTGCTGACATTGTATATAATGAACATTCTACACAACCTTTATTGTTTGTGTGCTACATCGTCACTGTTCTAGTTTCAGTGTTCCAACAACTGTTTTTGTATTTTATAATTAATCTTTTAATTTATCTATGTCCCAGTTCTCAGGATAAGAATTACCAAATTGTTAAAAAAAAGACTTTTTACAGAATAGCATATCTTTGCTGATATCAATAACTTATAGAGCACAGGGGCTTTGTCTATGTAGTATAGGGGTTTTGTCTATGTAGTATAGGAGTTTTGTCTATGTAGTATAGGGGCTTTGTCTATGTAGTATAGGGGTTTTGTCTATGTAGTGTAGGAGTTTTGTCTATGTAGTATAGGGGTTTTGTCTATGTAGTATAGGGGCTTTGTCTATGAAGTATAGGGGGGGGGTTGTCTATGTAGTACAGGGGTTTTGTCTATGAAGTATAAGGGGGGTTTGTCTATGAAGTATAAGGGGGGTTTGTCTATGTAGTATAAGGGTTTGTCTATGTAGTACAGGGGTTTTGTCTATGTAGTATAGGGGTTTTGTCTATGTAGTATAGGGGTTTTGTCTATGTAGTATAGGGGTTTTGTCTATGAAGTATAAGGGGGGTTTGTCTATGTAGTATAAGGGTTTGTCTATGTAGTACAGGGGTTTTGTCTATGTAGTATAGGGGTTTTGTCTATGTAGTACAGGGGTTTTGTCTATGTAGTATAGGGGCTTTGTCTATGTAGTATAGGGGCTTTGTCTACGTAGTATAAGGGTTTTGTCTATATAGTATAGGGGTTTTGTCTATGTAGTACAGGGGCTTTGTCTACGTAGTATAAGGGTTTTGTCTATATAGTATAGGGGTTTTGTCTATGAAGTATAGGGGTTTTGTCTATATAGTATAGGGGTTTTGTCTATGTAGTACAGGGGTTTTGTCTATGTAGTACAGGGGCTTTGTCTATGTAGTATAGGGGTTTACTATGCCTGGTACTCAACATGGAGAACAAGGGCATTGTTTGTGTAGACAATACCTGGTACTCAATGTAGTATACAGGGGCTTTGTGTAGGTGATGCTTGATATTCATTATAGAGTACAATGTTTATTTTATGTGTGTAGGTGATGCTTGATATTCATTATAGAGTACAATGTTTATTTTATGTGTGTAGGTGATGCTTGATATTCATTATAGAGTACAATGTTTATTTTATGTGTGTAGGTGATGCTTGATATTCATTATAGAGTACAATGTTTATTTTATGTGTGTAGGTGATGCTTGATATTCATTATAGAGTACAATGTTTATTTTATGTGTGTAGGTGATGCTTGATATTCATTATAGAGTACAATGTTTATTTTATGTGTGTAGGTGATGCTTGATATTCATTATAGAGTACAATGTTTATTTTATGTGTGTAGGTGATGCTTGATATTCATTATAGAGTACAATGTTTATTTTATGTGTGTAGGTGATGCCTGGTACTTAGAAGGAGTCACAGTATATGACATGTATGATAAGAGGATCTACGAATTTAATTGTGAACGTTGGCTGTCTGCCCATGACGGAGATCGTAAGACTTATCGTGTGCTGGAAATGGACAGGGACCGTGCTTTTATAGAAGGTACAATTGTCTCACTGAAACATGTACTGATGTGACTTTAACAGTGAACTATTATTGGGCTGGTACATACTTTGTTTTTGTTCTATTGTGAAATGTTTTGATGTAATAATACCACTATGGTGAGACCACGCATACATCCATGATGACCTTGTGTACAAGACACCACATGAACTCCTGAACAGAGTTTGGTTCATATTCACACCTCAGCATCATACCTCCAAAGTCTACAGCTTTTGGTGGTCATTGGTCAAGGGCAAAGGTCAAGGGCACTCTTGACCTTGTGACACAGGGGTTAGGGTATGGGATATCTCTATGTAGGGCCCTGCTCACCTTGTTTTTATTAAAAATGATATTTTGATGTTTATCTTTAACACCAACTACTCAGTCTGATTACAAAACTGTAATTTGAGTTTTTTACATCATAAAGGTCTTGAAGAAACATTGTAATCATGTTACTAAACAAGTCCCATGAACTTTTTCAGCATTACATGGAGATGATGATAGTAGCACACGATCAATGTCTGATTCTGAAACAGAATTGACTACACCTCGAGGTAGCGCACGTTATGATGACTCTAAATCCTCAAGGAGCTCTGTACGCGTACGAGGGGGCAAGGACATTAAGTACCGCAAAAAGGACTTTGAGCGTGGTTCTGACTCAGAGAGTAGTTATACGTCTGACAGTTCGAGTGAGGGGTCCACTGACCGAACCCCAAAAATTAGACCTTTATCACCTCTTAAAAAACCAGATGAAGATGAATTTTTTGATACACGTGGTTCAGGACCTACGTTCCTTTTCCAAGATGGCAAAGGAGCGCCTCCAAAGGAATCTGACTCTGTGCGTGCTAACATTTCCGTAGATTCCACTACCTCAGAGGATACCAGCAGCAGAGTGCGTGAAGACTTCCTGGAGGGTTATAAGGTAAGGGATTCTAGGGTTGTTATCAATATGGTTTACAAATAACATTTATGGAATCACTGATGGTAGGGTTATGCACCAAATTTCCCAAAGAATTGTTGAAGTTACAATGTGCAGTCTTGCATAGAGATGCTTTTCAGTAATTAAATTAGAAAAAAAACCTGTTAAGTAAATGCTTTTAATAGATTTTAATTGGTAGAAAAGTAAAATATTGCTTGAACTAGACAACAAAATACCAGCCTTTTGATAAGCACTGTAGACATTATAAAAGTCACTACTATTATTCCATTTGTTGTCACCTTAGACACTGTTAGATCAAAGGTGAAAAAATCAAATTACAAGAAAATTATTTTATAGGATTTATAGAAAAAGTCTATAAGTTTATATAAATCCTTTCCTTTATAGAAACAGTCATCATTTAAGATCTATATATAGCCCTTCCTTTATAGAAAAAGTCTATAAGTTTATATAAATCCTTTCCTTTATAGAAACAGTCATCATTTAAGATCTATATATAGCCCTTCCTTTATAGAAAAAGTCTATAAGTTTATATAAATCCTTTCCTTTATAGAAACAGTCATAATTTAAGATCTATATATAGCCCTTCCTTTATAGAAAAAGTCTATAAGTTTATATAAATCCTTTCCTTTATAGAAACAGTCATCATTTAAGATCTATATATATATAAAGTCTATAAGTTTATATAAATCCTTTCCTTTATAGAAACAGTCATCATTTAAGATCTATATATAGCCCTTCCTTTATAGAAAAAGTCTATAAGTTTATATAAATCCTTTCCTTTTTAGAAAAAGTCTTAATTTAAGATCTATATATAGCCTTCCTTTGTAGAAACAGTCATCATTTAAGATCTATATAAAGCCTTCCTTTATAGAAACAGTCATCATTTAAGATCTATATAAAGCCCTTCCTTTATAGAGACACACATCATTTAAGATCTATATATAGCCCTGACATAACTATACAGTTTAATTTGTTGCAGTACTTTAGGTTGTTAAGAAAGTTTTCAAAAGAAACTTAAATCAGAAAATGTGCAGTGTAATGTGTAGAAGCTTATGACATGGGCTGTTTTCATGTATTAATAACAACCATATAGTCAACTTTTTAACGGTAGAAATTACCAGACATGTAAGATCTTTAACTGAGACAGATCTGTAAATGTTTGTTCAGGCTTTGAAATTATTTATCAAGGCTTGCACAGCAAAATGGATCAGCATGCTGTCCATATTTCATTACTGAAAAAAAAATGAAAAAAAAAATGAATCAAAACAGCCATGTTCTGAACCAGTGTGCTTGCTTGAGTTGTCTTCCTTTACAAGTGTTCCACCTACCTGCATGAGTACAATATATCTGATGTTGTATGCTTCACCAAGCGATGCTATTTTTGTTTTAGTCATCATCCAGTAAGGTATGATTAGAGAAATACTCATTTCAGTTGTGATTTCTTTACAAGTATTGTTTGAAGATCTTTTTTCTCTGTGGCAGATTCAGAACGGGTTTCCATGTGGTTTCTTACATTAAAATGGTTTTGTTTGTATTCTTTGAATTGTTACGTTGCAAAGGACCTCCCAGTTCATAGCAATTTGGCGTTTTATTTTATTTTTATGAATTATATTTTGTTTTTAAAAGTTTGGCTTATTTGTAGTGATTTATTTTTCCTGTCTGAGTCTGCCACAGTTGCTTACTTGAGCTGACTGCTTCAGTATGTTATTCATGCTTTTCCTCCGTTGTTTATCATACCTAGTATATAACAAGCTCTATCTGTTGCTATAGATCTGTCTTTGCAATCAGATGTAAAGCGGAACGGTTATACTGACACCAAAATTATAATATGGTGTCAGTAGAAAGAATCAGATCAATAAATAACCTAGGTTATGTTAAAGCACGTTCCTTGTTTGAGTGCTGTAGGATTTGAAATATCAACAATATAAGCTTACAATTCTACTGCCTGACATTAGCTATCCATAATGGTTAGATTTTTTCATTTTACTCTCTAGAAGTGCTTTACCTAACAAATACCATCTCTCTAAAATGCCTTAAGGATGTTTTTGTTTTTAGCTCATCAGATCTGAAGGGCCAAGTGTTGTTATCTGTTGTCCAGCAACTTTTAAAAATTATTGGGCCAATTTGTCATGAAATATCACAGGGATATGAGATTGGTAGGGCTACATCCTCAGGGGCCTGAGGGATGGGACCAAATAGATAAAAAATGGTGTCATCTTTAAAAAATCTTCTTCTTTGCTTCTACAAGTAGCACAAAGTAATGCCCCAGTGAATTACAAATACTTGTAGTCCTCTTTCGAATTTATGAAATTTATGACCCTGGTGTCAAGAGGTCAAGTGGTGTTGTGGGGTCAATACTGTATGGTATGTAATTCATTATATTTTGTGAACAGTTGTGATCCCCAACTTGTTACCATATATAGCATTGCTGGGCATTAAGGGAAAACACAGCTATAATGTTAAGGGGTCTTGGCCCAACCCTCAGCTGGGATTTAATCATTTAGCCTAATTAGCTAGGCTTAGGCATAACTTTGAAATGTTCAAGATACTTAAATTATAAACATGCATTGCTGGGCATAAACATCCAATTGAGTGATACAGGCCCTCTGGACCTCTTGTTAAGAAGTGCCAGATGTTATAAGGAGTTGTTCTATTTTTCCAGAAGTGCTTCACTAATCAACAGGAAGTCGTTTCTTCTCTATGAATGCCTTAAAACACGTTCAAATTTTTCTGTAGAAGTCTGGAGAAATTTATTTAATCAGATAAACTTACAAATCAAATCTAAAACACCTCCATTGACCTACTCTATCAAAGGTCATGACCTTTAGGTAATGTACAGGTCAACAGAGTAGGCCTATGTACAATTTTTAATGATTAACCCCTGAACAGACTGACTTCATAATAAATAATATATTCACAACATAGCATAAATTCTACATCTGATAAGATGTTCCTACATTTGATAAAATGTCTTTGAGAGGCTCTGCTTGTTAAGTTTTCAACATGTTCTATATAAATTAAATAAAGAAAGAAACAAAGAGAAATAATTTGTAATTGGGTTATTGAATATCTAATGTTTGGTCTTTATTTCTCTCAATGGCATACTGTTGTATTATCAGTTTATATTGTAACAACAGGTAGGACTGAAGGCTGCTGAGGAAGATTCTAAGACGAGAACTGATGAGGAGGTTTTGAAAAGGAAGCGAGTACTAGCAGGGCCCACCATTCATGAGGCAGCACAGGCAGGAAATCTAGCTCGAGTACAAGAATTACTACAACACTACCCAGAAATGAAGGAGTAAGGCTTTGTCTTTTGTTTATAGATTTATGAAAACAAACACTTGTTGGTAGAGATATTTAGGATGAAGACATGTTTGATGAATTGGATAAAAGGTTTTTATTCTTTGGAGAACACAAGTTTTTCTGTTTAATTTTTCTTAGTATAGATGTTCAAAATGATATTTCTGAGACTTCATACACTCATTAACAGAATCTTTATTTTATCAAATGTTAATGCCTTTTCTTGATTTTTATTTCAAATTTCTTTTATCAAATTGAGATAAAATTTACAGTGGTTCATTCTCTCTCACCAGATCGAAGGATGAGAGTGGACGCACACCCTTACACCTTGCATCCACAGATGGTCATATAGATGTAGTCAAGTGGCTGGCGATAGGTGAATCCAGCCTAAACCTTGAGACTCCTACAGGTTACACAGCCATGCACTTGGCAGCCATGAATGGACATGTCAACTGTATGATGGTGAGCCATCTAAAGTTACTTGTTTATTTGTGATTCTATATTTACCTGTGATTGTTTATTTACCTGTGGTTTCTTATTTACCTGTGATTGTTAATTTACCTGTGGTTTCTTATTTACCTGTGATTGTTTATTTACCTGTGGTTTCTTATTTACCTGTGATTGTTTATTTACCTGTGGTTTCTTATTTACCTGTGATTGTTTATTTACCTGTGGTTTCTTATTTACCTGTGATTGTTTATTTACCTGTGGTTTCTTATTTACCTGTGATTGTTTATTTACCTGTGGTTTCTTATTTACCTGTGATTGTTCATTTACCTGTGATTCTTTATTTACCTGTGGTTTCTTATTTACCTGTGATTGTTCATTTACCTGTGATTCTTTATTTACCTGTGGTTTCTTATTTATCTGTGATTGTTCATTTACCTGTGGTTTCTTATTTACCTGTGATTGTTCATTTACCTGTGATTCTTTATTTACCTGTGGTTTCTTATTTACCTGTGATTGTTCATTTACCTGTGATTCTTTATTTACCTGTGGTTTCTTATTTATCTGTGATTGTTCATTTACCTGTGATTCTTTATTTACCTGTGGTTTCTTATTTACCCGTGATTGTTCATTTACCTGTGGTTTCTTATTTACCTGTGATTGTTCATTTACCTGTGATTCTTTATTTACCTGTGGTTTCTTATTTATCTGTGGTTGTTCATTTACCTGTGATTCTTTATTTACCTGTGGTTTCTTATTTACCTGTGATTGTTCATTTACCTGTGATTCTTTATTTACCTGTGGTTTCTTATTTATCTGTGATTGTTCATTTACCTGTGATTCTTTATTTACCTGTGATTGTTCATTTACCTGTGATTCTTTATTTACCTGTGATTGTTCATTTACCTGTGATTCTTTATTTACCTGTGGTTTCTTATTTATCTGTGATTGTTCATTTACCTGTGATTCTTTATTTACCTGTGATTGTTCATTTACCTGTGATTCTTTATTTTTCTGTGATTGTTCATTTACCTGTGATTCTTTATTTACCTGTGGTTTCTTATTTACCTGTGATTGTTCATTTACCTGTGGTTTCTTATTTACCTGTGATTGTTCATTTACCTGTGATTCTTTATTTACCTGTGGTTTCTTATTTATCTGTGATTGTTCATTTACCTGTGATTCTTTATTTACCTGTGATTGTTCATTTACCTGTGATTCTTTATTTACCTGTGGTTTATTATTTCTTTATTTACCTGTGGTTTATTATTTATCTGTGATTGTTCATTTACCTGTGATTCTTTATTTATTTACCTGTGATTGTTCATTTACCTGTGATTCTTTATTTACCTGTGGTTTCTTATTTATCTGTGATTGTTCATTTACCTGTGATTCTTTATTTACCTGTGATTGTTCATTTACCTGTGATTTTCTTTATTTTACCTGTGATTGTTCATTTACCTGTGGTTTCTTATTTACCTGTGATTGTTCATTTACCTGTGATTCTTTATTTACCTGTGGTTTCTTATTTATCTGTGATTGTTCATTTACCTGTGATTCTTTATTTACCTGTGATTGTTTCTTATTTACCTGTGATTGTTCATTTACCTGTGATTCTTTATTTACCTGTGGTTTCTTATTTATCTGTGATTGTTCATTTACCTGTGATTCTTTATTTACCTGTGATTGTTCATTTACCTGTGATTCTTTATTTATCTGTGATTGTTCATTTACCTGTGGTTTCTTATTTACCTGTGATTGTTCATTTACCTGTGATTCTTTATTTACCTGTGGTTTCTTATTTATCTGTGATTGTTCATTTACCTGTGATTCTTTATTTACCTGTGGTTTCTTATTTACCTGTGATTGTTCATTTACCTGTGGTTTCTTATTTACCTGTGATTGTTCATTTACCTGTGGTTTCTTATTTACCTGTGATTGTTCATTTACCTGTGATTCTTTATTTACCTGTGGTTTCTTATTTATCTGTGATTGTTCATTTACCTGTGATTCTTTATTTACCTGTGGTTTCTTATTTACCTGTGATTGTTCATTTACCTGTGATTCTTTATTTACCTGTGGTTTCTTATTTATCTGTGATTGTTCATTTACCTGTGATTCTTTATTTACCTGTGATTGTTCATTTACCTGTGATTCTTTATTTACCTGTGATTGTTCATTTACCTGTGATTCTTTATTTACCTGTGGTTTCTTATTTATCTGTGATTGTTCATTTACCTGTGATTCTTTATTTACCTGTGATTGTTCATTTACCTGTGATTCTTTATTTATCTGTGATTGTTCATTTACCTGTGGTTTCTTATTTACCTGTGATTGTTCATTTACCTGTGATTCTTTATTTACCTGTGGTTTCTTATTTATCTGTGATTGTTCATTTACCTGTGATTCTTTATTTACCTGTGGTTTCTTATTTACCTGTGATTGTTCATTTACCTGTGATTCTTTATTTACCTGTGGTTTCTTATTTATCTGTGATTGTTCATTTACCTGTGATTCTTTATTTACCTGTGATTGTTCATTTACCTGTGATTCTTTATTTACCTGTGGTTTCTTATTTATCTGTGATTGTTCATTTACCTGTGATTCTTTATTTACCTGTGATTCTTTATTTACCGGTGATCTTTTATTTACCTGTGATTGTTTGTTTTGCTGTGCTTGTTTATTTACCTGTGATTGTTTATTTACCTGTGATTCTTTATTTACCTGTGAGTCTTCATTTACCTGTGAGTCTTCATTTACCTGTGATTTACCTGGGAGTCTTTATTTACCTGTGATTGTTTATTTACCTGTTTATTTACCTGTGATTGTTTATTTACCTGTGATTTACCTGGGAGTCTTTATTTACCTGTGATTCTTTATTTACCTGTAATTCATGTAACCTAGTTGAAATTCTCCATGTGGCACAGAGATATTCCATATTTAGTAATGAATGCACCTGTATCAGGTATAGGAAATGTTTAGCTCAAACTGCACAATTTCCAAATGAATTGTCAAATATAAATAATAAATTTGAAATAAAATGTATTTATTGAATATGATTAAAATGAATATGGTTAGATAAAGTGGTAATTGACCATGTTACATACAGAAATTCTTAAAAATAGCCGTTCTCAGCCACCTCGTTTTGGACTTGTAAAGTTGACCCATACAAACTACAAGTGTCAAATATTCAACAGCTTTGGCCCTGATCTGTGACTGGCAGTTTTCGCTCTCAGGTTTTTAATTGAAAAATCATATTTAACACAAACTACACATGGCTTTTTTTATAAACAAACAATATGTAACTTGGATCACTCTAAAACCTTGGCTGACATAGGACTGGTGTAATTTGCAGATCCTGTTTGCCCTGGGAGCCACCATTTCACTAAAGACAAGTGATAAGAAGACACCTTTGTACCTGGCTGCCATGAAGTAAGTTCTAGGATAATTTTATCTAACATGTTTTAAAGATATCTTTTTAAAGAGAATAACTCCTATTTATGTATTTATCTCAAAGTAAATTTATACTCACTGTGTGTTTATAATCACATTTATGTGTGAGTAAATTTACACTTTGTGTTTGTAATCACATTTATGTGTGAGTAAATTTACACTTTGTGTTTATAATCACATTTATGTGTGAGTAAATTTACACTCACTTTGTGTTTATAATCACATTTATGTGTGAGTAGATTTACACTCACTATGTGTTTATAATCACATTTATGTGTGAGTAAATTTACACTATGTGTTTATAATCACATTTATGTGTGAGTAAATTTACACTCACTTTGTGTTTATAATCACATTTATGTGTGAGTAGATTTACACTCACTATGTGTTTATAATCACATTTATGTGTGAGTAAATTTACACTATGTGTTTATAATCACATTTATGTGTGAGTAAATTTACACTACGTGTTTATAATCACATTTATGTGTGAGTAAATTTACACTCACTGTGTTTATAATCACATTTATGTGTGAGTAAATTTACACTATGTGTTTATAATCACATTTATGTGTGAGTAAATTTACACTCACTTTGTGTTTATAATCACATTTATGTGTGAGTAGATTTACACTCACTATGTTTATAATCACATTTATGTGTGAGTAAATTTACACTATGTGTTTATAATCACATTTATGTGTGAGTAAATTTACACTCACTGTGTTTATAATCACATTTATGTGTGAGTAAATTTACACTATGTGTTTATAATCACATTTATGTGTGAGTAAATTTACACTCACTTTGTGTTTATAATCACATTTATGTGTGAGTAGATTTACACTCACTATGTTTATAATCACATTTATGTGTGAGTAAATTTACACTATGTGTTTATAATCACATTTATGTGTGAGTAAATTTACACTATGTGTTTATAATCACATTTATGTGTGAGTAAATTTACACTCACTGTGTTTATAATCACATTTATGTGTGAGTAAATTTACACTATGTGTTTATAATCACATTTATGTGTGAGTAAATTTACACTATGTGTTTATAATCACATTTATGTGTGAGTAAATTTACACTCACTTTGTGTTTATAATCACATTTATGTGTGAGTAGATTTACACTCACTATGTTTATAATCACATTTATGTGTGAGTAAATTTACACTATGTGTTTATAATCACATTTATGTGTGAGTAAATTTACACTATGTGTTTATAATCACATTTATGTGTGAGTAAATTTACACTCACTTTGTGTTTATAATCACATTTATGTGTGAGTAGATTTACACTCACTATGTTTATAATCACATTTATGTGTGAGTAAATTTACACTATGTGTTTATAATCACATTTATGTGTGAGTAAATTTACACTATGTGTTTATAATCACATTTATGTGTGAGTAAATTTACACTCACTGTGTTTATAATCACATTTATGTGTGAGTAAATTTACACTCACATTTATGTGTGTGTTTATAATCACATTTATGTGTGAGTAAATTTACACTCACTATGTGTTTATAATCACATTTATGTGTGAGTAAATTTACACTCACTGTGTTTATAATCACATTTATGTGTGAGTAAATTTACACTATGTGTTTATAATCACATTTATGTGTGAGTACATTTACACTATGTGTTTATAGTCACATTTATGTGTGAGTAAATTTACACTATGTGTTTATAATCACATTTATGTGTGAGTAAATTTACACTATGTGTTTATAATCACATTTATGTGTGAGTACATTTACACTATGTGTTTATAGTCACATTTATGTGTGAGTAAATTTACACTATGTGTTTATAATCACATTTATGTGTGAGTAAATTTACACTCACTTTGTGTTTATAATCACATTTATGTGTGAGTAAATTTACACTCACTATGTGTTTATAATCACATTTATGTGTGAGTAAATTTACACTATGTGTTTATAATCACATTTATGTGTGAGTAAATTTACACTCACTATATTGTCTATAATTACATTTATGTGTGAGTAAATTTACACTCACTTTGTGTTTATAATCACATTTATGTGTGAGTAAATTTACACTCACTTTGTGTTTATAATCACATTTATGTGTGAGTAAATTTACACTATGTGTTTATAATCACATTTATGTGTGAGTAAATTTACACTCACTTTGTGTTTATAATCACATTTATGTGTGAGTAAATTTACACTATGTGTTTATAATCACATTTATGTGTGAGTAAATTTACACTATGTGTTTATAATCACATTTATGTGTGAGTAAATTTACACTCACTTTGTGTTTATAATCACATTTATGTGTGAGTAGATTTACACTCAATATGTTTATAATCACATTTATGTGTGAGTAAATTTACACTATGTGTTTATAATCACATTTATGTGTGAGTAAATTTACACTATGTGTTTATAATCACATTTATGTGTGAGTAAATTTACACTCACTGTGTTTATAATCACATTTATGTGTGAGTAAATTTACACTATGTGTTTATAATCACATTTATGTGTGAGTAAATTTACACTATGTGTTTATAATCACATTTATGTGTGAGTAAATTTACACTCACTTTGTGTTTATAATCACATTTATGTGTGAGTAGATTTACACTCACTATGTTTATAATCACATTTATGTGTGAGTAAATTTACACTATGTGTTTATAATCACATTTATGTGTGAGTAAATTTACACTATGTGTTTATAATCACATTGATGTGTGAGTAAATTTACACTCACTGTGTTTATAATCACATTTATGTGTGAGTAAATTTACACTATGTGTTTATAATCACATTTATGTGTGAGTAAATTTACACTATGTGTTTATAATCACATTTATGTGTGAGTAAATTTACACTCACTATGTGTTTATAATCACATTTATGTGTGAGTAAATTTACACTCACTGTGTTTATAATCACATTTATGTGTGAGTAAATTTACACTATGTGTTTATAATCATTTATGTGTGAGTACATTTACACTATGTGTTTATAGTCACATTTATGTGTGAGTAAATTTACACTATGTGTTTATAATCACATTTATGTGTGAGTAAATTTACACTCACTGTGTTTATAATCACATTTATGTGTGAGTAAATTTACACTCACTATGTGTTTATAATCACATTTATGTGTGAGTAAATTTACACTATGTGTTTAATCACATTTATGTGTGAGTAAATTTACACTCACTATATTGTCTATAATTACATTTATGTGTGAGTAAATTTACACTCACTTTGTGTTTATAATCACATTTATGTGTGAGTAAATTTACACTCACTTTGTGTTTATAATCACATTTATGTGTGAGTAAATTTACACTATGTGTTTATAATCACATTTATGTGTGAGTAAATTTACACTCACTTTGTGTTTATAATCACATTTATGTGTGAGTAAATTTACACTCACTATATTGTCTATAATTACACTCGTGCATGAGTTTAATTTTGTTGTGTGGATACTCCCAGGGGACATCTTGAGTGTGTTAAGTGGCTTATTGCCAATCGTGCACGCTTCGACATAGTGGATGACATGGATAGGACGCCACGTATGGTCGCAGAGGACTTTGGACACCGAGATGTTTCAGAATTTCTGAAGGCTTGTGAGAATGAAATGAATGATCCCAACAGTGGATTTGCACAGATGAGGTCTACAAGCAAGCTTGGGTGAGTGTAACTTTTTACATTATGAGTAGATACCGCTGTCTAATTCAACAGCTAGATGGACTATGTCAGTATTCATCTCAATATACTTTATTTGTAAAATCCTTTGGAGAAGTCATCACTAAAGAACTGACATTATTTTTACCTTCAGTCCTGGAGGTCTGCAGACTATAGAAGAGGACTCCAATTCCTCCGTTAGTCAGGAAGACAGAACGTGGCAGGACGATAAAGATGTATGTATGGCTGTGACAGATTTAAAGCTGGAGTTTACATATAAAACATGTTATACACACTGTTAGGTCACAAAAGGGTATAAAATAACATTTGATAACAGATATGTGTAAACAGATGATGAAACAAAGATGATATATGAAGTATAAAATATTTTCATACAAAATGTCCTTATTTATATCTAAGGTAGGGCCCTTTATTGGATAATTATGACAGAACAGATCAGCAATGAACAATATATGTAGGGTGATGAATCTGTTTCGCTAGGTTACAATAATGTTTCATGATTTTCATATTGAATTTTATGTTGAAATTAAACTACAAGTGTCTGATACATTCCAATTTGAATTTAGGATATATCCAGTTATCAGGAGAACCAGAAAAGACATATGTACGGATAGTGAGGCTGCTAATATAGAAGGTTACATAAAGTTGGCTCTGTTTGTCATGCTTATTGCGGCCTTTCTGTTGTAAACAGGGGCTGAACTCTTTACATATATACTATACACTGTATAGCCAGAGTCTGCTTTAAATTCTCCAATATAAGATTTGTATTTCAGATGTCAACATACAGTAACGCATAATATCTGTCTGCTGGATAAACTCGTTTCAGCGTATCTGCTCTATCACATACATTGCCTTGAGGCCAGACAATATCTTGCTTTAATTTGCTGCTGATCTGTTTGATTGAATGCTTTGAATGATGACCACTTTCTTGAGAGAATTTCAGACTAAGTATTTCTATGTGTTGTTTGGCTTGTTTGCTATGACTGGGGGTTCATTGTTTTACAGAACTACTCGGATAAAGCAGGCATCGGCAGTGATGGTGGGTCTCAACGAGCAAGATCAGCACGCAATATTGACAGAGAAAAGGAGGTCCGTTCACATCTGTCACCTCACACCCCTTCCCTATATATACACTGATAGTAAACCGTAATCTACAGATACAAAGATAGTTAACAATTATCTATATATACACTGATAGTTAATAGTTCTCTATATATACACAGATAGTTAATAGTTCTCTATATATACACTGATAGTTAATAGTTCTCTATATATACACAATGATAGTTAATAGTTCTCTATATATATACACAGATAGTTAATAGTTCTCTATATATACACTGATAGTTAATAGTTCTCTATATATACTATATATACACTGATAGTTAATAGTTCTCTATATATACACTGATAGTTAATAGTTCTCTATATATACACTGATAGTTAATAGTTCTCTATATATACACACTGATAGTTAATAGTTCTCTATATATACACTGATAGTTTATAGTTCTCTATATATACACTGATAGTTAATAGTTCGCTTTATATACTCACTGATAGGTAATAGTTCTCTATGTATATACACAGATAGTTAATAGTTCTCTATATATACACTGATAGTTAATAGTTCTCTATATATACACTGATAGTTAAATAGTTCTCTATAATAGTTAATAGTTCTCTATATATACAAAGATAGTTAACAATTCTCTATATATACACTGATAGTTAATAGTTCTGTATATATACACTGATAGTTAATAGTTCTCTATATATACACTGATAGTTAATAGTTCTCTATATATACACAGATAGTTAATTGTTCTCTATATATACACTGATAGTTAATAGTTCTCCATATATACACTGATAGTTAATAGTTCTCTATATATACACTGATAGTTAATAGTTCTCTATATATACACTGATAGTTCATAGTTTTCTATATATACACAGATAGTTAATAGTTCTCTATATATACACAGATAGTTAATAGTTCTCTATATATACACAGATAGTTAATAGTTCTCTATATATACACTGATAGTTAATAGTTCTCTATATATACACTGATAGTTAATAGTTCTCTATATATACACAGATAGTTAATAGTTCTCTATATATACACTGATAGTTAATAGTTCTCTATATATACACTGATAGTTAATAGTTCTCTATATATACACTGATAGTTAATAGTTCTCTATATATACACTGATAGTTAAATAGTTCTCTATATATACACTGATAGTTAATTGTTCTCTATATATACACTGATAGTTAATAGTTCTATATATATACACTGATAGTTAATAGTTCTCTATATATACACTGATAGTTAATAGTTCTCTATATATACACTGATAGTTACTGGTTCTCCATATGTACACAGATAGTTAATAGTTCTCCATATGTACACAGATAGTTAATAGTTCTCTATATATACACTGATAGTTAATAGTTCTATATATATACACTGATAGTTAATAGTTCTCTATATATACACTGATAGTTAATAGTTCTCCATATATCGATTGATATTTAATACTTCTCTATATAAACCATTTACTTACTAATTCCCTTAGCCACGGGAAAAAGGCCTGTTAAGAGTTTTATCCCATACTCCTATATCACAAATGTGTATTGTACAACTAAACATATACAGAATTATTTAAAGAAATGATAGATATGTTGAGACAAATTGTACACATTGTAATCAACGTTTGATATTAGCTGCTTGTTTTGCAATTGATACTGAGTGTGTGTCAGATTATCTGTGAGGATGTTAAGAAAATTGCCAAAGTAGTCAGTTTGTAGAGATGCTTTAGTTTTCTGAGCAGTTTAAACGTGGTTTCATAAGATCAACTCCATAGATAGTGACACTGACTGGACAATCAAATAGATATCAGTGATTTGAATAAGCTGAGCTAATAACAATTATGGGTTAGAGAGTTAACAGGAACTGATTAGAGAGACACCAGTTTCCTGGTATTGACAAGATCATGTTTAAAACATTGTTATCAACAGCAGAGGAAAAAGGAAAAAAATGTTTTACTCAAACAGAAATCACAGAAAAGTTTGAATTGTCTAGAAAGCTTTGCTCCTTTTTCTCAGATTGAATATTTTTGCTGTTATAATTATGGTAACTTTATTTGCCTTATTTGGTATAGAGAGTCAGGTCAGTATAACCTGTGCATGAGAATGGTTAATGTATTGTCCTCCACAGAGTCCACATTTATCAGGATGTAGATATTGTTACACAAACATCAAGTCACACACACTTATACCCAAGCACAGGTGTACGTTATATACTATAACTGTTAATTTACACAGATGTCACACACACTCGTCCCCAGCACAGGTGTATGTTATATACTGTGTATATTTACACAGATGTCACACACACTCGTCCCCAGTACAGGTGTATGTTATATACTGTGTATATTTACACAGATGCCACACACACTCGTCCCCGGCACAGGTGTATGTTATATACTGTGTATATTTACACAGATGTCACACACACTCGTCCCCAGTACAGGTGTATGTTATATACTATGTATATTTACACAGATGTCACACACACTCGTCCCCAGTACAGGTGTATGTTATATACTGTGTATATTTACACAGATGTCACATATACTCGTCCCCAGTACAGGTGTATGTTATATACTATAATTGTTAATTTACACAGATGTCACACACACTCGTCCCCAGCACAGGTGTATGTTATATACTATGTATATTTACACAGATGTCACACACACTCGTCCCCAGTACAGGTGTATGTTATATACTGTGTATATTTACACAGATGTCACACACACTCATCCCCAGTACAGGTGTATGTTATATACTGTGTATATTTACACAGATGTCACACACACTCGTCCCCAGCACAGGTGTATGTTATATACTATAACTGTTAATTTACACAGATGTCACACACACTCGTCCCCAGTACAGGTGTATGTTATATACTATGTATATTTACACAGATGTCACACACACTCGTCCCCAGTACAGGTGTATGTTATATACTATAATTGTTAATTTACACAGATGTCACACACACTCGTCCCCAGTACAGGTGTATGTTATATACTGTGTATATTTACACAGATGTCACAAACACTCGTCCCCAGCAAAGGTGTATGTTATATACTATAACTGTTAATTTACACAGATGTCACACACACTCGTCCCCAGTACAGGTGTATGTTATATACTGTGTATATTTACACAGATGTCACACACACTCGTCCCCAGTACAGGTGTATGTTATATACTATAATTGTTAATTTACGCAGATGTCACACACACTCGTCCCCAGTACAGGTGTATGTTATATACTATGTATATTTACACAGATGTCACACACACTCGTCCCCAGTACAGGTGTATGTTATATACTATAACTGTTAATTTACACAGATGTCACACACACTCGTCCCCAGCACAGGTGTATGTTATATACTATGTATATTTACACAAGATATCACATTCCATTTCTTTTACAACTATCGTAAGTTGATTCTGATTTTCTGAAATTTGTTCAGTTTTTGAGATCATCCTTATCACTGATTTTCTGAATGAACTTCCTTTAACACTTGTACATGTTCTGCTGTAATGCTGTGCAGTCTTCTGATCCTTCCTACTGTTGCTAGGGAGTCTTCCCTAACAGCTGCTGTACCAGTAATCAGAATCGCTGAGTTCTAGTTACAAGACTGCTAAATGCTTAGTTAAGCGATCTGGTTGGTCAGTGTGGTGGCTTTGATATTACTGTATATTCGATGCATTTTGAATTATTAATCAGAAATTTACATCTGGATTATTTAATATCAGTGTAAAATTATGATACATTGTTGTACAATTTAATGTGTCCTGGGTCTTTATTTACATGTTACATTCATGTGCTCAGTTTATTTAAATAATGACATTGTCTTTTTCCCTCTTTGTAACATTACTTGCAAATGAGCCAAGTTAAACCATGTATCATTATTTACAATAGATTATTACAATTCACAACTAACTGTCCATTGGTACATAAACTCTGATGAAAATGTGGAATAAAAATAAACTTTTTCTGGTGATTTTATATGCACATTGGAATATTTCTGTTTAACTTTCTAAGATACGTAGAGTAATATCCTGTGAATAGAATTCTGATTCAGGTTTAGAATTTGCTGTGAAAAATTCCTTGTCTCTTGAAACTGCTGATTACAGTTATTACTAGTTAGGAAACCTTTCCATGAGACATTAAACATAATGTATGTGTACACAACCTGCTGACAACTTGAGTATGTTGATATGGCAGATCAACCCCAACCTGATAATAGAATAACTGTTAGCTTACATTGTGATACATATTCATCAATTTTTTTTTACATCCTTTTAGACAAAGAAAAAAATCTACGAAGAGCAGCATCAAAAAATGGAAGAAACCGGAGACTCGTTTTTAGATAGCATTCGTCACGAATTTGATACTCGACCCGAGCCATGATTTACTGTTGTATACGCTACCTTTATTGGGATGTCATGAACGTAGATGTTGCTATCTGGACAATTCGAGAGATAAATGCTGGTGCTGATTTGTTATACCTTGAACTTTGACCTTGATGTGATCTACAATGATCTTGACTCACCAGCTTTAACACATGTGAATCCTCTTATTTTCAGTAGTTTAATGATAAGCCAGCATATTTTTTTCTACTTCAACTGAAGGCCGTATTAGTAGATGTTGAGCTGATGTTTAAGTGTAGAAACTCATCACTGAATACGCTTGGAGAGTTCCCTGTAGTTTGAACTGTCTGGACAATACCATGTCTAGCAGAAATGACAATAACCTAGGTAACTGTGAATATGGTTAGGTAGTGTGTTTTTAACAGTGAGATAATTTGTCCTCACTGTTCTTAGGTTTGGGAGACTTTACTTTGTATGGCTGTATCACTTTTTCTACCCTCTGTAAAGGATTATGTTTTATCAGACTGTGATATTCCCTCAGCTTTACCAGAATGTTACTATAGTATTAATACAACTAAGCTATGATTCTGTTGAATTAGAATGTTTTGTTATATCTGTCACACCATATCATGTTGATATTTTAAACTGTTGGTAGTAGTGTGTGTCAATAGCTGTCTGACAGATTATGACTTGATTGTGCCATATTTAGTCTAATTAGTGTGTAGGTACCTAGGAATGTACAGGCATCAGAAAGTCCTGTGGTAGTTAGAATCGAGAGACCCAAGGAAGACAAAAACAAGTAGAGAGACCCAGAGGAGATAATACCGGGAGACCTAAGGAAGTTAATAACAAGTAGAGATATCCAAGGGAGATAATAACAAGTAGATATATCTAAGGGAGATAATAACAAGTAGAGATATCCAAGGGAGATAATAACAAGTAGAGATACCCAAGGGAGATAATAACAAGTATAGATATCCAAGGGAGATAATAACAAGTAGAGATACCCAAGGGAGATAATAACAAGTAGAGATATCCAAGGGAGATAATAACAAGTATAGATATCCAAGGGAGATAATAACAAGTAGAGATACTCAAGGGAGATAATAACAGGTAACAAATAGAGACATACTTGAGAGGATAATGAAAAGGGTAACCCAAGGGAGATTATAACAAGTAGACAGACCCAAGGGAGATTATAACAAGTCTACAGAAAGTTGATTAGGTTGAATGTAGTACAAGTCTATCCATTATTACATATAACATGATAATGATCGTGGTGTTGATACTGTTATCTGTCTCTAGGTGCAGGGTATGGTTTATCATTTATATGTACAACATCATTTAGTATTTGTTTATTATGTATTTTAAAAGTTTATTGCTTTGTATTGTTACAATTGTATAATTATTTAGTGAGAGACTTACAGCAACGTTACTTCCAGTAATATTTTTTATAATCTGTGTTACTTCTTGATCAAACTGACATGGTATGTATAAATATCACGTGTTCATGTAACAGAAATGAAACGATGCTGCCAACACTTGTCATTCTGCTTGTTTAGCAAGTTACAAGATTACATTCTGTATATCATCATGTGTCTGAGGACATTGTCATTTAGGTGTGTTGTGAGACTTAGTTATGTGGGTTTGTCTTAGAATATCATTACATTGGCATGTCCAAGGACATCATCATTCCTGTATAATTTGCTCGCTTGTAAGAATTAAGAATTGTAATGATATTAATTGTGATATATATTACTTCAAACAAATTTCAGTACTTAGACTTGATTGTGGATTTGCATTACAAATTTGAAAATTCCTGCGAACATTTACTATGCTCTTCATGACAGTGTTTTATTGTATAAATACAGGAATTTGTCAGGTGGAGTTCATGCGTACATGAATTCATTAGGTGGAGTTTATATACATACAGGAATTTGTCAGGTGGAGTTCATGCGTACAGGAATTCATTAGGTGGAGTTTATATACATACAGGAATTTGTCAGGTGGAGTTCATGCGTACAGGAATTCATTAGGTGGAGTTTATATACATACAGGAATTTGTCAGGTGGAGTTCATGTGTACATGAATTCATTAGGTGGAGTTTATATACATACAGGAATTTGTCAGGTGGAATTCATTAGGTGGAGTTTATATACATACAGGAATTTGTCAGGTGGAGTACAGGAATTCATTAGGTGGAGTTTATATACATACAGGAATTTGTCAGGTGGGGTTCATGCGTACAGGAATTCATTAGGTGGAGTTTATATACATACAGGAATTTGTCAGGTGGAGTTCATGCGTACAGGAATTCATTAGGTGGAGTTTATATACATACAGGAATTTGTCAGGTGGAGTTCATGCGTACAGGAATTCATTAGGTGGAGTTTATATACATACAGGAATTTGTCAGGTGGAGTTCATGCGTACAGGAATTCATTAGGTGGAGTTTATATACATACAGGAATTTGTCAGGTGGAGTTCATGCGTACAGGAATTCATTAGGTGGAGTTTATATACATACAGGAATTTGTCAGGTGGAGTTCATGCGTACATGAATTCATTAGGTGGAGTTTATATACATACAGGAATTTGTCAGGTGGAGTTCATGCGTACAGGAATTCATTAGGTGGAGTTTATATACATACAGGAATTTGTCAGGTGGAGTATATACATACATTAACACGTCGGTGGAATTCATGCATACATGAATTTGTCAAGTGGATTTTATACATACAGGAATGTTGTAGGGTGGAGTTTATTTGTACATGAATTGATGGGGTGAAGTTGTTAGAAGTTTAAAAACAAATGCTCATTACGTGCTCATTGATATTCTAAAAACATATCTACATATTTTACATACATGGAAAATAATTCAGCATATTATTTAAAGTTTAAAAGATTTAAATGAATAACCTTGTAAAATTGAAATCTATTTTAGTGAAATGATCAAAACTTATATTGTCAAGATAAATGTAGCATTTGAACATTTTAAAATCCAAATCTGGTACTAAATATCATAAAGTAAATTTAATACTGTGTCTATTATTTAACATATATAATGCTGGTGTTTCCATATTTGGAATTATTTATTTAGTGTTACACACTGTTGTTGGTATTAAATACTCTAGTAAGTTAATGCTACTGAGATTGTATCACAGTTATAAGATTTATAACAGTGGTTCTCTGACTGTGTCTTCAATTATGACTATCAAAGGGTAACATCAAAGAAAACAGATGAGTCACTTGGTACATACTTTCCATTGTACAATGTTATCATAAACTTATCCCGCAAGTATTTGGTGTAAGAATACATTTATAAGTTGTTTTTTATTAATCACTTTGTCTGTGATACTGTTAATTTAACTAATTTCTGGAGAAATATATCAAGAAACATCATAATCATGTTACGAGTTCTGCAGTAGTTTTTAGGATTAAGGTTATTGTAAAATGCAATTTCACTTGTTCAAAGTTAAAAATCTGGTAGCTGTACCTCTTTACCACAGACCTCATTTAAGAAGCTAACTGTTGAATGTACATAGCCAGAGTAGAAGGTATTGCTAAATAATTTGATGTGCTAGAGAGAGACTTTAACTCTAGATAAAAAATAAAAACTTTGCTACAGGATGGAATGCTCCATGTTGTTTGATCATTGTTGTTTTATCTCACAAATAATTATCTATATTTCCAAATTAGTTGAAAATGATAAATTGTGATTTGCTTTTATCTGTCTCCTCTGTATATACTTCAAGCTCTTACCAAATTTTATTTCCGTATATTTTCAGTCTGAGCGTATTAAATCTTTGTCCCATCATACTATAGTCTAATAGTGAATGAGAGGAATGAGTATCAGTTCTTAGCTTGTTTTCTGATCCCTAATATACATACATAGTTAATCCAATGAATGATGTACAAAACTTGAACTAATACACGGTTAATCAGGAAATGTCTCTCAGTGAAAGATTCCAGTATGAATGTAGTTATTAACCAATCAGAATGTAATAATTTGTTGTCAACCAATCAGAGTCCAGCAAATATCAACCAATCGGAGAACATAAGACATTTAATGAGACATAGTATGCATAAACAACACAACCTCTCTTTGTCTTGTTGATTTAAATATATTTATTGATAAAATATTTCATTTAAAACTTAAAAATAATTATACAAAATAACATTATTTCTTTGATTTTAAAACGGTATAATAAAGTGATTAGGAAAGACATCAAAGAGGAGACTGAGATTTACCATGCCAATTTGTTCTATATCCAACTGATGTATCAACTTCATAATGAAACAGAACTGTTATATAATGATGAACACCTTTTTATAAAAAAACTGAACACTCATTTAGGTTTCAAAGTCTATATATATAACTATAAAAAATGTTTTGGTTGTGTTTCAATTTTACTCTGTTGCTTTCTGCTTTGGAGATACACATGATGTGTTAAAAATTGGTAGATATATCTGGTTATATAAAACACCGACACTGTCACATCTACAGAAAAACATACACAGATAGTGAAGCTGTGAAGATCGTGTACAAAGTAAAACTATGTACTTGTAGAAAATGTTTCCTGGTACTAAACATAGGGAGAGAATTTAACCAAATCTTTGAACAAATATTCAATAAATTATACCAACACTGCAAGAAGATATATTTGTTATAAAGTTTTGAGCAGTAAACAGGGAAGAATCTTTCCTGCTGTCCAGATATCGGGACACTAATTAAAAAAGCAGATCTAATAGCAAAGAAAATTAATTTTCTCAAACACAAGACATTCTGAAGCATACCATTTAACTCTTTCTCCCCACCTTCTTAAAAGTGAGTTGTACAAAGCATACACTGATATGACACAATACAGAAAAACCATTACAAATAATAGAGAATGTTTTTATTTCAATCCCTGGTAACTAATTAAATTGAATTAAGTTAAATACATGTTATACCCTTAACTAATGCAACATGAATGACCCCAATTTCAATTGATACCAGCCTGAATATTGGCTGAATTCCCTTTAGTCCCTTTGTATAATAGACACTTAACACAAAAGGAGAGATAGTCCAGTCAGCTTTCACAAACAGATTTACAATAATGGAACAAAGTTTTAACTTTTATCAAAGATTTTCATTTAAATCTTATCTTGTATAAAAATATTCACCAGTCCTTACAATGGTCATCTGGCTACCAAGACCAATATATGATACACTGGTAACAGCAGTAGTGGCATTGGGAACAATTACTGAACAAGTAAAACAGAATATTTCAGCAGTGACAGCAAAAACAAAATTCATTTCACTTTGTTTACATTCTCACAAAATTCCAGACCAATGGCATCAGTGGAACTAGGGAGGAAGTTTAGAATGTGTTTTTCAAGATGGTGGCTATTCTGGATTTCAGAAGAACCAACAAACTTAATAAACAACATGTGATCAGAACCGTGTTGGGAGTATTTCAGGTTTCAGGTTTCAACTCAATCCCACCAGTGGAACTTGAAAAAAAAGTTTTAATGTTTTTTTCAAGATGGTGGACCTGACGGCAATGTTGGATTTTGAACAGGCCCGCAAAATGAACCAAAAGGAAAAATAAGAGCAATTGGTCAGGACTATCTCAGGATAATTACCGGTAAGTCAGCTGAATTCTATTGATGGAACAAAAATGTCAGTTCAACGCACCAGTTAAAGTTATGAAAGAGTTTAAAATGTGTTTTGGAGATGATGGCAATGGCTGTCGCATCAAATTTTGGAAAGACCCAAAAAATAACAGCACTTGGTTAGGACCATGTCGGGAAATTGAGAAGAGGTTTAAAATGTGAAATGATTATGCACAGTGAATGGTGGATAGTGGATGCCACACGGACGGTGGCTATAGGTCATCCTGATTCTTCAGGTTACCTGATCAAATTAATGTAAACATCTCAAGTTAATATATTTCAGGATAAGTATCAGGTATCAAACTTGATGATAGTGAAGTACAGTATGAAAACATCTACAGTGAACAGAACCTTAATCATTGACAATAGAAATTATGTTGAACTAAGGCTCTAGGTATCCATGTGAAACCAAGCAATGAAACACAGGTAAGGTTCTAGTATTGATGTAACCCAGCAATGAAACACAGGTAAGGTTCTAGTATTGATGTAACCCAGCAATGAAACACAGGTAAGGTTCTAGTATTGATGTAACCCAGCAATGAAACACAGGTAAGGTTCTAGTATTGATGTAACCCAGCAATGAAACACAGGTAAGGTTCTAGTATTAATGTAACCCAGCAATGTAACACAGGTACCCAGCAATGAAACACAGGTAAGGTTCTAGTATTGATGTAACCTAATATTTATATACAGTTCTGTTAGTTTTTATCTTTTTATGAAATGACCTACTTATATAATCAAATAGATTTACATATTTACAATGTACAGTATTACCTCTACAATAATGAAAAATATTACATAATGCACTGTCTGGCTGGTATATCTAATAAAAATACTTCTGATATGTGTAAAGTCACATACAAAATACTTTTACCTGATAGTGATATATGGTGAAACACACAACCATACTTAAAATCAACCTGTTATTTAATAGTGTCTCATCCTGCCCTCACTACCTGAACCTACGAAAACTCCAGTCACAACACTACCTTACAAGCATTGACCCCCAAACACTACCTCACAAACATTGACCCCCAAACACTGACCTCCAAACACTACCTCACAAACACTGACCCCCAAACACTACCTCACAAACACTGACCCCCAAACACTACCCCACAAACACTCACCCCCAAACACTGACCCCCAAACACTACCTCACAAACACTGACCCCTAAACACTACCTCACAAACACTGACCCCCAAACACTGACCCCCAAACGCTACCTCACAGACACTGACCCCCAAACACTACCTCACAAACACTGACCCCCAAACACTACCTCACAAACACTGACCCCTAAACACTACCTCACAAACACTGACCCCCAAACACTACCTCACAAACACTGACCCCCAAACACTACCTCACAAACACTGACCCCCAAACACTACCTCACAAACACTGACCCCCAAACGCTACCTCACAAACACTGACCCCTAAAACACTGATTGTAATTGTCAGTAATTGTATAAAACACTTCTTTTTTTTTTTACATATGTGTGGCAGATTAAGATTTCCTCTATAGCAGATATGAGTTTCTTACTGGGCTGAATATATGCTGCATTGTATGCTGGTATGTTTACAGTTCCAAGTATTCTGGGCAATATATTCTCACACATCCATGTGGTTACAGATATTCTGGGGTAGGGCATAAGTTTCTCACAAACACCCATGTAGGGCATTAGATTCTCACACACACCCATGTACGGCATTAGATTCTCACACACATCCATGTGGTTACAGATATTCTGGGGTAGGGCATTAGATTCTCACACACATCCACGTGGTTACAGATATTCTGGGGTAGGGCATTAGATTCTCACACACATCCACGTGGTTACAGATATTCTGGGGTAGGGCATTAGATTCTCACACACATCCACGTGGTTACAGATATTCTGGGGTAGGGCATTAGATTCTCACACACATCCACGTGGTTACAGATATTCTGGGGTAGGGCATTAGATTCTCACACACATCCACGTGGTTACAGATATTCTGGGGTAGGGCATTAGATTCTCACACACATCCACGTGGTTACAGATATTCTGGGGTAGGGCATTAGATTCTCACACACATCCATGTGGTTACAGATATTCTTGGGTAGGGCATTAGATTCTCACACACATCCATGTGGTTACAGATATTCTGGGGTAGGGCATTAGATTCTCACACACATCCATGTAGGGCATTAGATTCTCACTCACATCCATGTGGTTACAGATATTCTGGGGTAGGGCATTAGATTCTCACACACATCCATGTAGGGCATTAGATTCTCACACACACCCATGTGATTACAGATATTCTGGGGTAGGGCATTAGATTCTCACAAACATCCATGTGGTTACAGATATTCTGGGGTAGGGCATTAGATTCTCACACACATCCATGTAGTTACAGTTATTCTGGGGTAGGGCATTAGATTCTCACACACATCCATGTAGTTACAGTTATTCTGGGGTAGGGCATTAGATTCTCACATACATCCTTGTGATTAATGGTATTCCATTCATCATTAAACTAAATTAATGTCTATTAAATAATGAAGTATACAACATATAATCTATTTTTACAATAAGTATTATTTCATAACAGGTAGGCCTTTACAAGTAAAAGGAATGATGGATAGATTTCTGTTATAAATAGTGTACAATAATGTATTTATATATAAACACAAACATTGATAACATATTAGACTTGAATATGCATGTTATATTAGAAAATACCTCTAATTGCATAGAAATGATCCAACACCCAACAAGGATCACACAGAGAAATGGTCTTGTTTATTAAAGACACCAGGATCACACACAGAGACAGTCTTTTGTATTACAGACACAAGGATCACACACATAGATAGTCTTGTGTATTACAGACACAAGGATCACACACATAGACAGTCTTGTGTATTACAGACACAAGGATCACACACATAGACAGTCTTGTGTATTACAGACACAAGGATCACACACATAGACAGTCTTGTGTATTACAGACACAAGGATCACACACATAGACAGTCTTGTGTATTACAGACACAAGGATCACACACATAGACAGTCTTGTGTATTACAGACACAAGGATCACACACATAGACAGTCTTGTGTATTACAGACACAAGGATCACACACATAGACAGTCTTGTGTATTACAGACACAAGGATCACACACATAGATAGTCTTGTGTATTACAGACACAATAGATCAGATGTTAGTAAATAAATAAAGACAGTTCTTTATACTATTCACTATCTATCAGAAAATGGAGGAGAAATGTGAGAAATTGGAATCAGAATCGTGAAGTGTTGTTTTCATTGCCGTCTATGTGTCTTGTCCTGCGATTTGTGACGGGGGACTGTTGAGGAGTATTCGCTGCCACAGTCTCTGCAATTGTTCGCACAAACCTGCGTCCACCTTCAGATATAATAAAGAAAACAATCAGTATGTGTTAATTATAAATACAGCTATCATTGTATTTGCAATAAAAACTTTGCTGTCACTACAAATACAGTGAGTAATTCAAGTTAAAAAGTTCTACACACAATTCTTCTTTGTTTTATATTTCTACCATTGTGTTTTTTGAAGACCAATATGGAATACATCTAAATAAATAATTTGAAAAATGTTACTAAATGAAAATATAGTATTACTACACATCAGACAAGTTCTGTGGTTAAATGTTAGAAACACAGTACTTCCACACCAACTTATGCGATTCTCAAACACAATCACTATTGTACTTTCATGCACATATAAAAGATGTCTTAAGATAATTGAAACAAATTTTAGGACCAGGAATAACATGCAATATCATCTAACATGCTCTCTTTTTATTAGTATCAGAACACCTCACACATTTCTTATGTAACTACTTCATCATTACTATTGAGTGATATCATAGAATCTCAAACCGACTTACTGATACATCAAAAGAAGCTGAGATACCCCCAAAGACAAGGTCACATGAGATGCCCCTAAGACAAAATCACATGAGATACCCCCAAGACAAGATCACATGAGATACCCCCAAGACAAGATCACATGAGATACCCCCAAGACAAGGTCACATGAGATACCCCCAAGACAAGATCACATGAGATACCCCCAAGACAAGGTCACATGAGGTACCCCCAAGACAAGATCACATGAGATACCCCCAAGACAAGGTCACATGAGATACCCCCAAGACAAGATCACATGAGATACCCCCAAGACAAGGTCACATGAGGTACCCCCAAGACAAGGTCACATGAGATACCCCCAAGACAAGGTCACATGAGATACCCCCAAGACAAAATCACATGAGATACCCCCAAGACAAGGTCACATGAGATACCCCCAAGACAAGGTCACATGAGATACCCCCAAAGACAAGGTCACATGAGATACCCCCAAAGACAAGGTCACATGAGATACCCCAAAGACAAGGTCACATGAGATACCCCAAAGACAAGGTCACATGAGATACCCCTAAGACAAGATCACATGAGATACCCCCAAGACAAGATCACATGAGATACCCCCAAGACAGGATCACATGAGATACCCTCAAGACAAGATCACATGAGATACCCCAAAGACAAGGTCACATGAGATACCAAAAAAGACAAGATCACATTAGATACCCCAAAGACAAGGTCACATGAGATACCCCCAAGACAAGGTCACATGAGATACCCCCAAGACAAGGTCACATGAGATACCCCCAAGACAGGATCACATGAGACACCCCCAAGACAAAATCACATGAGATACCCCCAAGACAAGGTCAAAGTGACACCAGATACACCATAGACAAAGTGACACCAGATATACACCACAGACAAAGTGACATCAAATATACACCATAGACAAAGTGACATCAGATATACACCACAGACAAAGTGACACCAGATACACCATAGACAAAGTGACACCAGATATACCATAAACAAAGTGACACCAGATATACACCATAGACAAAAGTGACACCAGATACACCACAGACAAAGTAACACCAGATACACCATAGACAAAGTGACACCAGATACACCACAGACAAAGTGACATCGGATATACACCACAGACAAAGTGACATCAGATATACACCTTAGACAAAGTGACACCAGATATACACCAGAGACAAAGTGACACCAGATACACCACAGATAAAGTGACACCAGATATACACCAGAGACAAAGTGACACCAGATACACCACAGACAAAGTGACACCAGATACAACATAGACAAAGTGACACCAGATACACCACAGACAAAGTGACACCAGATACACCATAGACAAAGTGACACCAGATACACCATAGACCAAAGTGACACCAGATACACCACAGACAAAGTTGACACCAGATAAACCACTGACAAAGTGACACCAGATACACCTTAGACAAAGTGACACCAGATACACCACAGACAAAGTGACACCAGATATACACCACAGACAAAGTGACACCAGATAAACCACTGACAAAGTGACACCAGATACACCACAGACAAAGTGACACCAGATACAACATAGACAAAGTGACACCAGATACAACATAGACAAAGTGACACCAGATACACCACAGACAAAGTGACACCAGATACACCATAGACAAAGTGACACCAGATACACCATAGACCAAAGTGACACCAGATACACCACAGACAAAGTTGACACCAGATAAACCACTGACAAAGTGACACCAGATACACCTTAGACAAAGTGACACCAGATACACCACAGACAAAGTGACACCAGATATACACCACAGACAAAGTGACACCAGATACACCACAGACAAAGTGACACAAGATACAATACAAAGTGACACCAGATACACCACAGACAAAGTGTCACCAGATACACCACAGACAAAGTTGACACCAGATAAACCACAGACAAAGTGACACCAGATATACACCACAGACAAAGTGACACCAGATATACACCACAGACAAAGTGACACCAGATACACCACAGACAAAGTGACACCAGATACAATACAAAGTGACACCAGATACACCACAGACAAAGTGTCACCAGATACACCACAGACAAAGTTGACACCAGATAAACCACTGACAAAGTGACACCAGATACACCTTAGACAAAGTGACACCAGATACACCACAGATGAGGCCAATTCTGCAATGCGTCCCTGAGAAGGTAACACAAGATTGGTCTCAGACACATCCCTGATGTGCAATCATATACTCCCTTATAGTGATTAGCTGACTAGCTATTAGTAATTAGCTGACTAGCTTTTAGCAATTAGCTGACTAGCTTTTAGCAATTAGCTAACAAGTTTTATTGCAAACAAGAGGCCCAAGTTGCCTTAATGGTTACAAACTGAAACAATTGAAATGAATGTAAGTATAGAGAAGAGAAAATGAGAAATGCTATTTGTACAGCAACACAAGAGTTTTACTTCATGACCCTTCTTTCCAAGAAGAGTATAAGATTCTACCCTATTTGGATTTTGAGAAGAGTATAAGATTCTACCCTATTTGGGTTTTGAGAAGAGTATAAGATTCTACCCTATTTGGATTTTGAGAAGAGTATAAGATTCTACCCTATTTGGATTTTGAGAAGAGTATAAGATTCTACCCTATTTGGATTTTGAGAAGAGTATAAGATTCTACCCTATTTGGATTTTGAGAAGAGTATAAGATTCTACCCTATTTGGATTTTGAGAAGAGTATAAGATTCTACCCTATTTGGATTTTGAGAAGAGTTTTGAAATTTCAGTAAATTTGCCCCTGTTTATCCTCACCACTCAGGCCCTTTTGGAATGGGGACTGAAGAATTTACAATTTTGGTTAACCTGAGGCCATGAAAGTTTTCGAATGAGTTTCAATGAAATAAGTTTACAGGTTTTCCAGAAGAAGTCAAATAATGTGAAAAGTTTATACATGTATATACAATTACGGACACATGATCGACGATGGACGCTGGACGACAGACGACGCTGGACGACAGATGACGCTGGACAAAAGGGTATTGCAATAGGTCACCTAACACTTTTTCTCAGGTGACCTAATAAAGCTTCAGCATTAGATAGAAGTAGCAGCAGAAACAACACTGCTAATGTTCTACAAGTAGGCAGCATTACAGACTATAGGCGAAACACTTATCACAGAAACAATTGATATCAATTCAAGGAGTTGATGACAATTATGTTATTGATAAATCAGTCAAATCTCCTATCACATTACCTAGTAACTGGGGTAGACAGTCCTGAAATGTCATTTATACAAAAACTTTCAAAAAAATAATCCCATGTCATGTAAAACCCTCAACCTCCTTGAATATAACAAATGTGTGGTCCCTGATCATACAAAAATACCATACATTTCCACCCCACCATACACAAATACAATACTTATCATACTGTAATAGCTCTATGTCCTTACAAAGTTGAATGCATCAGGTCAGGTTCAAACTCAATTGCAAATAAAAATCTCTGAATACATCAAAATTTTACTTCCTTTCAAATTAGCTAATAATAATTTACAGCTAATCAAATGGTGAAATTCCTTCAGAGAATCATTATTTCAATATCACTATCACATAGTGCTGTTGGTTTTTTTTCTGTAAACCAAACCAATTCAACTGTATAAAGGCAGACCTGTAAAAATAGAACATGCAGGTTTGTACATCACCAATGATAAATTCAGAAAAAGGTTTCACCTCTTTTACAATAATCAGGAATTTATGTAGAATGCCTTTCTCATAATAGTGCATTCTGGGATGTATGGTGACGCTGTCTCTCTCCCTACAGATGAATACACACACCAGAGGTTTCCTAGACAGATATCACTGAAATACCAAGCTAATGTAACACTGTTCAACTGAACTCTACATCAGAGAAAAGACTTTAATCAAAGGTCATCTCACCAGCAGTACAAAACACATGATTGTTACATCTTAGTACTTAGGAGACGGTCAATCTGTTGAGATGTGAATAAAGTTAGAGAATGGTCAGTCAGTATATGATTGGTAGATTACAATATAGTTTGAGAGTGGTCAGTCAGTACATGGACGATTGGTAGATTACAATATAGTTTGAGAGTGGTCAGTCAATATTTCGACGATTGGTAGATTACAATACAGTTTGAGAGTGGTCAGGCAATATATGGACGATTGGTAGATTACAATATAGTTTGAGAGTGGTCAGTCAATACATGGACGATTGGTAGATTACAATACAGTTTGAGAGTGGTCAGTCAGTACATGATAATTGGTAGATTACAATATAGTTTGAGAGTGGTCCGTCAATATATGGACGATTGGTAGATTACAATACAGTTTGAGAGTGGTCAGTCAATATTTCGACGATTGGCATATTACAATATAGTTTGAGAATGGTCAGTCAGTACATGATGATTGGTAGATTACAATATAGTTTGAGAGTGGTCAGTCAGTACATGATGATTGGTAGATTACAATATAGTTTGAGAATGGTCAGTCAGTACATGATGATTGGTAGATTACAATATAGTTTGAGAGTGGTCAGTCAATATATGGACGATTGGTAGATTACAATGTAGTTTGAGAGTGGTCAGTCAATATATGGACGATTGGTAGATTACAATACAGTTTGAGAGTGGTCAGTCAGTACATGATAATTGGTAGATTACAATATAGTTTGAGAGTGGTCAGTCAATATTTCGACGATTGGCATATTACAATATAGTTTGAGAATGGTCAGTCAGTACATGATGATTGGTAGATTACAATATAGTTTGAGAGTGGTCAGTCAGTACATGATGATTGGTAGATTAAAATATAGTTTGAGAGTGGTCAGTCAGTACATGATGATTGGTAGATTACAATATAGTTTGAGAATGGTCAGTCAGTACATGATGATTGGTAGATTACAATATAGTTTGAGAATCAATATATAGATTGGTAGATTACAATGTAGTTTGAGAGTGGTCAGTCAATATATGGACGATTGGTAGATTACAATATAGTTTGAGAGTGGTCAGTCGATGATTGGTAGTACATGATGATTGGTAGATTACAATATAGTTTGAGAGTGGTCAGTCAATATATGATGATTGGTAGATTACAATACAGTTTGAGAGTGGTCAGTCAATATATGGACGATTGGTAGATTACAATGTAGTTTGAGAGTGGTCAGTCAATATATGGACGATTGGTAGATTACAATATAGTTTGAGAGTGGTCAGTCAATACATGATGATTGGTTGATTACAATATAGTTTGAGAGTGGTCAGTCAATACATGATGATTGGTAGATTACAATATAGTTTGAGAGTGGTCAGTCATACATGATGATTGGTAGATTACAATATAGTTTGAGAGTGGTCAGTCAATATATGGACGATTGGTAGATTACAATGTAGTTTGAGAGTGGTCAGTCAATATATGGACAATTGGTAGATTACAATACAGTTTGAGAGTGGTCAGTCAATATTTCGACGATTGGTAGATTACAATACAGTTTGAGAGTGGTCAGTCAATATATGGACGATTGGTAGATTAAAATACAGTTTGAGAGTGGTCCGTCAATATATGGACGATTGGTAGATTACAATATAGTTTGAGAGTGGTCAGTCAGTACATGATGATTGGTAGATTACAATATAGTTTGAGAATGGTCAGTCAGTACATGATGATTGGTAGATTACAATATAGTTTGAGAGTGGTCAGTCAATATATGATGATTGGTAGATTACAATATAGTTTGAGAATGGTCAGTCAGTATATGATGATTGGTAGATTACAATACAGTTTGAGAGTGGTCAGTCAATATATGGACGATTGGTAGATTACAATATAGTTTGAGAGTGGTCAGTCAATATTTCGATGATTGGTAGATTACAATATAGTTTGAGAATGGTCCGTCAATATATGGACGATTGGTAGATTACAATATAGTTTGAGAGTGGTCAGTGAATACATGGACGATTGGTAGATTACAATATAGTTTGAGAGTGGTCAGTCAATATATGATGATTGGTAGATTACAATATAGTTTGAGAGTGGTAAGTCAATATATGGACGACTGGTAGATTACAATATAGTTTGAGAGTGGTCAGTGAATACATGGACGATTGGTAGATTACAATATAGTTTGAGAGTGGTCAGTCAGTACATGATGATTGGTAGATTACAATATAGTTTGAGAATGGTCAGTCAGTATATGATGATTGGTAGATTACAATATAGTTTGAGAGTGGTCAGTCAGTACATGATGATTGGTAGATTACAATATAGTTTGAGAATGGTCAGTCAGTACATGAGATTGGTAGATTACAATATAGTTTGAATGGTCAGTCAATATATGATGATTGGTAGATTACAATATAGTTTGAGAGTGGTCAGTCAGTACATGATGACTGGTAGATTAAAATATAGTTTGAGAGTGGTCAGTCAGTACATATATGGTAGATTACAATATAGTTTGAGATGGTAGTCAATATATGATGATTGGTAGATTACAATATAGAGAGTGGTCAGTCAATATATGGATGATTGGTAGATTACAATATAGTTTGAGAGTGGTCAGTCAATATATGATGATTGGTAGATTACAATATAGTTTGAGAGTGGTCAGTCAATATATGATGATGATTGGTAGATTACAATATAGTTTGAGAATGGTCCGTCAATATATGGACGATTGGTAGATTACAATATAGTTTGAGAGTGGTCAGTGAATACATGGACGATTGGTAGATTACAATATAGTTTGAGAGTGGTCAGTCAATATATGATGATTGGTAGATTACAATATAGTTTGAGAGTGGTCAGTCAATATATGGACGATTGGTAGATTACAATGTAGTTTGAGAGTGGTCAGTCAATATATGGACGATTGGTAGATTACAATATAGTTTGAGAGTGGTCAGTCAATATTTCGATGATTGGTAGATTACAATATAGTTTGAGAATGGTCAGTCAGTATATGATGATTGGTAGATTACAATATAGTTTGAGAGTGGTCAGTCAGTACATGATGATTGGTAGATTACAATATAGTTTGAGAATGGTCAGTCAGTACATGATGATTGGTAGATTAAATAGAGTTTGAGAATGGTCAGTCAGTATATGATTGGTAGATTACAATATAGTTTGAGAATGGTCAGTCAGTACATGATGATTTGTAGATTACAATATAGTTTGAGAGTGGTCAGTCAGTACATGATGATTGGTAGATTACAATATAGTTTGAGAGTGGTCAGTCAGTACATGATGATTGGTAGATTACAATATAGTTTGAGAGTGGTCAGTCAATACATGGACGATTGGTAGATTACAATATAGTTTGAGAGTGGTCAGTCAGTACATGATGATTCGTAGATTACAATATAGTTTGAGAGTGGTCAGTCAGTACATGGCATTCTGTTGATCTGTATTAGAAAGAAGTTGAACAATTACAGATACCTACCTGGTGAGGTCAAGGATTCCATAGAAGTAGCCGATGTTGGGGACAAGATACGATTCTCAGTAGATGGCCGCAGTTTCTCCTTTCTTGACCGACTGACCTCTTGTAACATATTCAACAGGTATGCTTTATCACGTCCTTCCTGCAATAGTTAACAATTTTATCATGTATTCCAATGCAATTTTACCTTTAACTCATTTAACTCTGTAAGCATTGTTACCATCCTAAAGTTTATCTAGTCAACAGACTTTGACATAATCAGCCTTGTTCCCATCCTAAAGTTTATCTAGTCAACAGACTTTGACATAATCAGCCTTGTTCCCATCCTAAAGTTTATCTAGTCAACAGACTTTGACATAATCAGCCTTGTTCCCATCCTAAAGTTTATCTAGTCAACAGACTTTGACATAATCAGCCTTGTTCCCATCCTAAAGTTTATCTAGTCAACAGACTTTGACATAATCAGCCTTGTTCCATCCATAAAGTCCTAAAGTTTATCTAGTCAACAGACTTTGACATAATCAGCCTTGTTCCCATCCTAAAGTTTATCTAGTCAACAGACTTTGACATAATCAGCCTTGTTCCCATCCTAAAGTTTATCTAGTCAACAGACTTTGACATAATCAGCCTTGTTCCCATCCTAAAGTTTATCTAGTCAACAGACTTTGACATAATCAGCCTTGTTCCCATCCTAAAGTTTATCTAGTCAACAGACTTTGACATAATCAGCCTTGTTCCCATCCTAAAGTTTATCTAGTCAACAGATCTAGTCAACAGACTTTGACATAATCAGCCTTGTTCCCATCCTAAAGTTTATCTAGTCTACAGACTTTGACCTAATCAGCCTTGTTCCCATCCTAAAGTTTATCTAGTCAACAGACTTTGACATAATCAGCCTTGTTCCCATCCTAAAGTTTATCTAGTCTACAGACTTTGACCTAATCAGCCTTGTTCCCATCCTAAAGTTTAACTAGTCTACAGACTTTGACCTATTCAGTCTTGTTCCCATCCTAAAGTTTATCTAGTCAACAGACTTTGACATAATCAGCCTTGTTCCCATCCTAAAGTTTATCTAGTCTACAGACTTTGACCTAATCAGCCTTGTTCCCATCCTAAAGTTTAACTAGTCTACAGACTTTGACCTATTCAGTCTTGTTCCCATCCTAAAGTTTATCTAGTCAACAGACTTTGACATAATCAGCCTTGTTACCATCCTTAAGTTTATCTAGTCTACAGACTTTGACCTAATTAGCCTTGTTCCCATCCTAAAGTTTATCTAGTCTACAGACTTTGACCTAATTAGCCTTGTTCCCATCCTAAAGTTTATCTAGTCTACAGACTTAGACCTACATGTAATCTGCTTTGTTCCCAATCCTAAGATGATTTTCAGGCCTTAAACCAAGTAAGTATAACAGAGATGATGTTTACATGTACAATTACATTTCACAAATCAAAATTTTCTATAAAAACACTATAGAGCTTACCATAGCCAACTGTTGTCGCAGAAGCTTGACCATTTCTTTGTGGCCCACCATTACTATCCTCATGTAGTAGGTACCAACACTACAAACAGAGAGCAAAACATGAAACATTGATACTGACATAGAGATACAGCACAATGTGACATAGACACTGACATAGAGATACAGCACAATGTGACATAGACACTGACATAGAGATACATCACAATGTCACATTGACACTGACATAGAGATATTGTAAAAGGCCATGTTTTTTGACATTCCAATACCTACAGTTCACACATTTGATAGAGTCAATTTCTTTATTCCTCTGATCCAACACAAGTTACAGCCTGTAATACTACCTATATGATAAGGCTATGTGGTCAGTTTCTTTATTCCTCTGATCCAACACAAGTTACAGCCTGTAATACTACCTATATGATAAGGCTATGTGGTCAGTTTCTTTATTCCTCTGATCCAACACAAGTTACAGCCTGTAATACTACCTATATGATAAGGCTATGTGGTCAGTTTCTTTATTCCTCTGATCCAACACAAGTTACAGCCTGTAATACTACCTATATGATAAGGCTATGTGGTCAGTTTCTTTATTCCTCTGATCCAACACAAGTTACAGCCTGTAATACTACATAAATGATTGGACCTCATCTTTTCTTACCTAAAGGCTACTAGTACACTGGCAATGAAACCAGGTGAGGAAACCAGTTTAAAGATTTCTCGAAGCCATTTCAGGTCCCCCTTCCAGCTGTTGACAAGGGTGGTCACAATGTCATATGCCTGCATCTGGCCCTGGAAGGGTCCACAAATACTGCTGGGCTGCACGCTAAACATTTCCATATAAACATCTGTAGTTATTACACAGTACAAAATTATAAATACATTCGACATAAAAAATTGTATAGAGAATCTCACGTGATTTTACATTCATGTGAGTTATATAAATATATAGAGAATCTCACGTGATTTTACATTCATGTGAGTTATATAAATATATAGAGAATCTTACGTGATTTTACATTCATGTGAGTTATATAAATATATAGAGAATCTTACGTGATTTTACATTCATGTGAGTTATATAAATATATAGAGAATCTTACGTGATTTTACATTCATGTGAGTTATATAAATATATAGAGAATCTTACGTGATTTTACATTCATGTGAGTTATATAAATATATAGAGAATCTCACGTGATTTTACATTCATGTGAGTTATATAAATATATAGAGAATCTCACGTGATTTTACATTCATGTGAGTTATATAAATATATAGAGAATCTTACGAGATTTTACATTCATGTGAGTTATATAAATATATAGAGAATCTTACGTGATTTTACATTCATGTGAGTTATATAAATATATAGAGAATCTTACGTGATTTTACATTCATGTGAGTTATATAAATATATAGAGAATCTTACGTGATTTTACATTCATGTGAGTTATATAAATATATAGAGAATCTCACGTGATTTTACATTCATGTGAGTTATATAAATATATAGAGAATCTCACGTGATTTTACATTCATGTGAGTTATATAAATATATAGAGAATCTTACGTGATTTTACATTCATGTGAGTTATATAAATATATAGAGAATCTTACGTGATTTTACATTCATGTGAGTTATATAAATATATAGAGAATCTTACGTGATTTTACATTCATGTGAGTTATATAAATATATAGAGAATCTTACGTGATTTTACATTCATGTGAGTTATATAAATATATAGAGAATCTCACGTGATTTTACATTCATGTGAGTTATATAAATATATAGAGAATCTTACGTGATTTTACATTCATGTGAGTTATATAAATATATAGAGAATCTTACGAGAATTAAAATTCATGTGAGTTATATAAATATATAGAGAATCTTACGTGATTTTACATTCATGTGAGTTATATAAATATATAGAGAATCTTACGTGATTTTACATTCATGTGAGTTATATAAATATATAGAGAATCTTACGTGATTTTACATTCATGTGAGTTATATAAATATATAGAGAATCTTACGAGAATTAAAATTCATGTGTGTTATGTAAATGAACAAGGAATCTTTTATTTTTTATTTTCTTATATTTTCTGAAGCACTTACTGAGGTAAAATTTAGTTTTTGTAAGATTCTATTGTTTTACCACATTTAGATACTTCTGCAAGCTTTCATTTACTGTTCACTGTTATAAAAAATTCCAAACAGGTGATATTCTCTATATCTCTATCTTTGGTGATGTCACAATGATTATGTGGCCATTGATGGAATGAAGGTATGATATCATCATGGAAACAATGGGAAGTTTCAGTCCATCACAGATAGTGATATAGTGATATCTCGACCATGTACCTTGTAACACCAAGAATCTGACTATGTTAGGAAAAATACTTACAGCAACACTCCATAAGCTACTGCAATGGCTGCCAGGAGGAAGAAAATGAAGAGATAACCTAGAAAGATGGTGTGACTTTTTGATGCCCTCCATGCTCTCACTGATGGTTTACAGTTTTGTAGGACACTGACAGCTTTCACATAGAACAGAAGGAATAATTTGATGCTCATGATGAATGAGAGCAGAGGAGAGTAAAATGTGCCCAACCTGAAATATAATGTACTTTTTACTGATAGAAACAGCAACAGCACTAAATCAAGGTGTAATAACGCCAGGGGTGATAACACAAAGGTTGATAACACAAACAAGGGGTGATAACACAGTCAAGGGGTGATAACACAGTCAAGGGGTGATAACACAAACAAAGGGGTGATAACACAGTCAAGGGGTGATAACACAGTCAAGGGGTGATAACACAGTCAAGGGGTGATAACACAAACAAAGGGGTGATAACACAGTCAAGGGGTGATAACACAAACAAGGGGTGATAACACAGTCAAGGGGTGATAACACATAGTTTGATAACACAAACAAGGGGTGATAACACAGTCAAGGGGTGATAACACAAACAAGGGGTGATAACACAGTCAAGGGGTGATAACACATAGTTTGATAACACAAACAAGGGGTGATAAACACAAGGGGTGATAACACATAGGGTAATAACACAAACAAAGGGTGATAACACATAGTTTGATAACACAAACAAGGGGTGATAACACAGTCAAGGGGTGATAACACAAACAAGGGTAATAACACAAACAAAGGGTGATAACACAAACAAGGGGTGATAACACAAACAAGGGGTGATAACACAAACAAGGGGTGATAACACAAACAAGGGGTGATAACACAGTCAAGGGGTGATAACACAAACAAGGGGTGATAACACACAGGGAAATAACACAAACAAGAGGTGATAACACATAGGGTAATAACACAAACAAGGGATGATAACACAAACAAGGGGTAATAACACAAACATGGGATGATAACACAAACAAGGGGTGATAACACAAACAAGGGGTGATAACACAGTCAAGGGGTGATAACACAGTCAAGGGGTGATAACACAAACAAAGGGGTGATAACACAGTCAAGGGGTGATAACACAGTCAAGGGGTGATAACACAGTCAAGGGGTGATAACACAAACAAAGGGGTGATAACACAGTCAAGGGGTGATAACACAAACAAGGGGTGATAACACATTCAAGGGGTGATAACACATAGTTTGATAACACAAACAAGGGGTGATAACACAGTCAAGGGGTGATAACACAAACAAAGGGGTGATAACACAGTCAAGGGGTGATAACACAAACAAGGGGTGATAACACAGTCAAGGGGTGATAACACATAGTTTGATAACACAAACAAGGGGTGATAACACAGTCAAGGGGTGATAACACATAGGGTAATAACACAAACAAAGGGTGATAACACATAGTTTGATAACACAAACAAGGGGTGATAACACAGTCAAGGGGTGATAACACAAACAAGGGTAATAACACAAACAAAGGGTGATAACACAAACAAGGGGTGATAACACAAACAAGGGGTGATAACACAAACAAGGGGTGATAACACAAACAAGGGGTGATAACACAGTCAAGGGGTGATAACACAAACAAGGGGTGATAACACACAGGGAAATAACACAAACAAGAGGTGATAACACATAGGGTAATAACACAAACAAGGGATGATAACACAAACAAGGGGTAATAACACAAACATGGGATGATAACACAAACAAGGGGTGATAACACAAACAAGGGGTGATTACACACAGGGAAATAACACAAACAAGGGGTGATAACACATAGGGTAATAACACAAACAAGGGGTGATAACACACAGGGAAATAACACAAACAAGGGGTGATAACACATAGGGTAATAACACAAACATGGGGCAATAACACAACAGATAATTACACTAGGGGTGATAACACAAGGAGTAATAGTACATGGTTTAGTAAAACATGTTCTTGCTCCGACATACACTGTATATAAAGTTATTTGTAGTAGGTGTTATCCAGCTCCCAACCTTCTGTATATAATAATAATCAGTTGTAACAAAATAGCTTTTTTTTTAACTTAAAACATTTAATTGTATCAACTCCACATAAAGGTGTTCATGACTGTATAACAGACATTGTAAAGATTTCAGCAACACTGATATATTTACAACCCTTCAGATAAGAAAATGTGGCCAACAGGTACCAACTGGAGGTCAAAAGCGATACTTATAACATTCCTTACCTTTTCATACATTTGATTATGCATACTGTGACAAGATATACTTACCAACACAAAGCTTGAGAGTAGATAAGGTCCAAAGTGTTTCTGCCAATGTCAAACTCAGTATCTCCTAGTATTTTACAGCAGTACTGGCCTAACAACCTGTAGGTAAAACATAGTCATCACTACCACAAACTACAGGTAAAACATAGTCATCACTACCACAAACTACAGGTAAAACATAGTCATCACTACCACAATCTACAGGTAAAATTGTCATTACTACCACAATCTACAGGTAAAACACTGTCATCACTACCACAATCTACAGGTAAAATAGTCATCACTACCACAATCTACAGGTAAAATAGTCATCACTACCACAATCTACAGGTAAAATTGTCATCACTACCACAATCTACAGGTAAAATTGTCATCACTACCACAATCTACAGGTAAAACATTGTCATCACTACCACAATCTACAGGTAAAATATTCATCACTACCACAATCTACAGGTAAAACATTGTCATCACTACCACAATCTACAGGTAAAACATTGTCATCACTACCACAATCTACAGGTAAAACATTGTCATCACTACCACAATCTACAGGTAAAATTGTCATCACTACCACAATCTACAGGTAAAACATAGTCATCACTACCACAAACTACAGGTAAAAGGTAAAACATTGTCATCACTACCACAATCTATAGGTAAAACATTGTCATCACTACCACAATCTACAGGTAAAATATTGTCATCACTACCACAATCTACAGGTAAAACACTGTCATCACTACCACAATCTACAGGTAAAACACTGTCATCACTACCACAAACTACAGGTAAAACATAGTCATCACTACCACAAACTACAGGTAAAACATTGTCATCACTACCACAAACTACAGGTAAAATAGTCATCACTACCACAATCTACAAGTAAAACATTGTCATCACTACCACAATCTATAGGTAAAACATTGTCATCACTACCACAATCTACAGGTAAAACACTGTCATCACTACCACAAACTACAGGTAAAATAGTCATCACTACCACAATCTATAGGTAAAACATTGTCATCACTACCACAATCTATAGGTAAAAACATTGTCATCACTACCACAATCTACAGGTAAAACACTGTCATCACTACCACAAACTACAGGTAAAATAGTCATCACTACCACAATCTATAGGTAAAACATTGTCATCACTACCACAATCTATAGGTAAAAACATTGTCATCACTACCACAATCTACAGGTAAAACACTGTCATCACTACCACAAACTACAGGTAAAATAGTCATCACTACCACAATCTATAGGTAAAACATTGTCATCACTACCACAATCTATAGGTAAAAACATTGTCATCACTACCACAATCTACAGGTAAAACACTGTCATCACTACCACAAACTACAGGTAAAATAGTCATCACTACCACAATCTATAGGTAAAACATTGTCATCACTACCACAATCTATAGGTAAAAACATTGTCATCACTACCACAATCTACAGGTAAAACACTGTCATCACTACCACAAACTACAGGTAAAATAGTCATCACTACCACAATCTACAGGTAAAACACTGTCATCACTACCACAAACTACAGGTAAAACATAGTCATCACTACCACAATCTACAGGTAAAACACTGTCATCACTACCACAAACTACAGGTAAAACATAGTCATCACTACCACAATCTACAGGTAAAACACAGTCATCACTACCACAAACTACAGGTAAAACATAGTCATCACTACCACAATCTACAGGTAAAACACTGTCATCACTACCACAAACTACAGGTAAAATAGTCATCACTACCACAATCTACAAGTAAAACATTGTCATCACTACCACAATCTATAGGTAAAAACATTGTCATCACTACCACAATCTACAAGTAAAACACTGTCATCACTACCACAATCTACAGGTAAAACACTGTCATCTCTACCACAAACTACAGGTAAAACATTGTCATCACTACCACAATCTACAGGTAAAACACTGTCATCACTACCACAATCTACAGGTAAAACATTGTCATCACTACCACAATCTACAGGTAAAACACTGTCATCACTACCACAAACTACAGGTAAAATAGTCATCACTACCACAATCTACAAGTAAAACATTGTCATCACTACCACAATCTATAGGTAAAACATTGTCATCACTACCACAATCTACAGGTAAAACATAGTCATCACTACCACAATCTACAAGTAAAACATTGTCATCACTACCACAATCTACAGGTAAAACATTGTTACACTTCCACAATCTACAGGTAAAACATTGTCATCACTACCACAATCTACAGGTAAAACATAGTCATCACTACCACAATCTACAGGTAAAACATTGTCATCACTTCCACAATCTACAGGTAAAACATTGTCATCACTTCCACAATCTACAGGTAAAACATAGTCATCACTACCACAATCTACAGGTAAAACATTGTCATCACTACCACAATCTACAGGTAAAACACTGTCATCACTACCACAATCTACAGGTAAAACATTGTCATCACTACCACAATCTACAGGTAAAACATTGTCATCACTTCCACAATCTACAGATAAAACATTGTTACACTTCCACAATCTACAGGTAAAACACTGTCATCACTACCACAATCTATAGGTAAAACATTGTCATCACTACCACAATCTATAGGTAAAAACATTGTCATCACTTCCACAATCTACAGGTAAAACATTGTCATCACTACCACAATCTACAGGTAAAACATTGTCATCACTACCACAATCTACAGGTAAAACATTGTTACACTTCCACAATCTACAGGTAAAACACTGTCATCACTACCACAATCTACAGGTAAAACACTGTCATCACTTCCACAATCTACAGGTAAAACATTGTCATCACTACCACAATCTACAGGTAAACCCTTGTCCTTGCCTGTCATCCAGTTAAAATGACTTACCGACGAACAAACTCCAGGAAAAAAGTGGCAATCAGAGTAAAGATGAAGTCGACAAGTACTAGACGATATATATCTTCTCCCAGAGCAGTCTCCCAACAAGCACTTGACTGAAATGTAAACAAAAAGTCTGTAACTATTCAGCAGACAAAGAAATAATTGTTTATCAAAAGTAAGAAGCTGGCCTCCAACAAACAACAACATGCACTTACTGATCTATATGACAAGTTGAGCTTAAAGCAATCTTACCTCATGTTTTGTTTTGTTGAACCAAAAATATGCCAGAACACCAAGTATGGCAGCCTTCAGTAACATTGTCCTGCAAAAACATAAAAAATATAGATTTGATACCTAAAAATAAAAAAAGGCACATCGGGCCTGTCAAATGATAGAAAATAATGACAAATTGGTCTCCTTACAGATAGAAAATAAAAACTTTTCAGTGCAAAGGGCAGTCATGTCCTTTATCTCTAGAACATCTAACTGCTTGGTTTCATGGTTAATTCATGTTTAAGACATTATCAACTGTTTGGAAAAAGTAGGCTTTCACAAGACTGAATGCCTAAATTACACACTGTTTAGCCCTTAGATCACTCACAGAAAAAAAAAGAGTTTAGCACAAACTCAATACCTGAAATTGAGTAACATCCTGGATTTTAGTCAAGTTAACACCTACACATTACACTCATTATTCTCCGGTTCTACCAAAATTCTATATCGTTGTAGTGATATTTCAAGTGGGTGTAAAAATCTGGTATCTTATTTTAAATATACCTTAAAGATAGTTTTGGTAATGCACAATTCACTTAAAAACATCATATGAACATCATCCACACATTGTCCATACATTGTGCACACGCAATACCATATTTAGCACTATGTGATAGCTTTGGTAAACAAGGATTATTAACATTACGTATTAAAAATTTAACAGAAAATATGTGCAATCCTGAGGAAATAGTGACCAAATGCTCATTAAAGTTGATAGGTGATTATAAAGGTAATTTTTAATTTGGCACAACTGGACTCTGTGTTATTTATTTTCTTAGTGTGTAGTTTCACACCTCAAAGACTGGTAAGTGGTGTATCCCGGCAACAAATAATATGGGTATATAGGTGACAACTCTGTACCAGGTAGGTCACCTGTGTAATAACCAAAACACCTAATATTACCCTAATATGCATATTTTTTTTGTTACAAAATAACAGAAAATATGAGAACAATACAGAAGGAATGTATACCAGATTATGTTTCTGGTCGTTTTTATGATTCACAGCACAGGCCCTATGGACCTTTTGAACTTTTTAATCCTATTTCCTGATAGTCACTCAAGGTGCTACAAATACCACCTACTTTTATGTAATAAATTGTGTTGACAAAGTTCCATTGCTCCTGAAAGAGATCCTTTATATGAACCACAACAGAGTCATTTCTGTGTGAGAGAACCGCACCATGTGCGTAGAGATGTGCAATAGCAAATTTTGTCTAGTTTCCTTTTGTGTACATATTGTACATACATTGTGTGAACATTGCTCATCATGTCAAATTGTGCGATTCCATAACATTACTGTTATATGAATTTCACAGCTTGTATTTTTTATGTTGTAATCTACTTACCTCGTCATACCAACATATAACTCTGTCTGTGGTTTCTGGTAGTTCTCAAACTTCCCTATTCTTGTGAAGACAAACGGCAGCACAAGGATGATCCCAGTGGCCACCAAGGGCATGGCCAGCTCTCCAAGGATCAGAATACTAGTCTGAGAAAGAGAAGGATTTTCTAAAAGAGTTTAAAAGAATATTTCATGGTCATTTAAATGGTATTAATACTACAGACAATTATTAGGGTGCGGTTCTGCTATGTTGTTATTAGTTACTGTAATGTAGATTTACTGGTAATATGGAACAAAGCAGGCAAAACAGGCGATCATGAAATAATGGACAGAAAATGAGTAGTGTTATCTGTATTTATATATTACTTGTTGTTTCAACAGTGATGTAAGTAACTGTTATGCAGCCTAGCTTGATAAGATTCATGTCCTGGATGTTGTATACAGTAAGCCCTCCTAACCAATATTATGTTACCACAACCTACCTTGATATAGTCTATGTCCTGGATGTTGTATACAGTAAGCCCTCCCCACCACCATGATGTTACTACAGCCTCCCTTGATATAGTGTATGTCCTGGATGTTGTATACAGTAAGCCCTCCCCACCACCATGATGTTACTACAGCCTACCTTGATATAATCTATGTCCTGGATGTTGTATACAGTAAGCCCTCCCCACCACCATGATGTCCCTACAGCCTACCTTGATATAGTCTATGTCCTGGATGTTGTATACAGTAAGCCCTCCCTACCACAATGATGTTACTACAGCCGACTTTGATATAGTCTTTGTCTGTGATGTTGTATACAGTAAGCCCTCCCCACCATGATCATGTTACTACAGCCTACCTTGATATAGTCTATGTCCTGGATGTTATATACAGTAAGCTCTCCCCACCATGATGATGTTACCACAACCTACCTTGATATAGTCTGTGTCCTTGATATAGTATATACAGTAAGCTGAGCCCCCTATACTTCCTATAACGATGAGGTTGGTTACGATTCTCACTAAAAACCATTTACACTTTGTAGATAAACCTCTGTCACCATCCTCAAACTTTTTACCAGACAAAAATTCCTGAAATAAACAAAGATATAAGGTTTCATTCAAGATAACCAGGGTTTATATGTTTAAGAGTTATTCAACACATTTATTTTTAGTACTCTTACTTACCTTATTCAAGGTCATTATTTTAAAGGGGGTAATTGTGTTCAGTTATTTTAAGGACAGAATATAAAAAACTGATACATTAAAACTAAAAAATAACAAAGATAATATTGTATTGAGATTCTGATGAAAATGCAAAAATTTGAACAAAAAAAACCCACCTTTACAGTATAAACATGTTGAATGGCTTTGTGTTAAATTACAATCTATCTGTAGTTAAATAATGTCACCAGATAGTTCGTAAAGTATACAGAAATGACACTGATTTACCTTGATTTCATTAAAGAAACTTTTGTGTCGAAGTCGAGCAGCATCTGAAGCAGTAATGTTGTAGTCCCAGCCACAAAATACTTTTGTCACAATATAGAAATTGAACACTCCACTTGCTTCAATGTAATTTTTCTTATAGGACCTGGAAATGCTGAAAAAAATCATACAACACGATGTTTGTTACAAAATATTAAAGGTTGATCTGATGATGGGAAGTCCTAATAGGATACATTGTAACAAGATCAAGATCTCAGAATGTTAAGTAAAAGGCTACAGAATTAACAACCTTAGTGTTCAGATGATGACACAGGAAGTAAGTTAGTGACAAAATGATGACATAGAAAGAGGTTATCTACCTTAGTGACAGAGGGATGACATAGGAGTAGTTATCTACCTCAGTGACAAAGGGATGACACAGAAGTAGTTATCTACCTCAGTGACAGAGGGATAACATAGGAGTAGTTATCTACCTCAGTGACAGAACAATGACACAGGAAGTAGTTAACTACCTTAGTGACAGAACAATGACACAGGAACTAGTTAACTACCTTAGTGATATAGTGATGACACAGGAAGTAAGTTAGTGACAAAATGATGACACAGGAAGTAGTTATCTACTTTAGTGACTGAGGGATGACACAGGAAGTAGTTATCTACTTTAGTGACTGAGGGATGACACAGGAAGTAGTTATCTAACTTAGTGACTGAGGGATGACACAGGAAGTAGTTATCTACTTTAGTGACAGAGTGATGACACAGGAAGTAGTTATCTACTTTAGTGACTGAGGGATGACACAGGAAGTAGTTATCTACTTTAGTGACTGAGGGATGACACAGGAAGTAGTTATCTAACTTAGTGACTGAGTGATGACACAGGAAGTAGTTATCTAACTTAGTGACAGAGGGATGACACAGGAAGTAGTTATCTAACTTAGTGATAGAGTGATGACACAGGAAGTAAGTTAGTGATAGAATGATGACAGAAGAAGCAGTGGTTACCTACCTCAGTGCCAGGATGATGAGACACAGGATATAATAGCCTCCTCCAGTGAGGAGGTAGGCATATTTCATGTCATACTTTGTTTCCCCAACGACCTGTACAATATCATTGGTGTAGTATCCATAATACAGCACAGTGTTAGTAAAATAGCCCTGAAATGAAAATATATAGCTCAATATAGCTAGCTCAGTTTCAGACTGATCATTGAAGGCAAAATTAGTAAGCATTAAGTAGTATAAATCATCCTTCAAAATAAATTAAAAAAAGATACTGATAAGGACTGTATATGATATTCTCCAGGAACAGATTGGTACTTCAGATGTGTACTCACGGAGCCAGTGAGCAGCTCTCTGCCTGTGAATGCTGCTGTTGTGGTGACAACTGGTGCCGCCGTGGTAACATTTGTTTGGTTACTGTTAGCAGCAGCTGCTGCTACTGCCTCTGCTGATGGCTGGAACTCTACGTACACAATTTGTGGAATGACAATAAAGCCAAGAGTTAGAAAGAATATGGGGATATTGAGGAGGAAGATCCATTTTAGGAAGAGGAAATAGGAGGTCACACCAGTGCCAAAGTGACCCTCTATCTTCTTTATCAGACTCCTCCACAGTTCCAGAGAGTAGGCAAGTTCAGCAAGGCGGTACTTGAAGTGCATCCAGCCCTGTACAAAAACACATCCATTAATCATCAGTGAAGGAACTCTTTACAACAGATATACTGACTGTTTTATGGGTAGTAAAGTTTAGCACTGATTTTGCACTCACTTTTCACAAAGGGTTCAAATCTGCAATTGGACATGAAAATGTATGGGGTCAACTGCCTTATCCAGATGGTTTACCTTGGTACTTCCTTTTTTCTGCCCTACCTGTCCAACCTAGTGCGTTTACCCTGGGGACTTCTATTTCTCCTCCCCACCTGTCCAACCTAGTGGGTTTACCTTGGGGACTTCTATTTCTCCTCCCCACCTGTCCAACCATGTGGGTTTACCTTGGGGACTTCTATTTCTCCTCCCCACCTGTCCAACCATGTGGGTTTACCTTGGGGACTTCTATTTCTCCTCCCCACCTGTCCAACCATGTGGGTTTACCTTGGGGACTTCTATTTCTCCTCCCCACCTGTCCAACCTTGTGGGTTTACCTTGGGGACTTCTATTTCTCCTCCCCACCTGTCCAACCTAGTGGGTTTACCTTGGGGACTTCTATTTCTCCTCCCCACCTGTCCAACCTAGTGGGTTTACCTTGGGGACTTCTATTTCTCCTCCCCACCTGTCCAACCTAGTGGGTTTACCTTGGGCACTTCTATTTCTCCTCCTCACCTGTCCAACCTAGTGGGTTTACCTTGGGGACTTCTATTTCTCCTACCCACCTGTCCAACCTAGTGGGTTTACCTTGGGGACTTCTATTTCTCCTCCCCACCTGTCCAACCTAGTGGGTTTACCTTGGGGACTTCTTTTTCTCCTCCCCACCTGTCCAACCTAGTGGGTTTACCTTGGGGACTTCTATTTCTCCTCCCCACCTGTCCAACCTAGTGGGTTTACCCTGGGGACTTCTATTTCTCCCACCCACCTGTCCAACCTAGTGGGTTTACCTTGGGGACTTCTATTTCTCCTCCCCACCTGTCCAACCTAGTGGGTTTACCTTGGGCACTTCTATTTCTCCTCCCCACCTGTCCAACCTAGTGGGTTTACCCTGGGGACTTCTATTTCTCATCCCCACCTGTCCAACCTAGTGGGTTTACCTTGGGGACTTCTATTTCTCCCATCCACCTGTCCAACCTTGTTGTTTACCCTGAGATCTTTCATTTCTCCTCCCAAACTGTTCAACTTTGTGTGTTCACTCTTGATAGTCCTCCCACAGTAAGACACCTCACATGCTTCAATACGGGTCAACAAGAGAGACCAATGAAAGTTTGTATTTATTTTTTTCATTTTTTTTTTTAACTTTCACCATGCTAAATAAAATAAAATAAATAAATAAGTATTTACAATGCCAACACTGTACTTGGTCCTCTTCCACCACCCCGGCCTTTGACTCTGGACGCCCCTTCGTATCGTGTGCTGTCGTGAATTTGAAATATTGTTTCTGTGAATGAAAAAAAAAATGAAGTGAATATGGATGTTAGTGTTGTCTTAAACCTTACCCTGTACACAGCAATATCTACCTATATGACCCTCATCAGTAAAATCTGTTCAACAGGGGAGCTGTCACATCTTCAAGCAATCCCTAATACTAAGGCTATTCCCATTTCATTGCTTTTTTAAATGTATTTTTCAAACAAGAGACCTAGCGGCCTTGACCATCACCTGAGGTAAGCAATATTGGATAATAGGTTACAGGGTAAGTAGCTTTAAAATGTCACCAAAAAGAAGACTTAGATATATTTTATGCCCTTGGGGGTCAGCCAGTGTCAATATACATACACACCAACAAAAACAGTCATCCTATACTCATAATTCTAACCAAGTTTGAAATATTTCCAATGGAAATTATACAGATTATGCTCAAAAATGCACTTCTCCTCTTTAACCCATACCTAACATTACCTACCCCCCACACCCTTGGGGGAATTGTGAAACCCTGGGGTCTTGAAATTCACAATTTTGGTAAAGCCCCTTCACACTCTTCCATCAATAATGAGCATTTTATTCTACCATATCTGGGTGTTGAAAGGAAGATTTTTGAAATTTGAATCAATTTAACCCCTTTTGGTTCTGCTCCTCAACCCAATAGGCGGGTGGAGACCATATAATTCACTCTTTTGGTTCATCTTTGGCCAGGGAAGGTTTCTGTAAAATTTCATTGAAATCGGTTCATGAGTTTTTGAGGATTCAAAAACTTAAAAGTTTATGGACCCTAAACAGAAGACAGTAGAAAAGAGGCAATTACCATGAGACTCTGTCTCAGGTGACCCTAAAAACACACAGTTGTTTCAAATTTTTTGAACATTTATTACATACAAAATGAATTCTGATTCAGTTTATCAATCTAAAAGAACAAATGCAGGTAAAGAATTTTAAACAAGAGGATAAATTAAATATCTACCACAAGACCAAGTGGGCTGTATCACTCATCTGGTTTTGATTTATCTAAACTGAAAGAAAAAGTTTCTAAAGACTTGAAAGTTTTTCCCCTTTGGGCCCCTTCCAAATCTGGACAAAATACTTGTTTCTTCAGCAGAAGGATTTAAGAGAATTAGGTTAATATTCCTAATTGGGCCTCATCTTCCCACATATAAAGCTGATTCCTCTTCATCTACAAAATTGCTCTATCTCCCTTTTTGGGTTCCATCTCTCCTGCCCCAGGAGACATCTACAGAGACTCACCATTCACAAATAAAAGGTTGCTCTTCACCTAACATCAAGGCATTCTGACAGAAGAAGAATTTCATAGAATTTGCCCTATTATCCCTATTTGACTCTGACAACTCCCACCAGACCCATCACTTAAACCAAAATTGATTTCTCTTAACCAAAGGATGCCTTAGACCGCATTGGAACAGAATACAAGCATTCCTGCAGAAGAAAAATCTAAAAGTCTTGTTCTATTTTACTCTCCATTAGGCCACACCCCTCACACTCCAAGGGACTGAGATGCATCATTTACACTTTATACAAAATTGATTCCCCTTTACCGAAGGCTGTTTTAGACCAAATTACCACAGAATCCAAGCACCTTTGCATAAGGAGAAGGACCTTAAACTGTTGAAACAAAATTGATTTCCCTTCACCCAAGGATGGTTCACACTGAATTTGGACAAAAATCCAATCATTCCTATAGAAGAAGAAGGATTTTAAATTACTTCTCGCTTTGAGCTTCTACCCCTCATGCTCCTGGAGCCAAGAATATACATTTATCAAATTTGGTTCCCTTTTCCAACAAAGATGCTTCTGACAAAATTTTGTCACAATTCCATCAGTGGTTCATGACTGAAAGTGATTTTTCATGAAAAAGTTGACAGACCCCAGACATTGAACAACAGATGACAGACACCGCCCCACGGCATAAGCTCATTGATCCTTTAGACCAGGTAAACATAAAATATTTTTATTGATACACAACTAACATGAATATTAATAAAAGCATCGTCAAAAGTACACACATAACTAACATGAACAACAACAAAATACAGACACAGAATATCAGACACATCAAAAGAGGTAATGGAATTCAGGACAGGGAAGGCAGGGCTGGACAGGTTCACAACAAACACAGAGTATCAGACACATCAAAAGAGGTAATGGAATTCAGGACAGGGAAGGCAGGGCTGGACAAGAAGAAAACAGACAGAGTATCATACACAACAATAAAGGTAACAGAATTCAGGACACGGAAGGCAGGGCTGGACAGGTTCACAACAAACACAGAGTATCAGACACACCAAATAAGGCAATGGAATTTAGGACAGAGAAGGCAGGGCTGGACAGGTTCACAACAAACACAGAGTATCAGACACACTAAACAAGGCAATGGAATTTAGGACAGGGAAGGCAGGGCTGGACAGGTTCAAAACAAACAAAGAGTATCAGACACATCAAATAAGGCAATGGAATTTAGGACAGGGAAGGCAGGGCTGAACAGGTTCACAACAAACACAGAGTATCAGACACACCAAATAAGGCAATGGAATTTAGGACAGGGAAGGCAGGGCTGGACAGGTTCACAACAAACACAGAGTATCAGACACACCAAATAAGTTAATGGAATACAGGACAACAAACTGATAACAAACACACACCTGCCACCAACAGACAATGTCGACTCACAAGTCAAAGTAAACATAATTACTTGATGTTTGTACTTTGTCAGGTATGCTGACATTATACAATATCTTAACAACAACCTAACTCATATAACCAGCCTAAGCAAATTGTGAGCAGTTTATTTTCAAATATTCCGAAATCAAACTTGAAATATTATGGCAGGCGTTTAGAATTGTGTTAATGTAATTTATGCCTGTACGAATTGTTCTGTTTTATAGAGTATATGAAAACTTTTTTCTGATAAAAATAATAGAACAAAAAAATCAATCAAAGACCTATAAGTTTGTCAAACATCAGGCTGTAAGACCACTAATTAGAATCAACTATTGAGTGTCACCATTTAGTGGTATGTTTTAGTTGTAAGATCACTTCCTGGAAGGAACCATTGAGTGTTAAGTCTGAGCTGTAAGACCACTAATTAGAATCAACTATTGAGTGTCACCATTTAGTGGTATGTTTTAGTTGTGAGATCACTTCCTGGAAGGAACCATTGAGTGTTAAGTCTGAGCTGTGAAATCACTAACTGGAATCAACTATTGAGTGTCACCATTTAGTGGTATGTTTTAGTTGTAAGATCACTTCCTGGAAGGAACCATTGAGTGTTAAGACTGAGCTGTGAAATCACTAACTGGAATCAACTATTGAGTGTCACCATTTAGTGGTATGTTTTAGTTGTAAGATCACTTCCTGGAAGGAACCATTGAGTGTTAAGACTGAGCTGTGAAATCACTAACTGGAATCAACTATTGAGTGTCACCATTTAGTGGTATGTTTTAGTTGTAAGATCACTTCCTGGAAGGAACCATTGAGTGTTAAGATTGAGCTGTGAAATCACTAACTGGAATCAACTATTGAGTGTCACCATTTAGTGGTATGTTTTAGTTGTAAGATCACTTCCTGGAAGGAACCATTGAGTGTTAAGATTGAGCTGTGAAATCACTAAGTGGAATCAACTATTGAGTGTCACCATTTAGTGGTATGTTTTAGTTGTAAGATCACTTCCTGGAAGGAACCATTGAGTGTTAAGATTGAGCTGTGAAATCACTAACTGGAATCAACTATTCAGTGTCACCATTTAGTGGTATGTTTTAGTTGTAAGATCACTTCCTGGAAGGAACCATTGAGTGTTATGGTTGAGCTGTACAATCACTAACTGGTATCAGTCATTGAATGTTATGGTAATTTTTAGGCTGTGAAAGGACTACCTGGAATCATACTTAAATTAATGCCTGCAATATCATGCCAATTGTTACAGTAAAGCAGTAGGTTAGACTGCTACAACAAACAATATCGGGAAAGATATACTGACAACATGGCCCCATGACATCATTTACCTTTCCTGGTACAAGCATTATCAAAACAAGATGTCAGATGGAATTGTTAACAATGTATTTTCTGGCTTTATTAATTAGGCATTATGTGCTTAAAACAATAGTATTATAGATATGTATGTGCATCACATGTATATCACATGACCACACAGCCACAAGCAAGTACAATAATTCTACAGTGTTTTGTAGTTTGTCAATATCACTGTTATAATTTACATGACATAAACACCATGATTTACCTCTGTACATTAACACCATGATCTACCTCTGTACATTAACACCATGATTTACCTCTGTACATTAACACCATGACTTACCTCTGTACATAAACACCATGATTTACCTCTGTACATTAACACCATGATCTACCTCTGTACATTAACACCATGATTTACTTCTGTTCATTAACACCATGATCTACCTCTGTACATTAACACCATGACTTACCTCTGTACATTAACACCATGATCTACCTCTGTACATTAACACCATGACTTACCTCTGTACATTAACACCATGATTTACCTCTGTACATTAATACCATGATCTACCTCTGTACATTAACACCATGACTTACCTCTGTACATTAACACCATGACTTACCTCTGTACATTAACACCATGATCTACCTCTGTACATTAACACCATGACTTACCTCTGTACATTAACACCATGATTTACCTCTGTACATTAATACCATGATCTACCTCTGTACATTAACACCATGATCTACCTCTGTACATTAACACCATGACTTACCTCTGTACATTAACACCATGACTTACCTCTGTACATTAACACCATGACTTACCTCTGTACATTAACACCATGATCTACCTCTGTACATTAATACCATGACGAACCTCTGTACATTAACACCATGAGTTACTTCTGTACACTGATTCTACCACTACGGCTTACCTTGGCACATTGTAAGTTACCTTTATACAATGACACCAGGAGTTACCCCGGTGCTTTAACACTAGGAATTAATACCATTCATTCACACAATGAGTTACCTTGGCACTTTAACACCATGAGTTACTTTGGAACATTAGCACCATGAGTTACCTGGGTACATTGACAATATGAATTAAGTAGGTATATTATGAGTTAACTCAGCACTTTAACACCATGAACTACCTGGGTACATTAACAATATGAATTAAGTAGGTATATTATGAGTTAACTCGACACTTTAACACCATGAGTTACCTGGGTACATTAACAATATGAGTTACCTTGGCACTGCTGTCTGAGTCGTAATTTTCCTCACCTGATCTCTTTCTTGTCAGTGAGTTTGACAGCCATATCTCGTAGTCTCTCAGTTGTCCTAGTCTCCCCATCATACTCGTCCATCAGCTCTGGGTCACGTGACAGTGAGGCTGCTAAGTCATTGTAATCCCGTACTCCGCGTACAGTTCCATGAAAAGACTTCTTCTTACTCTTTTTCCTTCGCATAGTTTGTCTTGCTGCATCACTAGCGATTTGCTCTGTAATGCCAAGAGATTCTAATAATTGCTTGAACTTTAATTCTGACCCAACAAACAGTTAATATTAGCTGTCTTTCGGACACCAGAAGCAAACAAATGTCTGCAATAAAAACTCAAATTAATTTCAATTCCAATAGATGCGAGTTCCGACATCTATGAGAAAATGTCTACCATTTTGGGAATCTGAAGTGATAATCACATTGCTTACCTAGCTGTCTGCTGGGTAGTTCATTTATCAGGTCAGTAGCATCACGTCGATTCTCCGCTGCCCAATTACGACGACTGCTTCCCCTGTTTTGGAAATTCCTCTCATCTCCTTCCCCACCATTTCTCTCATCTAAATCTTGGATACCAGAATGCATGTCAATCACATAAGGTGGACGGCCATTACCTGCATGGGTCGGCTCTGTGTATCCTGGGTTGACTGAAAGTAGAAATAGTTGTTGATCTTAAAACTGGCCAACTCATTCTGATCATTCAGAACAGATTAAAAGGAGAAAGACATCATTGATTTAACCATCTGTTTCTGAGAACAATCTGTCTATGTTAACTGTATGTCTCTGTTAACTATATGTCTATGTTAACCATCTATTTCTTATTTAACCATCTGTCTCTGAGAACTATTTCTGTTAACCATTGTCTATGTTAACCACCTGTCTATGTTAACCATTTGCCTCTGTTAACTATCTGTCTCTGTTAACTGTTTCTCACAACCATCTGTCTCTGTCAACATTTATCTATGTTAACTGTTTGTCTATGTTAACCACCTGTCTATGTTAACGGTTTGTCTATGTTAACCACCTGTCTATGTTAACCACCTGTTTATGTTAAAGACTTTCTATGTTAACTATCTGTCTCCGTTAACAATCATCTGTCTTTCTATATTGATACATAAACAATGATACACTACCACACAATCACTCTCTTTATGGAGTTGATATATCTACTAGTAAAATAAAACTAGATCTTACCAGAGTGCATCTGCACTTGTTCTGGTGGGCCCCTGGAATATTCATGAGGATCTCCTCTATAATCCATTATGTTTCTTGAGATTCGCTAAACACCTAAAAGAAAAAATCATGTTCATTTATATTTTCATAATAACTATTGAGAATTACACATGGAACATTACAGAATGTGGATATGAAGGAAGGGTCGACAAGATAGAAAGCACTCAATTTCATATTTGATATTCAAACAGGTTAAATGCTGCATTTCACTCATTAGAAGCTTGTGGATTACACAATTAACACTCAATGCTAATCAATAGGCTTTGTTTATAATACATTATTATCTATACAGTAATTAAGTTACAAAAGTTGAAGGTACATATTAAGGAGCCAGGTTAGTGATTATATACATGTTTACCAGTAATGATGTAAGTTGTATAGTGATCACACTGTGACTTTTTTAACTTTATAATCAGTGTAGAGTAAGAAAGTGAGTGAAGCTTTCCTACCTATAATGGTTATTACACAGATACCGAGTGAATAACACCTTATGGTCACCCTGGACCATTGTCTCTTACTCGAGTCAGGAAAAGAAATAATACATTCAAACAGCTCCATAAATTTATGTACATTTAAATCTATAATTAGAACACTCCAGTCACACCCTTACCTTTCTAACTATAAATAGCTCAGTGTCAACACATCAGTCATGGTTCTTAGTAGTGTTCCTTCAGATAAGAGTTACGGGTCACTCGTTTCATCGCTCAGTTCATCACCGTTACTGAAACAGGACATTGGTTGTGTGCTAAACTTTTTTAAAAGTAACACCTCAGGTATCGTTGACATCAGTAAAACGATCTTACTTTCAACCCTACATACTTTACCTATATCTCTATGTACCTGTAAAGCAATAGAAATACCACAGAACATGCCAGACAATTGTAAAATTTTCCTCATTGATGGTTTCTAACAATTAAATGTAAACCTTAAGAAATAAGATATTAAAGGTTCAGCAGATTTAATTCAATAATTTCACATGTACATTTAGTATAAGACATGTACAGATTTATTTGGACAAGATAAATAATGCCAGGGCTCTTGATCTGCCAGATTTGGGGCCGATATTCAGTCCCATTCCCAATGCAAAATAGTATCTTTTTTCCCAATTTAGACCCCAAGTTTTACCATTTCTAAGGAAAACACCATTATTTTTCCCAATTCAAAGGGCCCCGGGCCCCAGTCCCAAAATGGGGTGTGAGAGCCATGAATGCACACAATTAAGATGGATTTACCTTGACAAACACTGGCAAAAATGGATAAAACAGTGGAACGGACAGAAATCAATTTATCCAAAACAGGACAGAGAACATTGGACAGGATAGAGATAATGTATCCAAACAGGACAGAGAACATTGGACAGGATAGAGATAAATGTATCCAAACAGGACAGTGAACACTGGACAGGATAGATATTAATGTATCCAAACAGGACAGTGAACACTGGACAGGATAGAGATCAATGTATCCAAACAGGACAGAGAACATTGGACAGGATAGATATTAATGTATCCAAACAGGACAGTGAACACTGGACAGGATAGAGATAAATGTATCCAAACAGGACAGTGAACACTGGACAGGATAGATATTAATGTATCCAAACAGGACAGTGAACACTGGACAGGATAGAGATAAATGTATCCAAACAGGACAGAGAACACTGGGCAGGATAGATATTAATGTATCCAAACAGGACAGAGAACACTGGGCAGGCTAGAGATAAATGTATCCAAACAGGACAGAGAACACTGGGCAGGCTAGAGATAAATGTATCCAAACAGGACAGAGAACACTGGGCAGGCTAGAGATAAATGTATCCAAACAGGACAGAGAACACTGGGCAGGCTAGAGATAAATGTATCCAAACAGGACAGTGAACACTGGACAGGATAGAGATAAATGTATCCAAACAGGACAGAGAACACTGGGCAGGATAGATATTAATGTATCCAAACAGGACAGTGAACACTGGACAGGATAGAGATAAATGTATCCAAACAGGACAGTGAACACTGGACAGGATAGATATTAATGTATCCAAACAGGACAGTGAACACTGGACAGGATAGAGATAAATGTATCCAAACAGGACAGTGAACACTGGACAGGATAGATATTAATGTATCCAAACAGGACAGTGAACACTGGACAGGATAGAGATCAATGTATCCAAACAGGACAGAGAACACTGGGCAGGATAGAGATAAATGTATCCAAACAGGACAGAGAACATTGGACAGGATAGAGATAATGTATCCAAACAGGACAGAGAACACTGGACAGGATAGAGATCAATGTATCCAAACAGGACAGAGAACATTGGACAGGATAGAGATCAATGTATCCAAACAGGACAGAGAACATTGGACAGGATAGAGATTAATGTATCCAAACAGGACAGAGAACATTGGACAGGATAGAGATTAATGTATCCAAACAGGACAGAGAACATTGGACAGGATAGAGATTAATGTATCCAAACAGGACAGAGAACATTGGACAGGATAGAGATTAATGTATCCAAACAGGACAGAGAACATTGGACAGGATAGAGATTAATGTATCCAAACAGGACAGAGAACATTGGACAGGATAGAGATTAATGTATCCAAACAGGACAGAGAACATTGGACAGGATAGAGATTAATGTATCCAAACAGGACAGAGAACATTGGACAGGATAGAGATTAATGTATCCAAACAGGACAGAGAACATTGGACAGGATAGAAGTTAATGTATCCAAACAGGACAGTGAACACTGGACAGGATAGATATAAATGTATCCAAACAGGACAGTGAACATTGGACAGGATAGATATTAATGTATCCAAACAGGACAGAGAACATTGGACAGGATAGATATTAATGTATCCAAACAGGACAGAGAACATTGGACAGGATAGAGATAATGTATCCAAACAGGACAGAGAACATTGGACAGGATAGAGATTAATGTATCCAAACAGGACAGAGAACATTGGACAGGATAGAGATTAATGTATCCAAACAGGACAGAGAACATTGGACAGGATAGATATTAATGTATCCAAACAGGACAGAGAACACTGGACAAGATTGAGATAAATGTATCCAAACAGGACAGAGAACACTGGGCAGGATAGAGATAAATATATCCAAACAGGACAGAGAACATTGGACAAGATTGAGATAAGTGTATCCAAACAGGACAGAGAACACTGGGCAGGATAGAGATAAATGTATCCAAACAGGACAGAGAACATTGGACAGGATAGAGATAAATATATCCAAACAGGACAGAGAACATTGGACAGGATAGAGATAATGAATCCAAACAGGACAGAGAACATTGGACAGGATAGAGATAATGTATCCAAACAGGACAGTGAACACTGGACAGGCTAGAGATAAATGTATCCAAACAGGACAGAGAACATTGGACAAGATTGAGATAAATGTATCCAAACAGGACAGAGAACATTGGACAAGATTGAGATAAATGTATCCAAACAGGACAGAGAACACTGGGCAGGCTAGAGATAAATGTATCCAAACAGGACAGAGAACATTGGACAGGATAGAGATAAATATATCCAAACAGGACAGAGAACACTGGACAAGATTGAGATAAATGTATCCAAACAGGACAGAGAACATTGGACAGGATAGAGATTAATGTATCCAAACAGGACAGAGAACACTGGGCAGGATAGATATTAATGTATCCAAACAGGACAGAGAACACTGGGCAGGATAGAGATAAATGTATCCAAACAGGACAGAGAACACTGGGCAGGATAGAGATAAATGTATCCAAACAGGACAGAGAACACTGGACAGGATAGAGATAAATGTATCCAAACAGGACAGAGAACACTGGGCAGGATAGAGATTAATGTATCCAAACAGGACAGAGAACATTGGACAGGATAGATATTAATGTATCCAAACAGGACAGAGAACATTGGGCAGGATAGATATTAATGTATCCAAACAGGACAGAGAACATTGGACAGGATAGAGATCAATGTATCCAAACAGGACAGAGAACATTGGACAAGATTGAGATAAGTGTATCCAAACAGGACAGAAAACACTGGACAGGATAGAGATTAATGTATCCAAACAGGACAGAGAACATAGACTGATTTTGCTGTAATTTTATACAAATGTATGCTGACGACAAGGTGCTTTTCTTTGAAAGTGTTGATGGCCTAAAATACATCTTAGACAAATTGTTATTATATATTAGAAAGTGGTCTCTCTAACAGTAAATGTTGAGAAAAACAAAAATTGCAGCTTTCTGGAAATTGGCTGTATTACAAGAAAATGAAACATGGTAGTATGATGTCACACTTGAGTCTGTAATTTTTTTTTCTTGTTTGGGGGTAAAAATAAATCATAATGATATCTTTTATTTAATACAGAAAACATTTAGCATCACAGGGTAGAGAGGCTTATTCTTCTATGCCAAGAAAATGTAAACCTACATTATTATATTTTTGCACATGGTCGTCACTTTTTGACACATGTCGGCAGCATAACCAACTAAGCTTGCAAAGTGTGGAGTTTCCACAATGTGCCCAATATCAAACAACAAAATTAGAATTTTGAAGTACAGGGGCAGACTGTTGACTCCTAGCAAATGTAATTTATATGCAGGTGACAAAGATATGTATAAATAAATAAACTTTTTTATTTTACAACAATTGCAAAACAAGTTATATTAATCACTCTTATGGCCCACGTAGAAGCACACGAGGGGTATTACTGTGGGAGGAAACTGCAGTACCTGGTGTAACCACAGCGCCACCCAACCACCTGGGATAAGTATGTGTTATCATACATAATGATATGTATGATGGGTGTGAATCAAACAACTGTTAAAATTATTGGGTGGCTTCAGTAAACAAGTACTGACAAGCTTCAATACACATCATTGTTTGATTTCAGTAAAATAGAGATTGTTGGATGTTTTTAAATAAAACTGTATGACTTTTTTCTCCACCTCGTCTAAGTGCTTGGTGTATAACATATTATTGATCATGTCTGCCTTCAGACTTACTTAAGTAAACTTTTCCTGTAAAAAATAAAATAGCAATCGTAAACTATGACTATCTTCACATGCACAATCCAATTATAGTCCCTGGAAGGCATAGAAAAATCCCTTGTAATTTTAGACTTTGTCCTTTCTGTAAAAATGATATAGAAGATGAATTCAACTTCATTCTAAAATGCCCCTCTTTCAATGAACTAAGAAATAAATATATCAAATCAGATTATCGTTGTAAGCCCTCTGTCTACAAATCAATCACATTGTTATCAATATTAAAGAATAAATTAAGTTGGGTAAGTTCCTATACCATGCTTGTTAACTACGATCTACTTTGTCGGCCTTTAACTACCGGCAGTATGATCTGCATGCTGCTAATACAAATGTATTCAAACTATAAATGTCCTTTGATGGTGATATCTTACAGCCTGTGCTGACTTTGAATGTACATTAATATGACATTTTCATTGGTATTGATGAGATGTATATGCTCAAGATGAAATAAAGAACCTGGAAAGGAATTTACTCGGAAACAGACAACAATGCACAGAGATGAATTTACAAAACACAGAAAACCGAGAAAAGTGGAAATGATTGAGATCAATTTACCCAGAGAAGTTAAAAAAGAGAACAGTGGACTGAACGGAGATTAATTTACCCAGACAGCACAGAAAACTGAATATAAACTGGCAAATGTGTTGACATACATACTTGAACAACTTCAATCAATATCTCAGTGACTGCTTTTAAGAATTGTTGACTCAAATCAAAATGCACACTTGAAATGTTTGTTTCTGTAATGTCACTAATTAAACTATTCACATATTTTTGATAATCATTTCAATATGTGAGATATCACACATATAATTTTGCAGAAATTCTCAACATTATTTGTATATTAATACATAATATTTTACAAAGCTGACAAATCAATATATCTGCATCTTATCGCAGGGGTACAACTTCCTGGTTTATAGAATGGGAAAGGTAGTTGGTACATGTACATAAAGCACACTGGTTATAACAACTCAGCATGATGTTTTACAGGTATACTCTGAAGGTGTTTTATCTATAAATCCTACCATGATTAGCAAAGTAAATAAAACTATCAGTTTTCCATGAATAACACAATAATGAAAATTAATTATGAGGTAAATACAGTGGGTTATCGATTATTTATGATCAATAGAGATATAATGATACTACCTATACCTCCATAAGTTGAATCCAGAATACTTATTGTATTCTTATCTGGGTCTTGTAATTATACCACACAACCTTTGCACAAACACATGAACATCTTTAATAATTGAATGTCCGAAATGTTGGTGAGTCCTATTACTAAGTGTTCAAGAAGTATAGTGGGTCCACAAAGGAAAATCACGAGTCTATGACTCAAATATCGGAGTCCTAAAAATCACAGGAATTGTCAGGGGATTTTAAGTCCTGTTCCAACTTCCCCTACTCTCTTCCTTAAATATTTAGGGAGGCAATTCTTCGCGTATTTGTCCATGAATTATGTCTGGACCAGAGGCTTTATTATACATTACATTTATTATGCTGTCATTGATGTTTACATAGTCGATAAAAATGTAAATGTCAATAACAGCATCATAAATGTTAATATTGTTGACTTGCACATTTGTTCAAGCCATCACAACCCATATTGTTTCAAACACATGAAAACTTCTACAGACTGCTATAAACACTCTCATTCCTCTATTTAAAAGAAATACATATATATTTATACATATATTTTATCTTTTTAACCAATGCCTTGGGACTAAGTGTCAGATTTGACAGCCTCAAGTACTACGAAAAAGAGAGTAGAAGATATGTAAATATTGATATCAAATAATCATTTTAGAGACAGAAATATTTGGTGTTATATTCAACATGGCGAGAGACTTTTGACAGACGTCTTAGTCTTCTAATATTGTTAGGTATATACATTATGTAGAAGAAGAGGAGCAGGGATGCCTGGCATGCTACACCCTCCCCAAATATAGCTAATATTTATACACTGTTATATGTAACGTGTCAATATCATGACTATACTATCAGTAATTGAATTAATTTGTAGGTGTATACCCCTATACCTGCTGTCAATGACTGTAGTGACTACAGTTTAAAGACAAGTGTCAATGTTAGGTGCTGCCCAGCACCTGTGCTTTCCTAACTTTAGTTCTGCTGTTTCAGAGTTGTAATAAACACAATTTTGTGTAAAGAGATGTGAAATGTGCATAATGATCGCGATCTGTTCTTAAGAATACGACAACGAGCAGTAGATACTTACCTATATTACGACTTTCGCCTTGCAGGCCTACGATACGAAAACAACTTGAAAGACGACTTCCGTATATCGTGCTGCAAGGGGAGTAACTCGGATTTCCAGATGGCACTCGTTTCGTTTGTTGTCATCGCGCACTTCCTGTGACAAGTTGAAACAAAATACCTCAGACTGTGCACATATAAAAGTGGACAAGTCTATAGAATTAAACACATTGGATATAGTTAGCAGTTCATCAGGTAAATATGAAACGCATAAACGGCAGGAAGAAGCGGTATTTTTCCGTATAAAATATAGTAACCTCAATTGACTGTCGACGCGACTAATGTTGGCATAACAAGAAACATAAGCCGTATTAGCTTTACTAGTACTGGTGAATATAGCCTTCCTGTTCCACTTCATTCTTCGATGTTTTAGGCTTATTTGAAATGTTTGTCACAAGTAGGCTAGCTGGAGAGCTAATGGCAAAGCGTCGTCTAAAATCAAGTCTTTTTTGTCTTCTATAAATTTGTCCATTGTCTCATGGCTGTTCCTACAACTGATTCAGTAGAACTCGAAAATCATACAATTAAAATTTGCAGACATATATGACTCCTTAAAATTATCCTTCTTTCCGCGCACCATTTTCCCAATGGAATACCCTCCATTTGACCATGGTACACAGAACCAGATATAGATGTTAGTGATGGCGATCAAAGTTCAGTCCACTTCAGAGATTTTATATGGACCTGTATAGTGTGATTGGTGTAATGGATACTGATGCTTGGTATTGGTAGAAGGGGAATATAGAATGAACATCTATAGTTTCTATTTCACATTGTACATTTCAACATCTCTTCTTTCCGTCAAAAAGAAACAGAATATTTTCAATCACGAAAGAGTTATAAAAAGGGCTACTACTCTATATTTTAATGTTTAATGATAGATTTCTCGTACAGGATGGTTACATCAGAATCAACACGTTTTTGCAGTAGCTACGTTGAAAAAATACTTTGATGTCACTGACCTCACTTACCAATGAGAATAATGTACATAGACATCATAGTGTCAATATAACATAAACATTATTGTTACTGTTGTTAAGCATCTGAAGATTTAGAAATGAAAGCACATTTTTTCTGTAGCTAAATCCAGACACTGAGAAAAATACATGCTCTTTCCTGTACCTATACATATACTTGTAACTAAAACATATAAGGACAGATGTATAGAAAATATTAGCACATACATTTATGTATTGTGTATATCATGATATCAAGACACATTTCAACAATCTATATACATTGCGTCAATTTTAACCTTGGTTCCTTGATTACAAGGTATTATCACAGTGGTTAGTTAGGCGATTCATGTTGTCTTAACTATTACCATGTTTCGCCTATATTTGGCCTTTTGTTATCTAATTGTTGTCAACTGCAAGAAAGAGTCTGTTTGAGTAAATCTCTCTCACTTGTGACAAGTATCACACAACAGGTACTTTGTGGTACTTTTGTTTATTTACATATAGCCTTGATTATTGACTACTGACTAGTTACTAAGTAGTAGTAGATTCCTGGAAAGGATAAAGGATGAAGAGTGAGATTGGTTGAATAACACTTATACAAATGTATTGCATTACGTAGGCTTAGTTCAATAAATCTGTGGATTTTTTGGAAGGTTTATGAATATTGTCAGTGTAGTGCACATGCTATACAAGTGCAGCAGAGGTCATTGTTTATTTTAATGCCTCCGCTAGGTTTGAATTTGGGACTTCTGGTTTACTAGCTTTATATAAAGTGGTACGATCAACCAATCATGCTAAAGAGTGGTTGTCTTTGGCTGAGTGGTATTCTGTGGCTTGTATTTTATCAGGGTTAAATAGAAGTAATTTTGTATCAACAGCTAGAACAGAAATATCCGAATGCTGTCATTCATTTTCTTTTTATACAGGAACAAAATGCCTTTAAATTTAAATCCATTTGGAAACAAGTTTTCTCCAAAGAAAACACCACCACGAAGAGCACAGTCATTATCAAACTTACAGTTAGATGCAACCCAGTCCAAGGAGGAGTTTGGACCCGATGTAGGCCCAATCAAAGTGAGGCTTAGTGGTCAGGAAGTCACATTTGAAAATGGAATGTGGGTCCCAGGTAAGACTGAAGTTCACAATTTTCTGAATCACAATTGATGGGTCATTATGGTTGTAAAGATAAATTGTATTGATCAGATACATGAAGTATAATGTTATGTAATGTGTCTTCATATTTTGTGTTATCTACATTCAGTATTCTGCCCTGTACTGTCAAAAGCTTTTACGATTATCAACACAAAATTTTACATTGTATACAATTTACAAATAATTCAATACAAAAAATAAGAAAAGAATGTGCTAAAGCAGCTTATTGTAAATTAATGAAGAAAAAATCATAACTCAACATACTACAATTAATATATGAAGTAAAGAAAAGTTTGATTTTTCACTAAAATATTGTCCAATATTGTTTTAGTATCAGATGGTAAGTATATTGAGCAATTAAACACTAGAACCAACTAATTATAAAAATCTTTTGTTATACTTTGTGTAAATAGTAGTATTCATTTTGTTAATGCAGTGAAAGTCTTATCATATCAGAGTACTAATATAACTTGCTTTAATATCTTTGAGGTGATTTCTTTTAGAGCTAATTATAACCTACACAGTTTAAGTTGGACATGTAGAGTTAGACCTAGCTGATCATCTAATAATTTCTTAATACTAATGACGCTTCTGTTTTTTTTAAGAAATGGGAAATGTAGTCTACTAATACATGTGCTTAATTATAATTATCTTTTGGAAATAAAGAAAATCCCCAGGTTGTTTTATTGAATGATTTGATAACCAAATGATCAGATATCTTATACATAACAAGGTGGCCTGTCAAGGCATTCTTTGGATTGTACAAAGTGAAGGTTATGACTGAAGTCTGTTACACACTGTATCTTTGAACTATAAAGTGTAAAAAAAGTAAAACTAAAATTTGATAGTGTCTGTGAACACAATGTATGTTTCATATTCTCCATAGATTTACTGCATGATAAAGTAAGTCATTGATTTCATATAGAACTCCAACCTCCCCAGAAATAAATCAATAATTTAAGAATAGACATTGAACTTTCAATAAAGCAGCATTACAGATAAGATTGCCATTTTTTCCAGTATATCATGTAGATATGTATAATTTGAATTTCCAGTACACAGCAATTGAGACCCTGCTTTTAGGAGTGATGGGGTAGTGTGTAGTACTCGAGTAATCATTTGTTGTCTAACCATGAGGCTTCTATTAGTCTAATAGACAGCTGGGTGATAGCATTGTAACTAAAACTTTATCACTGACTGTTCATATACTTGTGTAAAGGGATGTACTTACCAGTGTACCAAGTGATAACTTCTCATTGATTTCCCTTGTTGTCTGTAAACCAAAGTAGCACATCATTTATACCAGGTAATCTTGTTGTTAAAAGTAATAATTTTATCTCTTATGATTCTTCATTTTTTTACTACTTATGTAAATACGTACAGGACTCAATGGCTACATAAAGGACTCATTGGACACTACCAACTACACTGTATATAGGACTCAAAGGACATACACAGCCTTTGTTATATAAAGGACTCAATGTACACTAACCAACAACACTATATATAGGACTCAAAGGACATAAACAGCCTGTTATATAAAGGACTCATTGAACACTAACCAACTACACTGTATAAAGGACTTAAAGGACATAAACAGCCTGTTATATAAAGGACTCAATATACACTAACCAACTACACTGTATAAAGAACTCAATGGACACCAACTGACTACTCAATATGAAGTACACAATGGACACTTACAGATTTCACAAAGACAAGACTCAATGGACACTAATATATTACACAAAGACAAGACTCAATGGACACTAATATATTACACAAAGACAAGACTCAATGGACACTAATATATTACACAAAGTACAAGACTCAATAGACACTAATATATTACACAAAGACAAGACTCAATGGACACTAATATATTACACAAAGACAAGACTCAATGGACACTAATATATTACACAAAGTACAAGACTCAATAGACACTAATATATTACACAAAGACAAGACTCAATGGACACTAATATATTACACAAAGACAAGACTCAATGGACACTAATATATTACACAAAGACAAGACTCAATAGACACTAATATATTACACAAAGTACAAAACTCAATGAACACTAATATATTACACAAAGTACAAGACTCGATTGACACTAATATATTACACAAAGACAAGACTCAATGGACACTAATATATTACACAAAGACAAGACTCAATGAACACTAATATATTACACAAAGTACAAGACTCGATTGACACTAATATATTACACAAAGACAAGACTCAATGGACACTAATATATTACACAAAGACAAGACTCAATGAACACTAATATATTACACAAAGTACAAGACTCGATTGACACTAATATATTACACAAAGACAAGACTCAATAGACACTAATATCTTACACAAAGTACAAAACTCAATGAACACTAATATATTACACAAAGTACAAGACTCGATTGACACTAATATATTACACAAAGACAAGACTCAATAGACTCTAATATGTTGCACAAAGTACAGGATTCAGTTGACACTAATTCAATGTAGTTTTCACAAAAGTTGAAAAGTTGACTTTTGTAGACCAATTTTATTACCTTAGATTGCACACATGATGAAATCTGTAGTGAAAGGGGAGCTCGGAATGTTTAAGTAACTGTTCATTTGTGTTTGACAGAGACTGGTACTAGTGCAGCAAGTCACAAAGAAGTAATGAAGCTTAGGAAGGCAAACCAGCAGTTACAGGAAGAGAATAACTTACTGAAACTTAAAACAGATATACTGCTGGATATGGTAAGTATTAGATGTCCTGTGTATTACTATACAGATATTCTGCTGGATATGGTAAGTATTAGATGTCCTGTGTATTACTATACAGATATTCTGCTGGATATGGTAAGTATTAGATGTCCTGTGTATTACTATACATACTGCTGGATATGGTAAGTATTAGATGTCCTGTGTATTACTATACAGATATTCTGCTGGCATGGATATGGTAGTATTAGATGTCCTGTGTATTACTATACATACTGCTGGATATGGTAAGTATTAGATGTCCTGTGTATTACTATACATACTGCTGGATATGGTAAGTATTAGATGTCCTGTGTATTACTATACATACTGCTGGATATGGTAAGTATTAGATGTCCTATACATACTGCTGGATATGGTAAGTATTAGATGTCCTGTGTATTACTATACATACTGCTGGATATGGTAAGTATTAGATGTCCTGTGTATTACTATACATACTGCTGGATATGGTAAGTATTAGATGTCCTGTGTATTACTATACATACTGCTGGATATGGTAAGTATTAGATGTCCTATACATACTGCTGGATATGGTATTAGATGTCCTGTGTATTACTATACATACTGCTGGATATGGTAAGTATTAGATGTCCTATACATACTGCTGGATATGGTATTAGATGTCCTGTGTATTACTATACATACTGCTGGATATGGTAAGTATTAGATGTCCTGTGTATTACTAAACAGATATACTGCTGGACATGGTAAGTATTAGATGTACCGTGTATTACTATACATACTGCTGGATATGGTAAGTATTAGATGTCCTATACATACTGCTGGATATGGCAAGTATTAGATATCCTGTGTATTACTATACATACTGCTGGATATGGTAAGTATTAGATGTCCTGTGTATTACTGTTGGTCTTCCATTCTGAATGATTAAGGACTCATTGTTGGTTGGAATCTAAGATATTGTAATTATGCATATTTCAGTTAGCAGAAGCCTCAGCTGTGTCACATTACCATGAAAATGAACTGAAGCAGTTAAAAGCTCAAGCCGGAAGGAGAAAGTAAAGACAGTCTGATAACATCACTGACTTTTGTGTAGATAAGATTTAAGTGATAGCTAACCAAAGGAGAGAATGAACATGATACATTTGATTAAGTGTCAGCAGGAATATAAACAATTTTTTACTGGTGTTGTAAACAATTAATATCTGTTCAGTTTTTGTACCATGATGTATAAAAAGTAAATATAATTTAAGTTGATCTTGTTACACATTCTGTGATAGGTGCAGCACATGTCAATAATTATATAGCAGGTAAAGGAACAACATACATTTGTATCAGAGTAGATATAGAATGGTTTTTGTAACGAGGGTTCTGTGGAGCTCAGTATCAATATGGTTGTAATTCAGGTCAATTTATTTGTTTGTACAATGTTGTATCTGTGATATACCAGTGTATAGTTAGGAAGTATGACTTTTGTGTATTTAGTAAGGGAGTGTGACTATTTGTATCTAGTAAGGTAGTGCGACTATTTGTATTTAGTAAGGGAGTGCGACTACTTGTATTTCGTAAGGGTGTCTCAGTGTGTGTGTATCCAGTAAGACAGTATGACTTGTTATATAGTGAAGTGCTGAGGCATTGATCTAGTAACTCTGTATGGAAGTATGACTATATTGTGTGATTGTAGTATGACAATATGTAATTAGAGAGAAAATTATTAATAGATTTTAGGAAGGCAGCATGACTGTATATTTACTGTAAAGTGGGGATCTGTAACTCTAGTAATAAAGAGAACTCTTCAACATTTTGCCACAACTTGGTTGCATTTTCATTTCCGTCCTGCTGATCTGTGTAGAATTTGGTAAATAAATGTAAATTACCAATCTGAAATTTTTCTGGGAGATACTCTTTGTATTACCAAAACCATTCAAATTCTGTTTCATCGTGAATTGGTTGTATTATTCTGAATGTTTTTCCCCCCAAGAAAGACTAAGTCAGTACAGAAACCACAGTAGATGGGATGAGGTAAGAAGACATAATTTTCCAGAATATTGATTATCATCATCAACTGAATTCTCATTCATGGCAAATTATAAAAGGCATTTTTTTGTGACTTGATTATACATGACAAATTAAAATATTAAAAACATTACGTCTTTGTGCTTACTGTGATATGAGATACATATAAGGAGTTGGATCTGCCACATAATTACAATTAAATTTTTCACAAAATCCAGTTAAAATTCCAAAGTCTACAGGTATTTTTCTGGGTAGTCAAATTTCCTACAAAACTAAAACTAGTATTCCCTGAAAAAAACTTGCATGTGACATTCAAAGTGTAGGTTAAGAACATGGTGTTTTGTGTGGCATGAAGAATGTTTCAAATGCATATGCCTCTACAATAAGTCGAAGGTTTCTGAAAAAATTGGCAGATTTACTACCTCAAGTCTTGCTGACCTTTGACCCCGTGACCTTAAAACTTGGTCAAAATCATTTTTGCTTAATCCCCTACATTTCATGCACATGCTTATTAAAAATTTTAAGGTTTTTGTGAAAATTGGCATTTTTACTTCCAAATGTTGATGACTATTGACTTTAGACTCCTCGACCTTAAGACTTGGCAATCAAAATTTTTACATCATTTTCTAATACTTTCAAAGGCATAGGCCTTTTCAAAAAAGTTTTCAAATGAATTGACATTGTAAAGCAGTTTCAGTATTTCAGCTCCTAAAATTTGCCACATCCCTGGAAGCTAAATGGTTTTTTAAATCTGATAAGTAGAGGGATGTTTTAAAATAACTTTTTACCATCTTGTTTTGGTCCTGCCCTAAAGGTCCCAGTGGGTAAGGACCTCAAAATGTTTTGCAGTTTTGATGCCTAGCCAGGTATTAATGTTGACTGTTTGGTATCTTATCATACCAGCATGAGAAGCTGAAAATGTGAAAGTTACCTAATGACCTTAAAACTTATGGATCATGGACCATTGATGATGTACAACTAGGCAATGGTAATTGATCACCACTAACCTTTGGCTAAAGTGTCCTAAAAAAGGGTGAAAGAATATGTCTACCAGGTAGCTGAGGAGCAATGACGATATTGAAGATTTTAGTAACTGACCTTGGCCTATAAATAGCCATGATCATGGTGGAAAATATCCAAATAATGGAGTGATAGGCAAGGTGTGATGGTCAGGTTGGCCAAAAATGTCTTTATTTTCTATCCTGGAGTTATACAACAGTCAATTCAGGAACATTTGATACAAAACTATGACCTAGACACTAAGGGACCCTTTGATGAAGGATCATATATTTGTACAAAACACTGCTGTGGAGAGGTATTATCCGACCTAAATGACCTCTGTCATTGAATTTCACTAAAAATATTCAATTCAAAGAGTCAATTATAATGATTCTTAGGTCTGCAAACCTTTTTATTATTCGAGTGTTATACATAAACAAATATGTGATACTTGTTTCACCTGTAATAAGCATTAAGAGTGATAGACCTACGTATGTACCACTTAATATCAACATACCTCTGTGAACAGCACCGATCATTCTAGTTACATGTAGATTACATACAGTGACACAAAAGTTCGACAAAATGTTAAGTTCATGTTTTTAATAAAGTAAACACATAGTGTTGACCATATTGAAATATTCCATTCAATTTTACACATCAAATAAGGCTTGATTTGAGTTCACATCAGAGAAAGTAATCGGCAAAATATTGTTGAACTTAAAGAGCCAGATCCACTCCGTTATGGATATTTTTTCATATTTTGTTGACTGGAAATGTTGTTGTATACTAATAGATAATATATAAATAAAGACAAAGTTTCGAACTTGAAATTAAAAGGGTACCGAAGATATCGGTGCTGGAATTAGTCTCATTAGTCAACACCAGGATATGAATATTGATGAGGAAAAGTCACGTGATACGTTCAGACGCGGTCAGAGTTCTTACTGTCAAATAAAATACCCACTTCTTCGTGATTTGTTTTTAAATTCAGTTCGGTCTTCACAGCATTCCAGCTTTCCGTATGATCACCAATACAAATCTTTGCCTTTGATATATCATGGTCTCGCACCATCTTCCGTTTTCTTCCCCGCTTCCCTCGCACGCTTTCTGCCATCTTGGAAGACGGCAGATTCATTCACAGTTCTTTGCGCATGCGTCAGAGGGCAGGACTTCCCCCAAAGTTATGAATTAGCACCGAGTCATTTCGAACTATTTTTTATAAAACTATTTATTACGTTAGATTGGTAGCGATTTACTTTAAAATTGCGTATTACAGGGTTAGTCAGAACTTTTGCTACCTGAGAAAAATAGAAAATTCTGATTTTTTTTTTTACATAAAATAATATCGGTCGAGGAGTGGGTCTGGCTCTTTAAGCAATTTCATTCTGTTAAAACAATTAATATTACAAAAAAAGATGTGGTCAGTATGTAGTGTTCAACAATGAATGATTATCTGTATTATTTCTTGTAAATTATGTACAATTCTGACACAATGTTCACAGCATTTCCCCTCTAAAACTTCAGACAAGTAGTATTGATCAGACAGTAAATTCCACTGCTGATATGACATAAAATAGTAACATTACAAGCATTAAAAATAACAGTTTCATCTAATGTCCTAATTGAATGTTTTTGTTGACAGAATGGAAATAGAATTCTAGATAAAACAATAAAAAGAACACAAATGTAAATTCACTTATTTCTGTAAACATTAGACTTACGTAGAATATGAATAACAACTTAGCATACAAACATTAAATTTGCCTAAAAGGTGTGTTGTTAATCATATTGATGTTAAATGTTGTATCAAACAGTTTCCATGGTACTTCAATCACACCAGACATATAACATCCCCACAGAGAACACTTTGTGAAGTTTTCTATGATAACAATTATATCAACATACACACAGTATACAGTTTCACTTTAATGTTAACTTTGTCAAGTCACACTGAGGGAGAAGATGTACCGATAACAGAGAAATAATCTTGGTACATGACAGTACATGGTGCCTTAAGTATTAATGTTAGTATATCATTTCAGAATTTCTTTTTAAGCTAAGATATATTGGGGTATATGATGATATAAAAACTGCGATACAGTAAGTAATTTTACATTTTTTCACATGAATCATGTTCCCTATAAACATCATTTCACTCATGACATATGTACATCACATAACAAACTTCAGTAAAAGCAGTCATTCATTTGATACCTATAATTTCCCCACAATGTCACATAATGAAGTACAGAAAATGGTGGTTTGAAATGTCTAGAATTTACCCCGACCCCCACGTCCACCTCGGAAACCTCCACCACCACGAAATCCTCCCCCACCTCCTCGTCCACCGCCGCGGAATCCGCCACCACCTCCTCGTCCTCCTCGACCTCGGAAACCTCCACCGCCTCCTCTTCCACCTCCTCGGCCACCTAAAGCAGAGAATGGAAACTCGTATAAATTCCCTAAATCCAGAATATGGGTATTTATATCTATACCTACATCATAGCCATATGATCACTCTACATGTTTCAAACAGCACATCAAGCATAACTTTCTAAATGTAATATATATAATGGTACATTCTCAGTATTCAATATCCTACAATAGCAGCTTCCTTTGCTTATTAAAATCCTTCTGTTTACCTCTTTACCAATAAATCACATTTTCTGAATAAAGCAACAGCTGACCTAGACAGTAGCAAACAAAGCTTGTTTGTCCATATTTGTCCAATATATCAGAATCTGATCTGAAGAGAAATTGCTAGTCCTTAGAAAGATTTGATATAGTGATTCTGAAAACCTCTATTAAACTTATTCATTTTAGATTTTCCTATACTTTATCAATTAAATAGGGACAATTTTTGTTCATTCCATGACAGAATACAACCTACTGATCTTTCAATTTGACTCAAGTGGTGTTAAATACAAGACAAGACTATTCTTGTGCAAAGTTTGCTGAATGCCAGTCAGCTACTGGTCAAATAAAACTTTCATGTCTTTTTGTTTTCCAGAAGAATTATTTTCCTCCTTATACTCACAAATACAACCATTAATGTAGGAAAATGTAGATTAAATTTTGTTGCAGCCTTTTTTGTTCTTCATCCTAGGATGCTAGTACACAAAAGTCATAAGATCTGTATTCATTGTTCATAGACAGATCCTCTAACAAAAAGGAAGTCAAGGAGAGTGAATGTCATGCCTACTGCTGAATCTCTTGGTCTTTTGAGCCATGAGCTGACAAGGAGGAAACAGGTATTATAACAGAGTAATTAAAGTCTGTTGGTTAATTAGGACTAAAGATTTTACCTCTTCCTCCTCTTGCTCCTCTCCCAGCTCCTTTAGGTTGCGGTAGAAATCTTTGAAGTGGTAATAGTTTTGCAGGATCTATGAAAAACTGAAAATGTAAAGAAATGAAAACATGTTTAAGTAGCAAATTATCCTTTTATATATCTACATTTCAGAGCAAAAAAAGCACTTTTATTCTTTCTCTGCAGAAGCTTAGTGCTTGTGTTACTTAGCTTGACAACTTTTTCTATTAACAGCGAGGCAATAATATTCTTTTGTCATATCTTGATTAACATATACACATAAGTTCGGTCTCTTTATAAAATAGATAAAACAACTTGAGGAGGGGCTTTCTTTGGATCTAAATCTCTTAAGGGGTTAATGTCATATTAATAAGTTGTTCACAAGATATCTCGTACAAAAGCTTTTTATTTCAAAAGTGATTGAGAGGGACCCCTTTGACCACTAACTTCAATCAATGATCACTAAAATCTAACCAGAATTGTCATCCTGAGATTGACTAATAACCCTAATAACATTTACATATGACCCTTAATATTTCTGTACAGCTTCACTGAAATTGGTTCCCAGTTTGGGAGAAATCGGGACAAGATCACTCTAATAATAGGTCTTATTCGTTAATATAGCATACGGAACTAAGAAGAGTGATACTATGGCATGAATATGAGTGATCTGTCCAATAGTTCACAGTATATCTTGTACACAAAGTTATGGACAGAAAAAACTGAAGCACAACATGATTTCTATAATACCATCACTACCCTTATATAAGAGCAGAAAATAATGAAATACAAAATGCTTCAAGAGTAATAATGAATTAAGAAGGATAGAACATCACAATTTACAGTAAATTAACAAACATTTTAATTCACAATCTCCAGTTAATGAGACTCACCTTTGTATCCTTTGTAAATGATTTTGACTTCATGTCATCGGAGAGTTTTACTGATACATACTTTGGTAGCTAAGGAAGCATAACATTGTAATTGATAAATGATTTATGGTTTGTACCCAAGATAAAATAATAGATCAATCTGATAAAAACAGAACCATGTAGTAGTAATTTTTTCTTCTTCAATAAGTTACAATCAATTTTTCGTAGTTTGTACACAATATGATTTAATTTTTTTTTCCATTTCTCAATGAAACAGATTTTCTCTGCCTACTTGATAATGACTGCAAGAGTCAATGATGCCATCTTGCGACCAGTCTGTTTGATCTCATTTTTATCTGTTTACATTCACCTGGTGTGTGGATATTCAATGATGTAAACAAAATTTGGATAAAATAATCAAGTATCTTATAATATACACAAGAAATAAACAACAAATAGATAACAGATTCTTCCGAGGCCCACTTATGAATGAATTTTGAATGACTGAAAAAGGCCCAAATTAGATGTCAATGATGTGACATCACATCACGCCAGCTATTATGCACAGCGATTTGTAACATATTATGTCATTAAATTATCAAATTTATGCATTTATGTGTTATTTTTGCTTTTTGAAACCTATCTAATAAACTAATTATAAGGTATATTAGCTAGGCACTCTACTCTACAGTTACCTACTGCTCAGGAGAGAGAACTGCAAATCTGTATTTGACATATTTATCATTTCTATCCTAGGAAATATAAATTTTTTTCAAAAAGATTTCCATTATTGTAATCTAACAAATATTTGAAAAATCTATCAATGAAATAAAAGGATACGTAGTCTCGAATTGATCCAAATATCTCATCCACTTTCCCAATTTGTTGTTTGTTCTCCAAGTACAGAGGGGCATTGAAGTATGGAATCTTCTCATTTGTGCATTTACAAACCAAATCATCCTCACAGGGGTGCACAAAGTGACATAGTTCTGAAATCAATGAAATCAATGATGAAGAAACGAAACAAAACAAAACAATTCTTCGCGTATTTGCTTTGATTGTGAAATTTACTAGAGTAAATGGCATGCAAAAGAAAGTTTATGCACAGGAAATCTTTCCAAGCCAGTGATTAAATCAATACAAGTTACAAAATAAAAATGAGTCACTAAGTGATTACTGATAATGTAAAACCTTACCCATCACCTCCTCTGGAGGACCATAATCTTGGTATCCACCTCCTCCACGTCCACCTGTGCCAGGAAAGTATCATAAATATAAGTTGCTTCACACTTCCATTTAAGATACAAGATATCATATTCATATTTAAAACTGCAAAAGGGATTGTCAAGAGTATCACTGTATCCTGCATCTATAAAACGATACCTATATGACTATTTCTGTATCAAATGTCTGATCTAGGGAACTGTACTTAAATGTAATAGTAAATGACATATTGCACTATCCCAAGTTTGGTTTTTTCATTTACCATTTTTACATAATGTACCTACATTATAATACATAAAACACTTATCTGAATACACCATGAAAAAGAGGACATATGATGCATATTGAACAAGATGTACTATTATACTGCATATGCTTGTGATTTTTCTTAAGTTTATTTTTACTTGACATCCTACTAACAGCCACAATCATTCTACATGTGCCAGGCTTGAATGGTTAAGGAAAGCCAGAGTTTTAGTGGAAAAACTGCCAACCTGTGACCAGTACCTGGCAACTGCCCAACAAAGGCCTTAAACTGATAATCCAGAGGTGGATGGCCAGGTTATTGTGATAAAATGGTTTAAAGTCATAAGCACATGAAATGTTTTGTTTGTAATACTGACTAAAACTGCTGTATTGGATATTAATCAAAAGAAAGTAATTAACTGTTGCAAAACATTTTGTATTTCCTTCAATAACTACAATTAAAAGCAATATTTTGATATACATGTGACATTCTCGGAAAGAAAAGACAGTCTAAGATATACAATAGAATATTGCCATGACCTTACTTACTATCTAGAGAATTGGAGAAATCAGGAAGGCTGAACTTACCACGTGCAACTGAAGCAGGCATTTGAATTTGAATTTTGGTATTTACCAACAAGGAAACATGTGTTTTGATTCTTTTAAGTCAACACCAAAAAGAGGTTGCAAAGTTTCCATCCCATGCATGATGCATTGTAACACAAAAGCATTTATCCTTAAAACTCTATGCCAAACAGTGGCTCACTCATATGCTCAGGAAACCTTTATTTTCAACTGCAGAACACAAGTCAAAAGTGCAAATAACAATTTCACCTTTATAAGTAAAATTAAAGAAACTTCATTTAAAAAAAAAGTTATTTAACAATAATATGCAAACTTACCTCTAAAACTACCTCTTCCTCCTCTGCCCCCTCCTCTTGATCCTCCTCTAAAGCCACCCCCTCCTCCTCCTCCTCTAAAGCCACCACCTCCACCACCTCCTCTGCCACGAAAGCCTGGTGGTCCCATTTTACTGCAATATTAATGCATTAAGGTCAGCAACTTTTTTGTGTTTTTTCTATGAAGACCTAATTTGACAATCCATATAATCACAAAGATGCTAAACGTTTTGTCAATCACAGGCTGTCGACAGAGAGGAGCCAAGAGATGTCAAGACATGTCCCTTGTCGATTTTCAAATGCATCATCAAGTTTAAAAGTCAAAATATAGACATTCAAGAACCAACTATTTCGGGGCGCCGAGGATATATACAAATGTAAAACTTCAATACAATACTCGGAGAGAACGCGCTCTTCGGTATCGACACCAGAGGCGACACGTGTGACGGCATTCCAGCGAAGCTGATATACTTCAATTAAAGAATAGTGTTTACAATTTACTGATGTGGAATTGCCAACAGCGTCCGCTCAGAACATCAAAACGCGTAAATCTTTCAACTTACCAAATATAAGATTAGGAAAAATACACGTGCTTCCGTTATTATATTTTACACGCATGCGCGTATAGAATATGTCGTAAAAGCAAATTCACAGTAAAGGCAACTCAGAACAAAATTAAGATAAATTTTTCCTGCAAAAATTTAGATTTATAACTGTTAGTGTTTTTTTTAGAATTTTATAAAATGATGTCCAAAATTCGTATAAAAATATATCTCCTTTTCGGTTGTCATAAACATCTAGGTCATTTGAATGTTTAGATAGCATGCATACGCTGCGAACACAAACAGAGCGCAGATTATACGTTGAGGAAAAAACAAAACGTCCACCGTTCGTGGTTTGTGAAAAGCACAATGCCAAGGGACAGCAGGTAACGGACTCATTAAGGTTTATTAATTATTTCACGATCGGGTCTGAAACATTTATTGAAGACAGAAATGTATCTACACCATTGTTAAGGAATGACCCCGCATTATCACCACAACTGGTAATCATGCCCTCACGGTAATCACTACTTGGTCAAAGACTAGGACACTTCGGCGCTATTGCTAATTTGCTTATTTTAGGAATATGCATCGCTATGAAACATGTCATGCCTGAGAAATGCTATATATTTTGAAAATTCTGGTTATTGGCGCCTGCCAACGTGAATCCACTTTAGCTTAAGCGACAAAACATTTTTGTATACATGTGTAAGTAATATTGGATTCAACCACAGGTACATATCTGTAATTTAGAAGACCATTAGCTCGTCTACCCTGACCAGTGCTCGAACGGGAAGAGTGTTTGAACACTTATTTTGTTTTCGGTTGTCACTCCACAAAACGACTGATTCGTCCATTCATGATGCATGAAAAGGTCTCAAACTACTGTGGTAATCTGAATATAGCAGACGACTGTGCAGCTGATCCTGCTGCATGCAACAACTGTAAAAATAAATGTTGGTTCCTAAAAAGTTTGCATACTTAATTTTTTGCTTACTCTGAAACAATCTTAGTAAAATATATATCTAAAAGAAAAGTATTGCATCAAAACTGGATGTTTAACATATTTAGTAAAATACAGTACTAACCAAAACATTGGTCCACATTTCCCCCCATAGAAATACAACTAATCTTACCTTAACTCAAAAATTTCAACCATGTCCTAAACGAACATTCCAAGATAACCGTTATGTAGCTCACTTTTTCATTGGGTAATTTTCATGATCTAATCCCCATTATACTCATCAAAGAAAATGTTTAAAATGGCGCTCAACATTAATGGTAAATGCTAAAGAAAAGCTAAAGTCACCAAATTCATCAGAATGGCATCTGCATCGATCTGTATAAGACATGTTATAGTTTGACTTATCTAATTCATCATATATGTGGTTATATTTGTTGGTATTGAACCATGCCATGGTTAACACAAAATTACAATGGGCTCAAATTAGTCTAGGAACATCATTTAGATCACAGGTTTTTGGTAGAACCTTATGATGTATTTATTATGTATAAAACTTATTTTTTTCACAGATCATACAGAAAAAGGTCTCGATCAAGAAGTGGTTCAAGAGAAAGAAAACGCTACAGGAGTAGGTCCAAGAGCACAGATCGATCAAGAAGATCAAGGTCAAGAGACAGATTAAGACGATCAAGGTCAAGAGAACGAGATAGGGATAGGTCAAAGAGATCAAGATCCCGTGACCGTGACAGACGAAGATCAAGGGAAAGAAGACGTTCGAGGAGTCGGGACAGAGATAGGAGAAGGAGATCAAGGTCACGGGATAGGGACAGAGATCGGAGATCGCGCTCAAGAGATCGAAAGTGAATGTCATTTTGTTTATTTGCAGAAATATGTGTTTCTTGGTTAACACTGTAACAGTATATGTATTAATATTAGTAATAATATCATGACATCTGAGTAGTACCTTAGTCCATTGATCAAGATATCCATTAATATTGTGTAAGACATACATGATTTTCAGTAATAAAAACTACATTTTGTTTTCCTTGATTTATTTGTCATTAATGACTTTTACAGTTGTTTTTTTATTTTATTTAAAAGGAGGGATAAAAGGTCACGATCAAAAACACCTGAGAAATCCAAAACAAAAGGGGATTCATCACCGGAAAGAAAATTGCAATTTAGAGAAGGAGAATTAAGTGTGAGGGATGAACCACTTGACAAGGAAGAGGAGCAGAAAAGGCTTGAGATGGAAATGCAAAAACGAAGAGAAAGAATTGAGCACTGGAGAGCTGAAAGAAAAAAGAATAAAGAGCTAGCCCCAATAAATATAGCCCCTCCCACAAAGATTTGGAGTTTAGAAGATGATGATGATGATGACGACATTGTTGATGATGGGTCAAAAGATGATGATGATGAGCTAGACCCTTTAGATGCCTATATGCAGGTAAATGATTGATATTACTTGATTTTTTTTTATGTTACTTCCTTTTTATATCTCGATTGATATGCCAAGATTCATATTAAGTAACAGTTTTTTTTTGTTAACCAAATTTTGCAACTGATCAGAAAAACCTTAAGATTAAGAGACAGCCTTCTTGCTATTTTCCTTGCAGATCAGAAAGGATTGATCTGTCTTTGATTTTGTATTTTAGTTCCCCATGCTATGTGTATGTATAAAGTTGTGTTTCGAACTTGATTTTTTAAGTTTGTTAATGCAAGTAGTGGTGTAACAATGTGTTAAATTAAATTGGACTTTATGATAAAATCATTATTTTAATCTCAAAGCCATTATGTGCCACTCAGTTTTAATGAATACATGTTTCGTGTTGTTATGAAAATGTGATATTGCATGTTTGGTAATTGTTAAAATGTTTCCTGATATGGCATTGCCTCATCTTTTATGTTAGCAGTCAGTTTGTTTGTCTTTGTCTTGTTGGGTGTTAGATTTGGGAGAGCTGCTAGGGGAGAGGATCATGTCCAGTCGGGAGTTATGATGTAGTGTCAGGCAGTAGTTTTGGCAGAATCTATTAGGAATGACTTATTTGAATCACCCCAAACCAATTGTTTTTAATGCTTATAAAGCATTTTAAAATAAATAAACATTCAGAATAGTTGATGGACTTCCTTTTCTTTCCACACAACTGCACATGTAAGATCCCCTGTGTTTTCATTAAGAGCATTTTGATTCAACAATGATTCAAGAAGTTACTACCTTTTGTTCTTTTCAGTATTTCAATTTTGTCCTGAGATTTCTTTCTGTTCTCAACCCATATCTTTATAACTTGGTGTGCTTTCATTAATCATTAAAACATATGACACTGTTTTCCCTCTTTGACATATTGACCCCTTGTTACCATTTCCATATTTATATTCTTTTCAATAAAGTAAATAATGACTATTTCTTAGGCATTCGATGGGCATGTCCACCCCTCAGTACTTCTTTGTGTTTGTTTAGATTTGAGACTATTTTTAAGCAGAATATATAGCCATTATAGATTTGTCCACCCCTCAGTACTTCTTTGTGTTTGTTTAGATTTGAGACTATTTTTAAGCAGAAGATATAGCCATATATAGATTTGTGTGCTTCTTTGTGTTTGTTTAGATTTGAGACTATTTTTAAGCAGAAGATATAGCCATTATAGATTTGTCCACCCCTCAGTACTTCTTTGTGTTTGTTTAGATTTGAGACTATTTTTAAGTAGAAGATATAGCCATTATAGATTTCAATATTTACATATATATGGGATCTTTCTTATATACACAGTTTTCCTTAGTTGAGCAATTTTACTATCGCTGATATCTAAACAATAAAGATTGTAAGAAAGCAGATGTCAAGGTCCATATGTGAGATATCTTGTTTTTATGAGGGAAATCTTATTTGGGCAAACAGTCTATTCTCTGCTGTGAAAATATTGGTTAGTACACCTTGAGTCGATTCCAATGCTGTCTCATTTAGTTCAATATAGATGAAACAGATGCATGTCTCATTCAATTGAGTATAGATACAAACTGTGCTCGATGTCTGATTAAATGTGGTATAGACATACAAACTGTATATGATGTCTCGTTGTGTTTAATACAGATAGAATAGATGCATGATGTTTCATTGTTTACTATATAATACTGACACTTACAATACTTGTTCTCAGTAATACTATATTCTATTGATAACTCTATTATTATCTCTCCTGTCTTTTTACAGAATATTGAGGAGAAATCCAACAAAGAGAAGGAACAGAAATCTGGCATTAAATCGGAAAATGGTTCAAGTGTAAGTATATCTCTTGGTCATGATCTCTCATTGTCTTCTAATTCTAACAAAAAGATATGTATATTTAATATTTGGTTTGTTTAGAATTTGAAATTTGTAAATTTCCTGGATGACCTACTACTGTAAGTGCTGTAAAATTGGGACTGAGTGTTCGACCCTGTTGTTATGTTACCCATTTTATCCCCTGTTTGTTTGTTCTTGTTTTCAGACAGATACAACTTCTGCTTTGGGAAAAGTGACCATGATTACAGGTGTTGTGAAGACTAAAACTGATACATCACTACAGAAAGGAGAATTGATGTTAAACAACGTGGATGCCATGGAGGTATGCTTTGTTATACTATCCCCTACCCCCTCCCTACCCCCTCCCTACCCACCACCCCTTCCGCAGTTAAGTTAGGGGCTATATTGGAATAAGCTAATCTGTTTGGCTGTCCATTAACAAAATTTATCTAGTTATGCATTCGCTGAGTTTTCAATGTATTTTTCTTATTTCATATGAAGTGCCAGTACTAATTATGTAAGCCTTCTAAAATGAATTTGCATTTCAATCATTTGTTAGGGAGTTATGTCCCTTCTTTGTGAAAATATGACAATTTTGTTTGCAGTGCATTTCCTCATTTCCAAATGAAATTTCTGTGTATTTAGAGCTAATTGCCAGTAATATATGGAGTTGTGCCCCAAAATAATTTTTCTTTCCAATCCTATTTTTCTGGAGTTACCCCAATTGAAGTGAAATGTGGGGATAGGAAGGAGGAGAGGAGTGTACTTTTGTAGAATTGCAGCTGGATAATAAGTATTCATTTTGAACACTTCATTTCCTTCATAGTCTATGTATGTCATTGTTAAACATTGTTTCCCTTTAAATAGATGGAACATGAAATCACTTACAAATTGTTTACCACTATACTCAACTGTTTTCATTTCAGTATTCCTCAGAAGAGGAAGAAGAGGATTTAGATTCCACCATGGCAAAAATTAAAAACAGTAAAAAGGTAATCATCTCTAAGTGTATTGAAACTCATATAGGAATATGGCTTGAAATGCCCCAGGCTTGTTTTTTTTTGTTTGTTTGTTTGTTTGTTTTCATGTTGTTAACGTGGGTTAAGATTCCTTTTGTAATTTGAGGGTATTGTGATTGATATTGCTTGAGGACATATGATATTTTTAATGAATCATTTGATTTTTGTACTACATTTGGCTGGTATTGTTGAGATGATGAGTGAATATTTTTGTGAATATATGAACTATCTTGAGGAAGATTAGGTTAATTAGATAAAACTAAAGGTAAGGTAACTTTCTGCCCTTGCCAAGTCATATATCATGCATGTTGAGTTTCTCTTGACATAAACTTGCTTGGTGTGTTGTAGGAACTACTGGTCGTGGACCACACAAGAATATATTATGCTCCATTTCGCAAAGATTTTTATGTAGAAGTTCCGGAAATACGAAAGATGACAACAGAAGGTAGGCAAGTTTGTTGTACTTGAGATTTAAGATTTTGAGATTCTGATTGGCTTAGAAATTAAACAATTTACAGAGTATTCCAGTCAGACAGAACTTATCGTGTAAGATTACCATGAAGTATTTCATTCATTGATATATACACAAAGGGTCATGTTTCTGATGATTTCACTACAAATTATGCACAAAACAATTAACTGAGGAATAATTGATCTTGTGCCTTTAAAGTAACTCTGTATAATTATGTTTTTCACAGAGGTGGATGCCTACAGGATCGAACTGGAAGACATTAAAGTTCGGGGTAAAAACTGTCCTAAACCAATTAAATCCTGGGCGCAATGTGGATGCAGCAAAAAGATCATGGATGCTTTCAAGAGGTAAGCATTACATCTTTTAAAGATATGATACATGATACATATTAAGTTGTAGAATTAGTGATGAAACTGCTAGATGTTGTAGTGTAGACTGTTGCATACTGCTACTTCACATGCTATTAAGTTAATATTTTGTGCTTAAAGTCTTAAAGGTTTAACATAATGAAATATTTGATGTTTCAGACATGATTATGACAAGCCAACACCAATCCAGGCACAAGCCATCCCGGCCATTATGAGTGGAAAGGACTTAATTGGGATAGCTAAAACAGGCAGTGGTAAAACTCTGGCTTTTCTGATCCCAATGTTCCGTCATATCAAGGACCAGCCGGAACTTGATGAGGATGATGGGCCTATAGGTAGAGAAAGTTACACAATATCTCATATTAATTTGTTCACATGAGTGTTTAATTTCATAACTAGAGTACACATCCATATAGACTGGAAATTATTCTGCCAACATACGTTTTCTTCTTGAACAATTTTACTTTCCTTGACATGGAATATAAGGGGTTATTCTTTGTGACACTCTGACCTACAATAATTAATACTTTGATGAAAAAAGCAATGACAGAAACTAGAAAAGAGACCTAGAACCTCACTAGCCACTAATAACGGAGATAATATATGCAGTGAACTCTTTGAACCTGGATTTATGTTGACATGTTTTCCTTTTATGTTCAATTGCTACACAAAATACCATTGGATTAAGGTTTTGTGTTTATTCTTCTGCTTCAATATGTTGCTCTTTCCCTAAGTTTATTGCCCTTTAATACTAAAGTGTTAATAATGCATGGCCTCTATTTATCAACAGCGGTGGTGATGACCCCTACCAGGGAACTGGCCATGCAGATCACTATAGAATGTAAGAAGTTTGCCAAACCTCTGGGCCTTCGTGCTGTTTGTGTATATGGGGGAACTGGAATATCAGAACAGATTGCTGAACTCAAGCGTGGCTGCGAGATCATTGTGTGCACCCCAGGCCGCATGATTGACATGTTATCAGCCAATAATGGTGAGTTGTTGAATGAGTCAAGAAGAGAGGGCATTATTACCACTTAATAAATGTTTGTTATAAGAACAGTAGGTCCATTTTGTTCAGATGTAGAGAAGCATTACACATATATTACCATAATAGGTGATATGTCTTCTTAGTGTTATAGTTACTGGTACTGTCATTGTAGGATAAAGTTGGGTCTGTTTAGAGTTTTCATATTACTCTACAAAACAGACAAATAAATATGCACAAGCAGAAATGAACCATGACGGAAGATGAGATGTTTTATGGAATAAAGCTACAAAACAGTGATGAATGAAACACCATAAGTACATATCGTGGAAATCACCTGTTTGTTCTTTATATTTAGAGTCTAGCAATTTCATTATGATCATTGCTTCTGGTATCTAGAGAGTCAGGACCCTTGAGTGAGAGAAGACGGCGAGGGGTATTGTTATTTGGGATGACAGGAAGATTGAGTTGGAAAAAATGATATAAGGTATTAGTATCTAAAAATCAGAAAGCTTGAGTGTGAGACTAGGATGTAGGGCACTGGTATCTAGGGAGAGAGGAAACTTGAGTGAGCGACCAGGATGTAGGGCACTGGTATCTAGGGAGAGAGGAAACTTGAGTGAGCGACCAGGAAGTAGGGCACTGGTATCTAGGGAGAGAGGAAACTTGAGTGAGCGACCAGGATGCAGGGCACTGGTATCTAGGGAGAGAGGAAACTTGAGTGAGCGACCAGGATGCAGGGCACTGGTATCTAGGGAGAGAGGAAACTTGAGTGAGCGACCAGGATGTAGGGCACTGGTATCTAGGGATAGAGGAAACTTGAGTGAGCGACCAGGATGCAGGGCACTGGTATCTAGGGAGAGAGGAAACTTGAGTGAGCGACCAGGATGCAGGGCACTGGTATCTAGGGAGAGAGGAAACTTGAGTGAGCGACCAGGATGTAGGGCACTGGTATCTAGGGATAGAGGAAACTTGAGTGAGCGACCAGGATGTAGGGCACTGGTATCTAGGGAGAGAGGAAACTTGAGTGAGCGACCAGGATGCAGGGCACTGGTATCTAGGGAGAGAGGAAACTTGAGTGAGCGACCAGGATGTAGGGCACTGGTATCTAGGGATAGAGGAAACTTGAGTGAGCGACCAGGATGTAGGGCACTGGTATCTAGGGAGACAGAAAGCTTGAGTGGGAAACAAGGATGTAGGATACTGGTATCTAGGGAGACAGAATGCTTGAATGTGAGACTAGTATGTAGGGCACTGGTATCCAGGGAGAGAGGAAACTTGAATGGGAGACAAGGATGTAGGATACTGGTATCTAGGGAGACAGAATGCTTAAGTGGGAGACTGGGATGTAGGGCACTGGTATCTATAGAGACAGAATGCTTGAGTGGGAGACCAGGATGTAGGGCACTGGTATCTAGGGAAACAGAATGCTTGAGTGGGAGACCAGGATGTAGAATACTGGTATCTAGGGAGACAGAAAGCTTGAGTGGGAGACCATGATGTAGGGCACTGGTATCCAGGGAGAGAGGAAACTTGAGTGAGAGACCAGGATGTAGAATACTGGTATCTAGGGAGACAGGAAGCTTGAGTGAGAGACCAGGATGTAGGGCACTGAATCCCACACATGCCATGTAATCCATCTGTTTCTCTCTATCAGGCATTCAGGTCATTCAAATTGTGACCCAGTTATATTTATGTTGACCTTCACACTGAAATCATCGGTTGTCTTGGAGGTAATAGATGCCGGAAGACTGTTGCCATGGTGATTATCAACGACTGCCATTGAAATCAGGAAATGGTTTTGATATGTTAAAATTTGAAACAAAAAATGTTCAAATAGTTGGTATTTCATGATAGCTATACTTTTATTCACTAGATAACTCTAAAAGAAAATTCCCATTTGCGTACTTTAAAAATGTCCTTAGGAGTGACACATAAAGCATGTAATGTGAAAGTATGTATTTATTTAGCACCATAATCATGTTGAAACAAGGTCAAGAAAACAAGGGTTAAATTGTCATTGAGCACTGAACATATCCTACAAGGTTAAAGTGTTTCAAAAATTAAAATTCGTTTTTCAGGTAGAGTAACAAACCTTCGACGATGCACATACATTGTGTTGGATGAAGCTGACCGAATGTTTGACATGGGTTTTGAACCTCAGGTAAGACCATATAATTTAATCAAATTAGAGACAAATTGTGTGTTATATATATCACTGTGAGCTGTCAATGTCATAACATATCAACTTACATCAGAGTGAGTGTCTACCTGTTATACATCATTAACTTACATCAGAGTGAGTGTGTACCCTGTTATACATCATTAACTTACATCAGAGTGAGTGTGTACCCTGTTATACATCATTAACTTACATCAGAGTGAGTGTGTACCCTGTTATACATCATTAACTTACATCAGAGTGAGTGTGTACCCTGTTATACATCATTAACTCACTTCAGAGTGAGTGTCTACCCTGTTATACATCATTAACTTACATCAGAGTGAGTGTCTACCCTGTTATACATCATTAACTTACATCAGAGTGAGTGTGTACCCTGTTATACATCATTAACTTACATCAGAGTGAGTGTGTACCCTGTTATACATCATTAACTCACTTCAGAGTGAGTGTCTACCCTGTTATACATCATTAACTTACATCAGAGTGAGTGTCTACCCTGTTATACATCATTAACTTACATCAGAGTGAGTGTCTACCCTGTTATACATCATTAACTTACATCAGAGTGAGTGTGTACCCTGTTATACATCATTAACTTACATCAGAGTGAGTGTGTACCCTGTTATACATCATTAACTTACATCAGAGTGAGTGTGTACCCTGTTATACATCATTAACTTACATCAGAGTGAGTGTGTACCCTGTTATACATCATTAACTTACATCAGAGTGAGTGTGTACCCTGTTATACATCATTAACTTACATCAGAGTGAGTGTCTACCCTGTTATACATCATTAACTGATAAGAATTCTCAACTATCAACAACTGTTTTCCAGGTGATGAAAATAGTTGACAATATTCGTCCTGATCGTCAGACAGTAATGTTCTCCGCCACCTTTCCGAGGCAGATGGAGGCTCTTGCCAGAAAGATCCTTACCAAGCCGATTGAGGTCCAAGTGGGTGGGCGCAGTGTGGTGTGTAAAGATGTGGAACAGCATGTTATTGTGATTGATGAGGACAAGAAGTTCCTGAAGTTACTGGAGCTGCTGGGTATCTACCAGGAGAAGGGCAGTGTGCTGGTGTTCGTAGACAAACAGGAGCATGCAGATGATTTGATGAAGGATCTGATGAAACACTCGTATCCGTGCCTGTCCCTGCATGGTGCTATTGACCAGTACGATCGTGACAGCACAATCAGTGACTTTAAAAGTGGAAACATTAGTCTTCTGGTAAGATTACTACACAACTCAAAACAAAGGGGTATACCTATACACACATGCTTGAATATTTACACTCCAAATACACAGATATATTTACGGTCAAAAGCATACAGGTGTATTTACACTAAAAAAAATAAGTATACATCCATGTATTTACACTACAATAATTTCACTAAAAACAAACAGGTAAATTTACACTGCAAAAATACAGATATATTTACAGTTCTAAAGATTTACAGGTATGTAAACACTCAAAACATACAGGTATATTTACATTTATACTTCAAAAATACAGGATATATCTACACACTCAACTTTCAGAGTTTATTGGGGGTTTGTATTCCAAAACTATGGTACACACTACTGGTTTTTGTTGTAAATGGGTCTTCACTGATAGCAATAAAATTTGAGAACTTATCATCTGACAGGTGGCAACGTCTGTGGCTGCACGAGGTCTGGATGTACGACATCTGATACTGGTGGTGAATTATGACTGTACCAATCACTATGAGGACTACGTACATAGATGTGGGTAGGTAACTCACTAATCTTAATTAGCCAATCATTGTCATAATTGAATCTGTTTTTTCTGAATAACGATCGGGTACTAATTTTCTGCAAATGTTGATTAAAATCTTATTTTGAAAATAATTTTTCATTATTCACATTTCTTACACCATTATCATGCTATGAACTTTTGAAGATTTCATATGAAAAACTATTAATGAAAATTCATATTTTTCATGATATCTTTTTGATGTGGTACCTTTATCGATACTCAGCACTAACATACATATGTTTACTGTTTAAAGTCGAACAGGAAGGGCAGGTAACAGAGGGTTTGCATACACTTTCATCACTCCAGAGCAGGAGCGTTACGCTGGAGACATTCTGAAGGCGCTTGAGATGTCAGGAGCTAGTGTACCTGCTGACCTTGAACGACTGTGGAATGATTACAAGGAAAGAGCCAAGGCTGTATGTTCTTTTTGATGCCAGTGTTTATATATGTTCTGTTTAACAAGTTGGTACATTTGCCATTTCAAAAGTTAACTAACCAATCAGTTTTCTTTTTAAAATGTATTTTGGTATAAAACCTGTATATAAAACACTACTTATGATCCTAGGTGTATCCAGGTAATACATTTTCTAATTTGTTATGAGATTTGGATTTTTTGGATTTTGATTTATGATTGATATAATTTTGTTCAAAAGTACCAGTCCTGCTTCTTGTCTATTTTTCCTGTACACATAAAATAACTTTGTCATTGTATAAGGAAGTATTGGTGACAGCTTTCCAGATTAGCTGCAGATACATAAGTGACTGTGACTGTGGTATTGATTTACAGGAGGGTCGAACAGTGAAAAGCTCTAGTGGATTCAAGGGTAAAGGATTCAAGTTTGATGAAACTGAGGCCCATTTAGCAGACGAGAGGAAGAAGGCACAGAAGGCAGCACTTGGTCTCCAGGATTCTGATGATGAGGATGCCAGTTTGGACGTAAGTATACCTGACTTATAAAGAGAGGTCTATGTTGATAAAGCCTTAGTAAACCCGATTTGCTGTAAGTCATACCTGAACTTCTGAAATATTTCTCCAAACTTGGATTATTGATATTCTTACAGTTTTTTCTGTTACTGACTTCTTAAAATGTTTTCTGATGGTACTATTTTGATGTTCTATCTTTATGTCTAATGTTACCTATAGATTGACCAGCAGATTGAGGACATGTTTGCCAGCGTTAAACGAGTCACTGATGTTGCTAAGCCAATAGTACCTACCCAGACCCCACAACCACAGATAGTGGCACCAACTGTCTCCAACCAACAAAAGCTGGAGCTGGCTAAACGTCTGGCTGCCAAGATCAACATGCAGAAGAAGATTGGGCCTGATGCTCAGGACATCACCCAGCAGGCTGCCAAGTCCATCCTTACTGGAGATGGAGCCGCACCACAAGTGGCTGTAAGTCACCTACACATTTTAGACAATATACAAAGGATATAGAACTAAATGTTTATACTTCTAACTGCTACAACTTACCTGGTTACTTTCTGATGATTATGGCTGCTTTCGCATAACCCAGTTGAAATAGTTCAGGTGGTGTGGAATTACTACACTATACATAAACGCACATGTACCAGATGTTGGACCTGACATATGTAATGCTCAAAATGTACAGTTTCAGAATTTCATGTCCAGCATAAATCAATCAACCAAAATTAAGATACCATCCATTTCACTCATACTTTATAGCACAATGCTACCGGTAATATGTGAGTGCATCAACCCTACTTTTTAAGCTGAAATTCTTAAAACTAACAATATTCAGCATGTTAGATGCCAAATATGCCACAGTCCAGCCTCAGTCTCGATCTGTACCTAGCCATTTTTAGCAGGTTTAACCGGTCTAACCTTTTCAATTGCTTACGCGAAAGTGCCCTATGTGTCCAGAGTTTGTGTACACAGTTATTCCCCAATTTTACATCTGTCATGCAGATTTTGGTTGTAAATGGAAGACTAATAGATTATTCCAGAACTGATCTGTAGTTGAAGATTATGTAATTTTAAAAGGTGAAGCCTAATTGATAACATTTAAATGTTGGAAAAAACTATGAATTGACTAAAAAAGATGTTGCATTTTGCACCGATGCTTTGCTGTATCAGCTCTTCAGGTGCGTAGTTGTACAGTGTTCATATATATATATATTAATTAATTATTGATGATATTATGTTGTTCGACCATGTAGACAACCATGTCGGCCTACTAAGGTAGCAAAACTAATTGTAAAGGATCTAAAGATTTTAAAGTGCTGATGCTTTACTACTCACAAGTGTTTCCAGTTTTATTACTTTCTTATACATATATATTATATATATATCAGAAAGTTAGACATGTATAATATAAATGTTCACTGTATTTTCTGTTTAAAGTCAAAGACAATAGCAGAACAAATGGCAGAGAAGATTAATGCCAAGCTTGGCTACCGACCACAGACAGAGGATGAGGATGGTGCGGACAGCAATGCCGAGACATTTAAGCGTTACGAGGAGGAACTCGAAATCAACGACTTCCCACAGACAGCACGTTGGAAGGTCACATCAAAGGTCAGTCTCTATTCGAGGTGATCAGTTTGATATTTAAATTGAATTGTTTTGTTGTATTCGAAGTATTTAACTTTTTGTTGTCATGTTAAATTAGACACCAGAATGTAACAAAGTTAAGTGTAAAATGAAATATTTAGAGCGACACTACTCAGTGTTAGAGTCACTCGGTGATCATTACAGAATTTCACCTTTTCTTTTAACAGGAGGCCCTGGCCCAGATATGTGAGTACTCAGAGGCAGGAATCACAGTAAGAGGGACATATTTCTTGCCTGGTAAAGAGGTGAAGGAAGGCGAGAGGAAACTTTATCTAGCTATAGAGGCTACTAGCGACATGGCCATACAGAAAGCCAAGAAGGAGATTACACGTCTCATCAAGGAGGAGCTCATTAGATTGGTAAGTATGGTCTCATCTCAGTGTTTTACTCATTTGGGTGTGAAAATACCAATAGAGGTTTTCCTGGACAGATCCAGGCAGTAGTAAAAAGGGAGAAACCATGAGTTTGAAAAATGAATTAAGGTTTCAAGTTTGAGTCGTTTCAGGGACTGAAAAGGCCATTATTGTACAAAGACCTTACTTTTTTGCCAAGAAAATCAGATTTCATGGATTACAAGGGTAAACAAAATATTAGATATTTTAAATTAAATCATAACAACTCTGTGGTATTATCACCCATACACTCGCTATCTCCTGAACAGTGATATCATCACCCAGACTGTGATATTTCGTTTATGATTTCAAAGAGAAGGATGCAGGACCACATGTTGATATGAGATAAACACTACAATATCATCTTATCTTTGTTTTCCAGCAAACATCGTACCAACCATTAAACAAGGGACGCTACAAGGTGGTATAGACACCATTAAACAAGGGACTCTGCGAGCTGGTACAGACACCATTACACAAGGGATGCTACAATGTAGCATAGACAATACAGCTGATGAATTGTTTTTAACATCTGTAATAATATGTCCGGTCTGTTGTAGATGGTAATACTTGTTGCATGGTTTGACTATTTAAGGAAAGTGATATGCATAGCACTTTTCATCTTAGAAAACGAGTATAAGATACCAATATGTACTGATTCAAAGACCTGACTTTATACTAATTTTTGCGAGGATATACCTCTTTTTAAACAGATCAATCTTCCTTGAAATTTAAATGAAGCCTTAATGGCCTATAAAGTAATGTTTGATGGATTTTGGTGTAGACTCTTTATTGAATATGCTGTTGTCAATAAAGTATTTTATCACTATCTTATCTCTTCTTTCTTCATATCAGAAAAAAGACACTACTATTGAGAAAATTATTATATGAAACAGAAACCTTAAAGGTACATCTATTATTTACCACTATCATGGGTAGTTCAAATGTATAACATTATATGCTTTCATAAAAATAACAGTCAAGATCATAAAACAACTTTGCAATATTTTTCAAGCAGACAGAACCCTAAGTTCAAGTTAGCGTTACTTTTGATCTTGTGCATAGTGACTTGAAATTGTCAGAAACATCACATCTAATATTTATAGGAATTTAATATGGTCTCAATATGGTGACAGAGCATTCTTTGGCTCTTTCTCTAGATTTGTTTGTCATTTGCTTGTTCTTATACAAAGTGCCATGAAAATAAATTACAATAATATATCAACCTTTGACCTATTTCATCCAAAAAAGCTGTATATATAATAATGTATAGTAACACATACCACTCCTGGTATAGGGTTGTATCACAGGAGGGTAAAGGGTTACTGAAGTTATAGTAATATGTACCACTCCTAGTAAAGGGTTGTATCTAAGGGTCGTATCACAGGAGGGTTAAGGGTTACTGAAGTTATTGTAATATGTACCACTCCTGGTATAGGGTTGTATCTCAGGAGGGTAAAGGGTTACTGAAGATCACTCCTGGTACAGGGTTGTATCTCAGGAGGGTTAAGGGTTCCTGGATTTATAATAATATGTACCACTCCTGGTATAGGGTTGTAACACAGGAGGGTTAAGGGTTACTGAAGTTATAGTAATATGTACCACTTCTGGTATAGGGTTGTATGTCAGGAGGGTAAAGGGTTACTGAAGTTATAGTAATATGTACCACTTCTGGTATAGGGTTGTATCACAGGAGGGTCAAGGGTTACTGAAGTTGTAGTAATATGTACCACTTCTGGTATAGGGTTGTATCACAGGAGGGTTAAGGGTTACTAAAGTTCACTTCTGGTAAAGGGTTGTATCACAGGAGGATTAAGGGTTACTGAAGTTATTGTAATATGTACCACTCCTGGTAAAGGGTTGTATCTCAGGAGGGTAAAGGGTTACTGAAGATCACTCCTGGTATAGGGTTGTATCACAGGAGGGTAAAGGGTTACTGAAGTTATAGTAATATGTACCACTCCTGGTAAAGGGTTGTATCTAAGGGTCGTATCACAGGAGGGTTAAGGGTTCCTGGAGTTATAGTAATATGTACCACTCCTGGTATAGGGTTGTATCTCAGGAGGGTTAAGGGTTCCTGGAGTTATGATAATATGTACCACTCCTGGTATAGGGTTGTATCACAGGAGGGTTAAGGGTTACTGAAGTTATAGTAATATGTAACACTTCTGGTATAGGGTTGTATCTCAGGAGGGTAAAGGGTTACTGAAGTTGTAGTAATATGTACCACTTCTGGTATAGGGTTGTATCACAGGAGGGTTAAGGGTTACTGAAGTTGTAGTAATATGTACCACTTCTGGTATAGGGTTGTATCACAGGAGGGTTAAGGGTTACTAAAGTTCACTTCTGCTAAAGGGTTGTATCACAGGAAGATTAAGGGTTACTTAAGTTGTAGTAATATGTACCACTTCTGGTATAGGGTTGTATCACAGGTGGGTTAAGGGTTACTAAAGTTCACTTCTGGTAAAGGGTTGTATCACAGGAGGGTTAAGGGTTCCTTGAGTTTTAGTAATATGTACCACTTCTGGTATAGGGTTGTATCTCAGGAAGGTTAAGGGTTACTGAAGTTATAGTAATATGTACCACTCCTGGTATAGGGTTGTATCACAAGAGGGTTAAGGGTTACTGAAGATCACTTCTGGTATAGGGCTGTATCTCAGGTGGGTAAAGGTTTACTGAAGTTCACTTCTGGTATAGTGTTGTATCTCAGGAATTTAAAGGGTTATGTAATCTTTAGTGTGAAGTGCTCGTAAACTTTAAATTTCTAAACCTATATAAAGAGTTACAGCTCTTGATTCAACATAGTCCCTTTATCTGTTCAAATCTCTACAGAAATTCTAGGCAACACTCAGATTTAGTATGTAGATTCTATGAAAGACAGCTGTCAGACTTTCTTGGATTTTGTCAGTTTTAGGTTACTCTCTTTCTCCAGAAATACAGAATAGATTGTTTTGAAATTTTGAGATGTTGCTGCCTTCACTCACACCTGTTAAATCTTCTAAACATTTTATAGAATCTCCCTCGTGGTGCCTCATAGAATTTCCCGTTGGTGTTGAATCTCCTGGAGCCACCATTTTGCCTGCTTTGGCTATACAAGACAATCCATATCTCACACATAGGTGTGGTGACTTATGTGACATATGTAATACAATGTATTGTTATCAATGAATCAAAGTAATTTAAGGACTTTGTGTTGACCCCTGGTGAAAGTTTCATAGTGATAGGAAAAATCATGGCTATAAAGGCAGACATGTTGAATTTCACCAAATAGATTCTGTAATCCTACTAGATGGTACTTTCCATTCCCTGGTGTTGGAAATTTCAATTTTAATGTGACCAGAATCACAAGATAGATAAATAGCCATAATGATGGTTCAAAGTTTACCTGCAGGTTGAGGACAGTATTAACTTTGCCATCTTTGTCCTGCTTCCACACAATTGATATGTTAACATGTATATTATCTATCTAGCATTAAGCCTATGTTCAATAATAAACCCATCCGTAATTATTGTTCTGATGAAGAACTGACAATGAATAACATCCCATTGTCTGATAATAAGCCCACCCCTATTTATTGCTGTCATAAAGAACAGACAAAAATAGCAATCCATTAATCAATAAGAAGCCCACTCCTGACATCAAGTCCTATTGGGTTTGATCATACCTCTGGCCTACTAATGACCCTTAGCACTACAAATTCTATTTCTAACGAATGAGGTAAAACATAAAATGAAAATCAGGTCAAAAGTAATGAAAGTTTATTTTTTCACATTATTACATACGTAGTATGTAAAGTGTATCCAAAAGTCAAATACACATTATATAACTGGGCCCAGTTAGCCCAAAGCAGAACTAGTCTTTCTGTACTGGTGATGCAGAACTAGTCTTTCTGTACTGGTGATGCTGAACTAGTCTTTCTGTACTGGTGATTCTATCAATTATAATCTGATGTAAAAGATGTTAACATCTCTTCAACTTATTACATCACCCTGGCTCACTGGGCACTGGCCACTAAAGAGAAAACATAGCCTGTGCTAACAACAATGAAAAACTTGCTAAGCAAAAAAAGTCTGTAAAACATTGAGAACATTTTGTCACATCCACAGACAAAGGTAAAAGGGGAGGCAATTAGGTTGTGACATCAGTAAAAATACAAAAACATAGATCCTTGCTCTTGTGGGTTCATACTATCATGGACTTGTATTATAAACCAAATCTTTGTCACTCTTCCATCCCTATTTCTGGAGCTCCACATTGGTCGAGAAATCTGTGAATATTCACACGCGACCAACATTTCATATTAAGGAGAGAATATTGTAAAAAGTTATAGTTTTGAATGATTTTGAATCACTATTGACCAATGACATGCTAGATGATAGAGGTGGTCACAAATTTCTCTAGGAAGTACAACAGACATAGCGATTCTTCTGGGTTATAAAATTGTCAGAGATCTGATACCTAAGTACAAGTTTGAAGAGTAAGATAATAACATTTAAAATTGATCATTCTGAATCTGTAAATAAACATGAAACATATCAATCAACATGTCATAACTGTAAACATGAGGACAATGGACTTCAAACAAAACATCAATAATTACAAATGGAATGCAACAAACACAAAAAAAGCCTTTAACTCCAGTACATGTGTATAAACAAAATAGTGGATAGAAAACCTGTTATCTGGAAGCTTACGGATTGAATTTACACCAAAAACCATACAACAAAGTCCTACAGAAGCATATAAAGTCCATGTACAGTGATCAGAATCCAGGACAACACACAGATAACACAATGACTTATCTGTATTATTCTTTATATAATGACAACCGAAAATTACAATGATACTTGGCTGAGAAATTTTCAAAATGGGTATGACTTAGAGAATGAGTTGGATTGAAGAAAGTATAAGTAGCATCTTTACTTTATTGTTTCAATTGCTTCCGTCAAATCTGGAGGAGAGGTTTTCTGGACATGATTCTGTTTACTCACTGTTCCAGTATATACCCTTCTAATATTTCTTAGGTGTGTGTATTGAGTGGGATTGCATAATTCATATTACTCTCTCTGTACAACATATACAAAAAAAAACAAAAAAAAATGAAAAAAGTATATTTAATATATTTCTGTACTTCAACGTAGATTATATCCTTGGCTGAAATCTAGTCACGCTAAAATGCCTCTGAGACCATTGCTAGATAACAAGTTCCTAATCCCACAACCAATTGTACCTACACAAGTTAATCAAAAAATACAAAAGAATCTATGTATATTGAGCAAAGTAAATTACATAAAGCACTTTCAAACATCTCAAAAAAATGTAAACAATAAAAGTAGATTGATGTAAAAACAGGACTTCATTAAAGCACTAGGATTTCTTCTCCTATTCAGAACAATTTGTTCTGTCTGTTAAATCTCCAGTGATGTTAAGTGACAAAAGAAGCATGATCTTTCTATTCCTGGGAACAGAAAACTGCACAAATTATAGGTAACATCATACTACCAACATATCAATGTTAACGAATTATTCACTTAAAATATCTGGGTATTTCTTGTGTTCAGTAATATATTATACCAACACGACAATGTGAAGGACTCATTCACATAAATATCTGAAGTAATTCTTGTGTACAGTAATATATTATAAAAACACAACAATATGAAGGAATTATTCACATAAAACATCTGAGTAAGTCTTGAGTTCAGTAATTAAGTAATCAACACTACGACAGAAACACTTTTGGTTTATGTTATTCTCTAGTGGTGTTTTAAGCTTGTGCAAGTGAAAATTAGCACCATTACAGTATAAGTTAACTAAGTTATAAGTTCCTATAATGTACACACATGTAGTTCAGTAAGACTTTATCTAACAATCCACTTCTGGGAAGGGAGATACAATGTCCCTCTAAGTTTACACTATGGATAACTATCACAAGGAAAGCATCAAATAAAGTCCAGGACTGTAAACCAGATACTGACAAATCTTTATCCCTTAATGATGCTCAACTCATGTGTGCTGTCCACATGCCCCAGTTTTATATATATAGTAAATGCTGATTTGAATTTCCTTATTATTAATGGTTTTAATCCCACAGACATATACAATCCCATCGTCTACTAATTATGTATATCAATTAAAGTCATTCAGTGTGTGTCTTACAATGCTTTCAGTTATCTTTTCCTTGTTCTTATTTCACATTTGTTGCGTTCTAATGCATTCCTGTATTTTGTTCACATAAATGAATAAAGATAAATACCTCTGTGAAAACACTCGTCTGTATATGAAGTTTTGACACTAGTGTATCAGTTAAAACTCATTACATCTCAGTATTTATCACAATCTCAAAATAAAACACATTTACATGAACAAACTAAATCTAAAAAAAAGATTTAACAAACAGACAAAAGAAAATGAAGGGTTACAAAAATAAACAAGAGGCCCCTTGGGCCTGCAACGCTCACCTGGTATATATATACCAGCCAAATATCATAACCTCTAGACCTTTTAGTTTGTGACAAGAAGTCATTTAAACCTTTTAACAAATCTGACCCCTGTGACCTTGAATATTAGTCAAGGACATTTCTTTTCACAAACTTTGTTAGGCTTTCTACTAGGAACATACCAGCCAAATATCAAAACATTTGCTCTATTGGTTATTGAGAAGAAGTTGTTTAAATAAAAACGCTGCACCACAGCATAAGCTCACTTGGCCCTTCAACCCAGGTGAGCTAATAAATCCAGTACTTGACATTAAAAGCAAAGATCAACAGAGTTTCATAGATGAGATTCTATTCTATATGTAGAAAACAATGTTATTTAAGAACGAGAAGATAAAAATCTTGTATTAAATCTTAGAATTTAATTTTTTTTTTTTTTTTTATTTTTTAATGTCAAAAGCAAAACAAAACGTTCAACTCCTTAATATTCAAAACTAATGCATTTTTTAAAACTATAGTCATATTTGCTTCCATTCAAATACAGATCCTATTTGTTAACCAAGAAGTTGGAGCAGGACAACTTTGTAACTAATCTGGAGCTTCATTACAACTGATGATAAACACCAACACCAGATATTGCAGTTCTCTACACATTTTGACAATTCTATGGTAGTTATCTACCAAGGGTTTGGCAGCACAGTGTGACAGACATCTACAAAGCCTGATACAGGTCACTGTTGGTGGCAGTGTACCAACACCGATTATTTTCCACGCGCCGTATAAAATAGTATGTAAGCAAAAATCCAATCACCTGAAATACACAAAGAAAATTGACAACCTGAAATGTTTGTTAATAACGAGACCTAACAATCCAATTATCCTTTATAACTTAATCTTTAGTTACCTTATGAGAGAAATTTTTATTTTATAATTCCATGAGCTGACATCATGATTATCTTGTATGATTGTAGGAGTAAGCTACCTCAGATATCTGATGTAGTTTTATAAAGTTTATAGCAGACAAGTGGGTATCCACCCACTCCTGAATGAAGTAAAATGATGCTTCCTTTCGATATACCTTGTAGGGTATAACTACATTTGAAAAGATTTTTTCCCTATTCTTGTTGAAGTATAATTACCTGCGGAATTGCACACCCTAGAGCAAAGGCTCCGACAAGGTCAAGCCTGCTGCTGAGGAGAAAGGTGAAGGAGTTGACGCAGCCATCAACGTAAACCCGGCCAGTCGGTGACTGTGAACACAACACAGAGTCAATAGTGGGCAACACACAGCCAGTAGGGGGCATAACTCAAGAGACTATCACAACAGTAGAGATGTTGACTTGAAATATTGTTCAGGAAAGCACAATTTTATATCATATTGATAAAGATTAAAAAAAAACAGCAGGAACAGATCTTCAAACCAATCCAAGTTTACTATTGCAGTCAGATGGATGTAAAGTCAAACTTTGATGTTTCAACGTTCAAGGGACGACCAGAAAAACTACGATACATCGAGACTTTGAATCATGTGTGGTGGGCTATATTGATGTTTTCATGTTCTTGGCTATATATAGTTGATGACACGATATTTCTTCCTGAACAAATACCAAAACATGCAAAAGATGCATTTTTTTCTTTAAACAAAACACTTTTTCATTCATGAAAAAAAACATAACTTTAAAAAGAAATCAACAGGAATTTGACCCTTCATGTCACACTGTATATGTATTATACAGGTTGTTTTATAATGAAACAACGTGCAGCATTAAAATGGTCTTCACATGTTAAAGTAATTATTGTAAGACTGTTACATAAACATTATAGGCACTAATGAATTTAAAAGAAAGCAAATTAATATCATAATGTATTCTGTCCAGAAACGACAGCACTAACAAGACACATCTTTGCCAATCTTCTGACGACAGCTGGCCTGAATCTATCAGAGAACGCATCATTGACAGATAAATCACTGTGTTTCTCTTGCTCTTATACTTAAAACTGAAAAGTGACGCTTTGTGAATGAGTATAATCATAATACAAATGATAGGATTTTCTCTGATTTTTTTTCAAAATAACATTAATGAGACCAAACTAAATGCCACCACCACAATGGCAGCGGTGAACATCACACGACGTCCCATTCTCTTTGATTAAATACCATGGCTTGTAAGTAAGCAATTAAATTTTAATGTGTCCAGTCATTAATTAACCTCGTAACACAGAGCTAATGATAGCAGGCTATCATAATCCCATTGTCAGGTGGCACTCTTCATTTTATCACGAGGCGAATATACCTGTACAGTACAGGTAAATATTGTGCTCAAATCATGAGGTATCAATGACTATGTTATCATATACGGTTCGTGAAAAATTTTGATACATCGAAAAGTTTGATTTATAAAACTTTGATTCATAATGGTTAAGTTAGTAGTTATATAAAGGAATAAACTTTGAGACCAGACAAAAACTTTGATACATCGAGGAATTCGAATAATCAAATTTTGATTCATAGAAGTTTGACTGTATATACAGTGGAAGGACAATGCCATACCGCCATATGTCCGAATGAAAAGTTTTAGCACGTGTAATGGCTGGACATAAAGAATACAAAGAGATCAGATTACTAAAGAGCATGTGTAGTGTATCTCTATGTCGGACGCAAATGATTGCCTTTCAGGAATTAACATACTATGAGTGACATTTCAGATTCAAAATATCTCTTCCGATTTTAACTCCATCAAGATTTAAAGGTCAAAAGGATGATAAGTTAGATACTTACAGTTGTGTTCAGGCGAACACCGTGGCCACACATAGCCTCTCCAAAATCACTAACCTACATCAAAAACAATTATAGATGTGATTAAAAAAGATGCTGATTAAAGAAATTGACTTCAATAATGATGAAACTATGAGAACTGCTTATTTCCATACCGCCATCTTAATATCCTATTTCTTAAAGATCACTACATATAAATACTGCCTACTCAAAATCATGATTGTTTTCATCCCAGAAAAAGTCACCTAAATTACTGCACAAACAATTCTTGTAAAGAATATAATACTGACCCCTTGAGGCGTACAGCAGGAGGAGGGCACGCCACATGCTTCTGGGAGCGGACTTCCTGAGGTACACGCAAAATGAGGGTTGGTCTCGTAATCTTGAAACGATGTGATACCACAACATCCAAACTGGTAAATGAATTATCATTCAGTGTGTTAAAATATGTCACCCATATCACTGGCAAACAGAAATTAAATACATGCTTTGTATTCTTAATATTTGAACTTAATCATCAATTTAGTACATAACACTTTTATCTTGCTCTCACAATTATCTCATTTATAACTACTGTATGCAGCAATTCCAGATTTCAATACTGTAAAGATTTTTTTTTTATAAAACCACTTTTCTGTAAAACTAAAAGTTTCTATCAGACATCTTTGCTCACATTACAATGCAACAAAGCAAACCAGGATCTTACCAGGTGTTTCATACTAATGGGTAAATATGAACCAAATCTAGCTAGAGGTTCCCAAAATATGTCAAAAATCTTTGAATTAGACTCAATTTGGCTCGACACAAACTGACAAAATCTGACAGATAAATGTAACACTGTATGCACCTCCTACCTCTATGACAGGGCATGAAGAATAGTTAAACATAATGGATCAATGCTTCTAAACCATCTTGTTTATCATTGGTCTCATTTTCTCACAATGAAATTTTTTTTAAAAGACAAGAAGTATATACTGTCTCTATAATTTCTTGTCTATGTTTGAAATTACACTTACAGTTGATTGCAAAGTGTCCATGGCCAGAGTGATCTCTGTACTGTCTGAGTATGCCTCAACTCCGAACATCAGGTCAGGTCCTACCATACCCGGCACCTATACATGGACACATAAAACATTGATACATATAGGTAACATAAAGTTCTACCATAGCCAGCACCTATACATGGACACATAAAACATTGATACATATAGGTGGACACATAAAACATTGATACATGTAGTAACATCAAGTCTGTCCATACCCAGCACCTATACATGGACACATAAAACATTGATACATGTAGTAACATCAAGTCTGTCCATACCCAGCACCTATACATGGACACATAAAACACAGATACATGTAGTAACATCAAGTCTGTCCATACCCAGCACCTATACATGGACACATAAAACATTGATACATGTAGTAACATCAAGTCTGTCCATACCCAGCACCTATACATGGACACATAAAACATTGATACATATAGGTAACATAAAGTTCTACCATACCCAGCACCTATACATGGACACATAAAACATTGATACATGTAGTAACATCAAGTCTGGACACATAAAACCATACCCAGCACCTATACATGGACACATAAAACATTGATACATGTCTGTCCATACCCACATACATGGACACATAAAACATTGATACATGTGTAACATCAAGTCTGTCCATACCCAGCACCTATACATGGACACATAAAACACAGATACATGTAGTAACATCAAGTCTGTCCATACCCAGCACCTATACATGGACACATAAAACATTGATACATGTAGTAACATCAAGTCTGTCCATACCCAGCACCTATACATGGACACATAAAACATTGATACATATAGGTAACATCAAGTTGTCCATACCCAGCACCTATACATGGACACATAAAACATTGATACATGTAGTAACATGGACACAAGTCTGTCCATACCCAGCACCTATACATGGACACATAAAACATTGATACATGTAGTAACATCAAGTCTGTCCATACCCAGCACCTATACATGGACACATAAAACATTGATACATACCCAGCACCTATACATGGACACATAAAACATTGATACATGTAGTAACATCAAGTACCCAGCACCATATGGACACATAAAACCAGCACCAGCACCTATACATGGACACATAAAACATTGATACATGTAGTAACATCAAGTCTGTCCATACCCAGCACCTATACATGGACACATAAAACACATGTAGTAACATACATACCCAGCACCTATACATGGACACATAAAACACAGATACATGTAGTCTGTCCATACCCAGCACCTATACATGGACACATAAAACATTGATACATGTAGTAACATCAAGTCTGTCCATATCCAGCACCTATACATGGACACATAAACCACAGATACATGTAGTAACATCAAGTCTGTCCATACCCAGAACCTATACATGGACACATAAAACATTGATACATGTAGTAACATCAAGTCTGTCCATACCCAGCACCTATACATGGACACATAAAACAGAGATACATGTAGTAACATCAAGTCTGTCCATACCCAGCACCTATACATGGACACATAAAACATTGATACATGTAGTAACATCAAGTCTGTCCATACCCAGCACCTATACATGGACACATAAAACACAGACACATGTAGTAACATCAAGTCTGTCCATACCCAGCACCTATACATGGACACATAAAACATTGATACATGTAGTAACATCAAGTCTGTCCATACCCAGCACCTATACATGGACACATAAAACATTGATACATGTAGTAACATCAAGTCTGTCCATACCCAGCACCTATACATGGACACATAAAACATTGATACATATAGGTAACATAAAGTTCTACCATACCCAGCACCTATACATGGACACATAAAACATTGATACATGTAGTAACATCAAGTCTGTCCATACCCAGCACCTATACATGGACACATAAAACATTGATACATGTACCCAGTATACATGGACACATCAAGTCTGTCCATACCCAGCACCTATACATGGACACATAAAACATTGATACATGTAGAAACAACAAGTCTGTCCATATCCAGCACCTATACATGGACACATAAAACATTGATACATGTAGTAACATCAAGTCTGTCCATAGCACCTATACATGGACACATAAAACATACAAGTATGGACTGTCCATACCCAGCACCTATACATGGACACATACAAACATTGATACATACCCAGCACCTATACATGGACACATAAAACATTGATACATGTAGTAACATCAAGTCTGTCCATACCCAGCACCTATACATGGACACATAAAACACAGATACATGTAGTAACATCAAGTCTGTCCATACCCAGCACCTATACATGGACACATAAAACATTGATACATGTAGTAACATCAAGTCTGTCCATATCCAGCACCTATACATGGACACATAAACCACAGACACAAGTAGTAACATCAAGTCTGTCCATACCCAGCACCTATACATGGACACATAAAACATTGATACATGTAGGTAACATCAAGTCTGTCCATATCCAGCACCTATACATGGACACATAAACCACAGACACAAGTAGTAACATCAAGTCTGTCCATACCCAGCACCTATACATGGACACATAAAACATTGATACATGTAGTAACATCAAGTCTGTCCATACCCAGCACCTATACATGGACACATAAAACATTGATACATGTAGGTAACATAAAGTTCTACCATAGCCAGCACCTATACATGGACACATAAAACATTGATACATGTAGTAACATCAAGTCTGTCCATACCCAGCACCTATACATGGACACATAAAACATTGATACATGTAGTAACATCAAGTCTGTCCATACCCAGCACCTATACATGGACACATAAAACATTGATACATGTAGTAACATCAAGTCTGTCCATACCCAGCACCTATACATGGACACATAAAACATTGATACATGTAGGTAACATCAAGTCTGTCCATACCCAGCACCTATACATGGACACATAAAACACAGATACATGTAGTAACATCAAGTCTGTCCATACCCAGCACCTATACATAGCCACATCAAGTCTGTCCATATCCAGCACCTATACATGGACACATAAAACACAGACACATGTAGTAACATATACATGAACATATTATAAATATATTCAGGAAAAGTACCTGTATATATATGTACATCTGGCAAAGCCTCATCTTACCTATGTTATTGATGTTCTACACTGTTGGCAAAAGTGAACTGAATTCAATGTTAAGTCAGTAGTTTTTTACCTTAAATTCAACATTATCGATTCTAATACAGTAAGTCAGATCCTGATAAGCTTAGAACATGTAGTGTTTTATAATCCCTTGAATCCATCCACATATTATCTAATGTGCCAAATTCAGTAGTATATTCTAAAAGTTTTGGAAATTTGACCACTTTTGGTTGCATCCTCACAACCATAAATGACAGAACCATTCCATGTTGGTTGCTTTTGATGATGGAATCTTTTGGGGAAATTTTCATCAAAATTTTCATAAAAAATTCCCTGGATACTTTTCTAAAAAGTTGAAAACGCAAATACATATATAGTTTATAGTAATTAACGAGATTGACAGATGAATGATGATAAAAGTAAGTCACCTCAAAGTGTCTGGTATACTATGATGTCTGAAATGTAACTGTGTAAAGTTTGAGTGGTACATAGGAGTAATGAGTTGAGGCAGCTCTACACAAATCAATGACGTTATTACATTAACTTCTCAGAGTAACACATCAGTCTGTACAAAGTCAATTACAGGCTCCGTAAGGATTATACACCCAAAGTAGCTTAACTAGGAGAAATGACACAGCTGGCTAGTACAGTGTATATAACAGTACAGTATATATAACAAAGCCACAGGTAAACAGTACAGTATATATAACCCTGTCACAGGTAAACAGTACAGTATATATAACCCTGTCACAGGTAAACAGTACAGTATATATAACCCTGTCACAGGTAAACAGTACAGTTTATATAACCCTGTCCGGGTAAACAGTACAGTATATATAACAAAGTCATAGGTAAACAGTACAGTATATATAACAAAGTCACAGGTAAACAGTACAGTATATATAACCCTGTCGCAGGTAAACAGTACAGTATATATAACCCTGTCGCAGGTAAACAGTACAGTATATATAACCCTGTCGCAGGTAAACAGTACAGTATATATAACCCTGTCGCAGGTAAACAGTACAGTATATATAACCCTGTCACAGGTAAACAGTACAGTTTATATAACCCTGACGCAGGTAAACAGTACAGTATATATAACCCTGTCACAGGTAAACAGTACAGTATATATAACCCTGTCGCAGGTAAACAGTACCGTATATATAACCCTGTCACAGGTAAACAGTACAGTATATATAACCCTGTCACAGGTAAACAGTACAGTATATATAACAAAGTCACAGGTAAACAGTACAGTATATATAACCCTGTCACAGGTAAACAGTACAGTATATATAACAAAGTCACAGGTAAACAGTACAGTATATATAACAAAGTCACAGGTAAACAGTACAGTATATATAACCCTGTCACAGGTAAACAGTACAGTATATAACCCTGTCACAGGTAAACAGTACAGTATATATAACGCTGTCACAGGTAAACAGTACAGTATATATAACCCTGTCACAGGTAAACAGTACAGTATATATAACCCTGTCACAGGTAAACAGTACAGTTTATATAACCCTGACGCAGGTAAACAGTACAGTATATATAACCCTGTCGCAGGTAAACAGTACAGTATATATAACCCTGTCACAGGTAAACAGTACCGTATATATAACCCTGTCACAGGTAAACAGTACAGTATATATAACCCTGTCACAGGTAAACAGTACAGTATATATAACCCTGTCACAGGTAAACAGTACAGTATATATAACCCTGTCACAGGTAAACAGTACAGTATATATAACCCTGTCACAGGTAAACAGTACAGTATATATAACGCTGTCACAGGTAAACAGTACAGTATATATAACCCTGTCACAGGTAAACAGTACAGTATATATAACCCTGTCACAGGTAAACAGTACAGTATATATGACCCTGTCACAGGT